AGAAATGGAGGCGACACCCCGACCTCCTCGTCGTATGCACATCTGCCTCTCTCTTTTTTGCCAGTTCACCAAAGAGAGCTGGACTGAGCCGACCCCGTCGGCTCTCAACAACTGGACTGGATGACCTGAGTTAACTCGTCTGGCCTCCTCACCAGTGTCTTGTTCAGCCTCCACATACTTTCCAGGCACGTCAGGGTTCAGCAGTTTGCCGCGATTGTGACTCACTGAGGAATCAGGTATTGGAGACGTTTGCTGACTCTCGTGGAAACGCAGCGTGCAGCTGGACCGAGTGTCAGAAGTCTGGTTGCTCGCCGTCTGGTCGGCGGGGAGACGCCGCCTCTCCGTGGAGTATTTACGGTGGTACGAAACCTGCCTTTTTTTATTAGAGGCCGCGGCGAATGGTTGTCATTACTGGGCTTTTATGATTGCAGAAATGAACTGGAGAGCGTACATTAAATCTTTTTTTTTTTTTGCATGTGAGGGATGTCTGCGGACCGCTGTGGCTCCGGAGTGAGACTGATCAAATAAAAACCCAACTCTAAAGTTCGGAATGAGGTTGCAACTATTTTTTTTAGCCCTTTTTTTAATAGGGCCTTTTGATCGCCTCTCAACATGCCGCAAACCTGAGCTCGCTCGCGGGGCGCACCTGAACAGGAACCAGGAGGTTCCTGCCATCGGCATGCCGTAATCGGCTCCAACTGCCATGTGGGCGCAGCGAAGTCCAGCGTCCGCGAGAGATAACCGGCGTGGCACGCGGACGTGCACTAACGCGCTCTGAAGGCATGCCAGGTTGCCCCGGCAACGAAGAAAAGAGAAGCTGGGATGCCGTGCCGCTGCAGTGACTTCCTTCTCTGATCAGCTGGACCTTCACACGGCAACACGTCGATTCCTGCTACGTTGATGCATTAACATGTTATGCTATAATATACCACCCAAACTTTCATCCCGGTGATGCCCTGAAGATATTTACCTCCGCATCAAAGGCAAAGAAGTCCTGTAAATATTCATCTTTAAGAGCCTTAATATAGCGGCCACTTGATTTCACTCTTCACGTCGATGAATCATTTCGGTCACACGTCAAGGTGATTATCTCTTCTGGCTCGGCTCAAGCACCCAAACGTAGTTTCCCGAAGCCGCCGGCGGCTCTCCGGCTTCAACCCCTTGACTTCCCAATGAGGTCCGACCTGAGGCGAGGCTTCACGCAAATTAACACGAGGGGCCTCCGCCGACGCGGCCGGGGTGTTTACTAGCCGGCCTTAAACCCGGCACATCTCCTCGCCGTGGGCCGAGTGTCGGGTTTCTCGTTGGCGGATTAGCTCCCCATCGTGTGATGGAGCCGCGGCCATCAGCGCCCATTAAACTGTCAGCCTCTCAATGGAGGTTTTCACCCCTCGAGTGTGATTTACTGCTCCGGTTCAGAACCTTCAAGGTATTTCCTTCCCTTCAGCCGGCGTGACCACAAACAGCGGTGGACCATCTGCTACCGGATCGGTGAAATCTGTATTTTTACTTTGACTACTAAAAATAATTCCTATAGCTGGGCGTCTTTAAATGACATGGATGTGTGCAACACCTCGCGTTTAACTTCTCATTACATGCTTCTGTTCTCAAAAGAATCTGTCGATTATCAATGATAATTGAAGAAAACGCGCAGAGCAAAAATCTTGTAGTAAAATTCTCAACCAAGTACTCCGTTTTTGATTGATTGTAATTCATTATTTTGTTCAGGAGTGGTAATTTGTTCGGACCACACAATCTCAGGAAAAAAAATGAAAACCATTATTTCATAAAAAGGTTTTAGTTTTAAACGTCTTGTTGCATCAGAACACAAAAGCTGCGTGTTGTGGCGATATCCTGCGTTACGCGCATCGAGTCGCGTGTGTGCAGTTCTTTCCACTTAGTTTCCAGATGTTTCCCTCCATTAGGACTCACGGGAGTTGTGCTGCCTCATGACTCCATGTCCGCACTACCGCCGAGTCCTTTTCTTCAATCGGAGTCGATCCTCACTCGGGGGGGGCAAAGTGGATGTTGGGGAGGGAGGCGACAATGAGGCTTGTATGTTGGGAGTCGTCCTCTTTGCCTCGGCTCCGGGGGACCATGTGACCGCCTCTCATTCAGGTCATGTCTTGCCTGTTCAGCCTTTGACCCTCTTAGAAAGGGAAGCCAGTGCCTCAATGCCCCATTCATGCCATGCAGATGTCCGTGTGCGTTAACGTCGGACACAGCTGAGCTTTGGCGGTCCGCCGACAGTCCTTCTTTCGTTGGTCAACTCGTGCGAGGACAACAAGAGCCGTTCCCCCGTTCGGGGACTGGGAGATGCCTCCCGTGTCTTTAAACGATGCTTAGAAGAACGTTGAAATAGTTGCTTTTTTTTTTGTAGCGATTCATCTGTTTCCACAGTGTTTGATTTACATTTGGGGCTCGAGAAGTTAACGTGTCGATGTAAGCAACACGCTAACGAGAGACCCAGTGAATAAACCTTGAGGTTTGAATACACAGCTGGGCCTAAAAATAAACTTGCATCCAATACACACTTTATCTTCATTTTTATTCATGTTGTGACAAAGCAGGATGTGACGGACGGATTTCAGCGACTCATTGTACCCTTCACCTCTTGTTCATAACCTTCTCTGTTTAACACATCTTTTAAAAGCGGTTGTCATCGCCGCAGTGATGTTCCCGTGCAGATTGCGGCGGTGTCGTCTATTGTAAAATAGAGGCTTGGCGATGAGGACAGACGGGGCGCGGCGGCCGTATGTGTCCAGTAATAAGAGGATAAATCCTCACTGGACACAAGCTGGTTTGTTCTGGGGGATTTTTGATGTGAAACTCTGCGTCTGTGGTGATGTTTTACCTTTGATGTGGTTCAGTCATTATGACCTGTGCAGTATTTTGTCTTTGGGGTTTCCCCTGATTGTCCACAATGCATTTATTGGTGTCTTTTTGGTTTGAAAGCCGAGCGCACCGTCTGGCATTTCAGCAGTGGGAAAAAAGTGTAATCTGTAACCATGTGACCACCGGATAAATGTGGTAAAAAGATGTTCGGCTGAGATGTAGTTGAACAGAAGTATGAAGTTGCATAAAATGGAAATACTCATCTAAAATACAAGTACCTATTGTGCTTAAGTGCAGTACTTGAAATTCTGCAGTGAATCCGGGACGCGTTGTTTACTCGCCAAATTGGCTCGACTGTTTTGGTGAAATCTGAATGACAATAGCTTGAAAGAACTGGCGCTCATGTGGGCACCCTGGGGGGCTTCATTTTGCCTATAGGAAGTCCGTTGTGGGGGCAAAATCGATGTTGGGTCACGTCTCCTGTCGACTCAATTAAGGTCAAAATTGAGAAAAGGCTGAACTTTGAATCGGATGCGTGTAGATCTGCAGGATAGTTTGCAGAGGCAGCTGTTTTTTTTTCTTCCATTGCTTTATTGTACCCTCCTCCTCCAGTCAATACCCGAAACCTTTTGTTTTCCCCCTCTTGCTGTTGTTGTTGTTGTTGTGGTTGTTGCCTTGGCGCCCAGCCACTTTGTCATCAGACCTGGTTTAGTGTGTCTGGTATGTCGGAGCATGATGAGGCTTCATTAACTAGGAGAGCAGATGAGTCACACGGGGGGGAAAACCTGCAGAGAAGAACCACACGGACAACGTGCCGCTGCGATAAACACTCGTTGTGCGTGAGACCAGAAGAGTATCGGAGTTTAAACCAATCGTTTATTGTAATTAAGTTGACTGTTGGTTGATTGACGAGGAGCTAAGTGGATTAACAAAATGTCAAACATCTGTGCTTCCTGCTTTTCCGGTGTGAAGATGTTTTTTCTTTGTTACACAGGATTGTAAACTAAAAAGCCTTTGCATTGATTTGTTAGTCTAACAAAACAAACAATCTGAATAATTGATATTCATATATTTCGGGAGCTGAAACTGTTAGTGGATAACAAACAAACGTTTGAATCACTGATTAGTCATTGTATTCACTTCTCCCTGAAACAATGCCACATATTTACCCATTCCAGCCTCTCGGTTGGGATGCTTTTATGTGATAGTAAATTCAGTAACTTTTGTTTTTGTCAAAACAAGCTCATAAAAGAGTGACTGAGTTATTTTTGTGTAGATTGATCTAGCATCTGTTTTTATTCCATCGATGTTTTAGGCACATATCAAAATAGTTAAAGATGCCGACAATTATATAAAAACAAATATGCCGTTCAGATCAAAAATAAAAACCAGAAATGATAATGTTGTGAATCAACAAAATCACATTAACATGTTGCAGCTTTGATTGATTGATTGGTGGATTCTCACTGGTCAGCAAAACACGACCCATGCTGGAGGCTTGAGCCCGACACTCGTATGTCTTTAAACATGAATACATAATATATATACGACAATATATTGATCATGATCTCAATCCTTTATATTTTTCTTTTTTGTTTCTGTGTAAAAAAGTAACTCGTCAGCACCCTCTGGTGGACAAACCGTCATATTTGTCAGTTTCTCAATGAATTTAAACAGCAATAACTAACTATATCTGCAATAATGTAATACAGGCCGATACGTCGGGGGGGAGGGCGGGCGGCTCTACTCGTCACAAACAACTGTCCAACCTCAGGACTCAGTCCAACACTTATTACCGCTGTGGTTGAGGAAGCCAATCCTCTTAGCACAGAGCCTGCTTTCTTTCTAGGCCACCGAATGGCTCTTTGCAGAAGTGCTGTCAGTCCAACGCGCCCGTCGGATATCCTCTCTCTGTTTAGTTCCTTTGTCCGTTACATGGTAGGGTGTCTTTTGAAAAACGCAACCCCCCCCCACCCACCCTTCTCCACCTCTTTAATGGGCCCGAGCCGGCAGCTGGAGGGTTATGGGTTGAGCAGCAGCATCAGAGAGGCAGGAGGAGGAAGAGCAGCAGCAGCAGGAGGAGGAGGGGAGAAGGAGAGTGGCAGCGAGGTGGGGGCTGGTCCACAGCTGTTGTAGTAGGCAGGGTCTATCGGGGTAGGAAGCCTGCCTCACTCGCCCTGGAACAATGGGAGACATGGCAGCCTCTGCAGACAGCACACACACACACACACACACACAATGCACATGCCCAAGGACGGGCCTCTTGTAGCTGAAGCGTAGAGGAAACCGGCTTCCTCGCCTCACTCGCAGGGTGACGGCACTTTGAACAGAGAGAGGAAGATAATCTCCTCTGCAGCAGCCGGAAAACAGAAATGTAAGGTTGTGGCCTTTCTGCTTTTTTTTTTTTCTTTTCTCCACCTCTTCCTCTGGTGCCTTTCATTCTTCTGCGAGGAGATCGCTTGGATACGCCGGCTGGATGACTGAAAAGGCAGCGAGAGGAAGGTGAGCGGACGCCAAGCGTGGACTTCAAGGAGGGTCGGACGGGTGTAAACGTGATTTGTCACAGCTGACATGGTGTTCTCTGGTCTCCTGGATGGTTTCTGACGGGGCTTCGGGGTCCAGAGCCCATTTTTACTTGTGTGTGAGAATGAAGTGACGCGAGACGTGTGTGTGTGTTGTGAGGTTTCATGTTGTTGGCTTAACGTGAATGGACTTGATGACTTTGAGGATCTGATCTGCTGTGTGTGTGTGTGTGTGTGTTTTCAGTTAGCATCGATCTCTCCGGGCTAGCTTATGTTTCAGGAGCTCTTTTACTGCACGCTGTCGTTTCTTATTTGTATTCTGGCCAAAACGAACAAATGCAGAATAACGTTGCATTATTTCGGCCGCAATGTGTCATAAATCTGCCAAATGTGTTTGCCGATTGGTGCACGCCGCAGCTTAAGTGTGTGTGTGTGTGTGTGTGTGTGTGTGTGTGTGTGTGTGTGTGTGGTGAAAGAAGCACACGGTTTGTGTTGTGAGACGGAGGAGCCCCGTGATGCGTTCGCTGCAGGTCGCCCGGCACAGGATTTTTAGGAAATAGTTTTGATTTCTCTCAGTTGTACATGGCACACATCCAACCTTTTTTCAGGCCTTTTTTTGGGGGGAAGGAAGCCCCCATCCCCTCCTCCAATCCCTCCTCCCCCCCCCCCCCCCGCCTCCGCTCCTCATCCCAAATACTGCTTGTGTTTGATTCGTCTCGCTTCTCGCAGCCAAACATCAGACAGGAAGCAGCGGCAGCGAGGGAGCTCCCCCAGCCGGATTCTGTTGTCACCCACATCCCTCCTCCTCCTCTTTGATATTCATCAGTGTCGATGGTGCAGACGATCGAGTGGTGCGTCTGCATTCAAATGGAGAAGACATTGGCCTACATTTTTCAGTCTTCCCCCGATCTTCTTTTAATTCCCTCATGTGGGGATTTAGGTGGTTTTTTCGCCTCATTGTTTACATCTCCCGCCTACACACTTTGTCTACGCAGCAAGCAACTCCAATCTGCGATTTTCCCAGATTGGCAGATGGACTGGGTGGTGTTCGACATATCCTGAGACGGCCCTGCCTCCGCCAAATCCCACAGCGCGACCGACGTGATTTTAAGAAGCTTTTGTGCGTTTCGTCTTCACTGCTTCGGCTGAGTCGCCTTTTGAAATATTTCCTCTTTTTTTTTTTTTTCTTCTCCCCCCCTCTGCCCTCATTCCTCAAATCTCATCTACGCTTCGTCTTTAGCAGCATCTTTCGCTCAATATTTCAAAACGTTCACCTCCTCGTCCAGCTGTCAAAAACCAAAACCTTTCCCCTGCAGATAAATACTGGTGACCGCCGAGTTTCCTTTTTTTTTTTTTTTTGAGCCCTGCGATCTGCCGGCTTTGTGATCAGAGATCTGCCTCTTTGCTCAGGACCGGGTGGACTGAGCAGGCCGCTGGCAGACCAGAGGATCGCCTCCACTAAAACGCAGATTGAGAGGCCAGATGCTCAACACCTCTAATCCCATTACAGCCCGACAAGCTCTGAGAGGATCAGGCCGTGTTACCCTTTTGGAAATGAAGAGTGAACTCTGCGTCAGGACGAGACGCTGGGCTGCAGCGGACGGGAGTGTCCCATTTAGCTCATAAACGAAGGCTTTTGCAGCAAAGTGAACACTGTTAACGAGGGACTCTCCTAATGGGGAATCCCAGGTCAAAAACTCTAAAAAGAAATCTTTTGTGTGGCCGTCGCTGCGTGTGAGCCGAGAGGACTTAAAAAGGGCGAGTTCCCAAAACGCCGCGTCTGCTTAATTATTCATCCGTCTTTCTTTCATTACGCTTTGCAGTGATTCAGAGATGAAAGGGGAGACGAGGGGAGCAGAGCAGGATAGTGGTGGGGGGGCGGCGTTCAGTGGCATCTCCCCAGAGCAACGGAGCGTCTTCCTCGCGGTTTCTTGTCAACCACGAGAGCTGAAGGGGAAGCCGCGGCCTTCGCCCGCCACGCGGCAGAGGTCACGTCGGCCTCGCACCAAAGCCCCGCCCCTCCCTCGATGGCCCTAAAACGCCCTCCGTTAAACCGTTTCATGTTCTCATGACAGAAGCCACAAGAGTTGTCCGCCTATCTCATGATTTCCCCCCCACATAAAAAAAGGCAGAAGTTGTTTTTTTAGCAGAAAGCCTGATGGATTACGATGGTGTCTTGTGTTTCCCCCCCTCAGCTCCGTGGTTTCGTTGTTGGGAGACCGCCGTGCCTGACGGGAGACCGACTCCTCTTCAGAGGTCATAACGAGAGCTCCAACTGCAGGTGAGTGTCTTGGTAACACGTTGCCAGAGAAGGGTCGCCGTTGCTGTGCGGTCCAAGGGGTCAGAATATGCAACACTCCGTTGACGTTCGCTGATGAAAACAAGTCACACCGACCTTTTGCCGAAGTTGCCGCTGGGTCATTTGTTTAAAGGACACCGTGGATATTTATTTACATTGAGGGACGCGTTTGTTTCCCTCTGGTGTCGCGTTGCACCTCGTTTGTGCGCGGCTGAACGCTCGCCAGCGTCCCCACATGCAGGTATCCATTTGGGAACAAAAGCAGGACGTGCTCGCTTGGCCCCCGAGGCGAAACACGTGATCCTCCCTGCATTGTTCCGTGATCGGACCTCAAGCCGCGAGCGCCGAGCCTCGTTGCTCTTTGCTTACACTTGGCGATGTTGCGTTTGGCGGCTGGATTTGTTTCGAGAAGGCTGCATTTTTGAGAAGGAAAAACCGAAAGCTCTGCGTTGATGTTGTCCTTCAGCTTTATGTTGATATATTGGTCTTCCTCCTCTCTGGTACAAACTGTTGAAGCATTGTTTCTTTAATATGCTGCTGTGTTTCATTTGTTGCTGTAGATGATTAATCAGTTTAATTGGCAGTATGCATTACACTTTGACTGCCCCTGTCAAGGCATCAAATTATCATTAGTTTCATTCTCTACTTCACCGATGATTCTCTTCAGAAAACACAAAAAGCTGCTCCAGATCTCAGAGGAAAAGCATTTTAATGTCACATTTGAGAAGCTGGAACCAGCAACATTCGTGCCATGTTTTCTTGTTCAATTGAACAATTTATGAAATATAAGTACTGTGACACTTCCATAACGTTTGAAGACCATCTGAGACACATCTAGGGAGCAGATAACGTAGCATAGGCCGGGATTTAAAATCAATGGATCGACACATCATCATGACATCATCGGTTATTTCCCCAGACTTTTAAGAGATCCCTTTAGAGCCACAAAAGACAAAATACATTTTTCACGTTTCAGGTTTCTCACTCTGAGGGAATTATTGGATTTCTTTTACTGAACTACATTCATCCAACAGATGTTCTTTAAAAAAAAAGAAAAAATCTATTAATTTTAATAAATAGAGTCACAGGAGTCGTTTCCTAGATTTAAAGGTTCACATCGTGGTTTTGGTTCTGAATACTCGCTCCACCAGCGCGCCGAGCAGCGTCATTAACTCTCTTTGCATTCCCCTCGTGGCTCCTCTCTGACGGCACCAGCAGAGCTCTGTGGAAGGAGCTCCCTGACACTGCAGCCCCCCGTCCCCCCGGGACACATTGACCCCCTCCTCTTCCCCGTCAATGAGCCTCTGTGTGTCACTGGCTCATGACAATCGGGCGGTTCACAAAGCAGCTGGACGCTTTATGCCTCCTCCCGAACAACCAGAGGTTATAAATTCAGACATTGTGGTTTTTTTTTGGTTTTTTTAAGCTGGGGAAAGATTGTGTGATTTTAAATGACCGAACCACTACGAAGTTCTTTCATCAGCTGATCCGCTCTTTGATCAGCAGGTCTTGGATCCAGTTCTGTTTTCAGGCCTGTTGGATTCTGGATTAAAGCCACTCGACTTGTTTTAAGAGATCCTTCTTTCTGGTGGCATTTTCAGTGAGGCTTGTGACGTTGGCTCTGCACATCAAAGAGAAACCGCAAGCAGCAGAACCGCATTTTCATGTTTTATATTTAGCTGCACTTTTGTTTCTTTTTCTGCACGCTGTAATTTCCATTTGAATGTTGGCACGGGCAGATGAGCGCTCGTATCTCAGGCCTGCTGCCCCGAGCCTTAATGTGCATTAGGTGAAGTGAAAGCCGGTATTTATAACCGCCCGGTATCCAAGGTCAAACGGACGGCTAATATCTGCTTCCGTTCTTAGATGGGCCGCATCGATCGGCCCTCCATTATACGTGTGGATTGTGCAGTCAATCGCGGCTCAATAAGCTCCCTACACTTTGGACGCTGCTGCTTAGGTTTGTCAGTCAGGCTTCACGGCCCCAAAGTGACGTTCGATAATCTTCCTGTAAACGCTTTGCAAACAGCTCCAGTTACATGAGGCCCCGCAGGCCTCTGCTGATCTCTCACGAAACCGTCCCACATTTCCCCGTATTGTGTTGTGATACTCGTATGTTTTTATTCTGCATTACGGCTGCAACCGAAAAAATCTTTTAATTCATCGATTTGATCTGATGTTTATTTTCCTCAATTAATCGATTTACCTTATTCTCCGGTAAGATATTACATCAACTGTGAAAGGTATTTTTGAATGCTCAATGGGATGTCTTGTTTGCTCAGAGCATCAACGTACAGCCCAAAATAGTTTTGTTTGACATGTAATGAATCAACTTATTTGCATTTGCTAGAACAAAAATGAACGAAAATGACTTTACTGATTGATTACATGAATAAACGCTAGTTCATTTTCAGTGGATCGTCTTCAGTCCGACTCATATAATTTTCTACTGAATCTTTTTTCAAATATAAAGGATGAGACTTCTTTTTTTTTTTTTGTGTGTGAACAAAAGCTATGTCTTAGTCCACTCTAATACTTTCCACTGCCTCTAACCGTTAAGACTATTCATTCTTGTAGGAACATAAATCTTTTAAGCGGCTATAATCAATGATGTCATGCTAATAATGGATCACGTGACCACTCGTATGTGAAAGGAGTCGGTTGTCGTGATGCAACTGCAGATAATTATTAACCGACTCGGCAGCAGCTCGTGTCGTTGGTCTTCAGGGCAGCGACTTGTTTTAGTTCACCCTCAGCGATCTGATGACTCGCTGACTAGAAGGAGAACGCGGTGGAGATCTACAGAGACTAATGTCTCCCTCGGGAGTTGGTGGAGACCAAAAACCGAGGTTAAAGAGTAAATATTGGAGTAGCATGACTTGTGAGAAATGATTTGTGTTTTTGTCTAATTAGCTGCTGGATGTGAATGCAGATTTGAAAACAAATTGGGTGTGAAGTTGGATTGACCGCACATGACCGTAGAGTTTTGTAGTTCTAAGTACAATGCTAAGACGCATTGCGGTTGGTTGGCGTCCTAAATGTTTGAATTTTTCCATGCACATTAACACATTACTTGGTGGTTTGTTGGGTGTCACCTATAAACTGTGCCAGTTCCTGATTGGCCACAGAATTAGGCTTGTCTCATCCGCTCTAATGACTCCTTAAGATGTGATGGTTTGATCTGGGTCCATGTCGACACACTTAGTTCCCCTCTAACACGCACACACACACACACACACACACACCTGGAGCCGTGCCTACTAGACTGGTCCCCGGCCATATGTCCTGCAGAGTAGCACGCTCGCAGACTCAGTGCAGTCTGTGCAGCTCAGCGTGGTTTCTGCAGGTGGAGCTGGTGAACTCGTTGAAGCTGCAGAGGAATATGGACGCTGCTCTTTCTCAGTGTTTCTGAAACGGTGCAGGATGGATGAATATGCTCAGTAATCCTGAATTTTCTGTTGGTACGACATCTCGGCCTCTCCCGTCGATGTGTGTCACTTACTTACTTTTTCATCAATTTAAAATCTGTGTAGTTTACTGCTCTGAGTTTATTGAGATTATTTTGATGTGCAGTAACTGTAACCTTTTGTTGCTATAGTGAGGGTGATCGTTGCAGTGTCACCTCGTGTCTTTACAGATGAGAACGATGTCTGATGAGACAGAACAGAGGATGTGTGATGAAGACTTTGGTTCAGACGAGGAAGGTGAGGAGGGAGACGTGGAGTCCTTTCTGGAGGACAACAGCAGCGAACTCGTGGACCGACTGAGGGAGCTGGAGGTGAGGAAACAATAAAAACACAATTGCTATTCAGCTAATTCAAATAATTAATTATTATTAATAATTATTAGTGTGACTTCAGTGAGACACAATGACTTTTAGGGGATTATTTTTTTATTTTAGGAAATTATTATTATTTTTTTTCCCTCTTGCAGAGAGTTGGATGAGAAAAGTTGTTGGTAGCTTAGAATAAAGATCATGAGCTCATGAATTAACAAGTTGTTTCAACAATACAAAGCAGCTATTTTCCATTTTACTAGACTGTTTGCTCGCATTGAATTGTTTATAGAAGAAGTAACAATGTGTTCACGTCTGGCAAATCTTTCAGCAATGGATCTGTATTTATTTTTGTGTTACATATATCTATGTGGGATGGGCAGTTAAATGGGATTGGCACAATAAGTAATAGAACTAAATATATAATTGAGGGTTTGTTTAATTGTGGTTTACGTCACAGGCCGAAAACTCTGCTCTGATGTTGGCGAATGAGAGTCAAAGAGAAGCTTATGAGAGGTGCTTGGATGAGGTCGGTTCATGTTGCAGACTTTAAAGTACACATTGTAAAGCTCTGCTCAGCTGAGTGGTTCTGCATTAAATGTAATGTTCTCTGGTGTTATCAGGTGGCCAACCATGTGGTCCAAGCTCTGCTCAATCAAAAGGTAACACAAAGCCTCACTTCTGCCTCTGTGTTTGGATCTTAAACCAACCCGTTGAGTTGTCTCACTGCTCCGTCTGTCTGTGGCCAGGACCTGAGGGAGGAGTGCATCAAGCTCAAGATGTTGGTGTTCGACCTGGAGAGACAAAACCGATCGCTTTGCGAGCTCTTTCAGCACAAACTGCCCAACCACCCAACCGCTCACTACCAGGTAAACCCGCCGCTTTCATCGGTGGCCGAGTATCCCGGAGGGGATGTTACTTGAATCAGTGTCTTTTCCCGCGGAAGAATTCAAAAAATGTGAAGATGTTAAAAATTTTAGTGTGTGTGGAATTAGAAGGATGTGAGCTTACTGGGCCTGTTTGGGCCACTGCACCGCTTCGGGCTACAGGCTTGAGGTTCCATTAGTCAAGTTGCATTGTGGGTGATGGAAGTGCCGTGTCAAGACACAAGAATGTGTGAAATACATTTAAAATAGTTCTCGGGTTCTGTTGCATATATTTGTTCTGACAATTTTGTTGGTAGAAGTACGGAGGTGTTATTATCAAAATGTGCTCGTAACACAATGCCTCCATAGATGGTAACAATATAATATATTTTTTATTTTATTTGCTTAATAGTAATAATGCCGTTCCAAAGTGGAGCTTATGTAAAACTACCAGTTTAATGTCAAAAAGTACAGTATTTTCAGCAGGGCTCCTGCATAAAGTAAAGGACAGTGGAAATACTTCAAAGTAACAAACAAACCAACTCAAGCACAGTAGTTGTGTAAATGTATACAAAGCACAGCTCTGATTCGCAACGGCCAGAATGAGGTGGTAATTCATTCTTTCAGACGCTGCTGAGCCGGTAATGGATCTCCGGCTTTTCACTTCTGCTCTCTATTGTTCCAACAGACACCAGGACAATATAGCCACTGGTTGTGTGTGTGTGTGTGTGTGTGTGTGTGTGTGTGTGTGTGTGTGTGTGTGTGTGTGTGTATACAGTAAGCTGTAGTGTATACAGTGTCATCATAATTGCCTCATCAATCTCTCATTACAGGTCCAGGCGGGTCCTCTCCCAGACTACAATGCACAGCTGCACAATGACTCTGCCAAACAGGTAGAGGCTGCACAGACTGAAGCACAAGCCAAGGTGATTATTCTAAAGCCTTTTCCAAACATTAAGAGTGAAACAACAGGATTACATCCAAGCCTCTTAGTGGGTCCGGTGTGTGACGCCGTAAGCTGCTCTGACATTTGCTCCGTTTCAACTATTGTTTTTTAAAAAGCCGCACTCATTTCCTGCACGCAAACGCTGTAAAGGTCTCCATGCAGCATATTGTTTGGCCGTGCATTGAATTCTTGGTGATCGAGAACTATTTCTGTCCAAAGGGTAACGGTTACCGCACACAACATGCCTCCCCCGGCCCCCGGGGCTCCGCCGCCTCCATGGAGGCCCTGTCTCCCTTCTTCAAGAAGAAAGCACACATCCTGGAGGTACTCCGCAAGATGGAGGAGACGGACCCTCTGAAGTTCCACCCGTCCACCGCGAGCCTGTCTTTCTGCGACTACAGCCAGGTGCTCATGTCCACCGAGGCGGTTTTGGCCACCGCGGACCCCCCCTGCAAATCCCACCACTCCCACTGCAACTACTCCTGCCCGGACGCCGACTCACACCAGCGCGTCAACGGCGACGGGGCAGTGAAGTGCGAGGGCGGGAACGCCTGCTGTTTACACTGCAAGAGGAGCCCGGACAGCCCTCCGAAGCCATGCAACCACGTCTGCACTCCCTCCAAAGCCCACCCGGCCACCCAGAGCCACGCGGCCCCTGCTGCCGCCACCAGCGAATGTCACAGTAAGAGCCGAGCGGCCGAGTCCGCTCCCCCGTCTAAACGCTGCAACAAGAATGAAGCCCACCAGCCACCGGCGGGCGCCGCCGCCGCGCAGTCCTCGGTCACGGAAACAGCCGACCGGAGTCTGGAGGGGATGGAAGCGGAGCAAGAGACGGAGAGCTCTGAGAGTTGTCCGAACGGCAGCGTCTCTGAGGAGCTCACCGGTTTCTGTCCCGCCTCCCAGCTGCCCGGTTCCGCGACGGAAAGCTCGCAGATCTCCCACTGTGACGCGGGGACGAGCGGTGGCGTCCGCAACGGCGTCAGGCCTGCCATATCGAATGAGCCCTCCCCCGTCCCCGACAAAGACTGCGCGGATCAGGGGGCTTCTTCCGCGAGAGCCAGTGCCTCCGTCAGCCCCAGCACGTCGTGCCTGACTGACGTCAAAGCCGCCGCCATCAACTCGCCGTCCAAACTGCTCAAGTTCTTGAAGATCCCCACCATAGGGGAGAAGGCTCAACCTTCGACCCCTGCCGTCCGCCTGAGCCCCCAGCTCACGCGCAGCTCCAGGATCCCCTGTCGCACCAACAACTACGAGGTGTACCACTCGCCGGTTCCCCCACGCAGAGCCACCACCACAGAGCGCTGCAGGCAGCCCCCTCCGCCGCCCTCGAGGTCCGAGTCCTACCCCGCCACGCACTCGGCGCCGACCTCGCCTCCTCAGCCCGACGACGTCTCCGCCTCGCCCGCCCCGGACGCGAGCTACGCCAGCCTCTCGGCACCTAAAGCCAGTGCTGCTGCAAATACAGGAGCTCCTTCCGCCGCTGCCCCTTCCTCCTCCTCCTCCTCACCCAAAGTATCTCAGAGGGTCCCTCATTACGAAAATGTCTGCATGATGTCTACCAACTCCAGAGAGGAGCAACCAACCCAGGGCCTTGAAAAAAGAACCACACTTCCATCCCAAATAAAAGCCAACGGTGGTGAGAGGAAGCTCGTTAAATCGCTGCCCGAAAGTGTCCTCAACCCTCCTCCTCAAAGGAAGCAGTCGTCCTCGTCCTCGTCGGAGTCCACGTCAGATGAAGAGGAGGATTCAGACAGCCCGGTGTGGGTCAACCACCACAGCCTCCCCAACGCCGCCGCCGCCGCCAACAAGGTGGCGCCGGTCCGAGCCAGCTGCTCTCAGACCAGAGAGAAGCAGGAGGCAGACGTGAGGGAGATCCCTCTGCAGAGCGCCGAGGTCGCCCAACAACAGCCGCCGCCGCCGCCTCCGGTCAGGAGGAGCGACTCGTCCTCCATCCCCAAGAGGCCGGCGGCCGCGGCGGCGGCAGCGCCGGCGAGGCCCCCGGCTGACTCCAGTCACCACGCCTTCAAAGACAGGCTGGCTGCGCTCGGAAAGCTGAGGAGCTCCGAGGACCTACAAGTCGGCCTCAGGCCGGTGGAGGCAGTGAATGAGTTTGTAGAGGAAAGGAGAAAGGAGCCCATGGAGCTCCCAAAAGAGGAGCAGAGACATTCCAAATACACGGACGCTGTGGACGGTAAACCTAGACTCAGCGGCGGTGGTTTGAAGTACCCCGGTTCCTCTCAGCTGTATGAACACGCTGTTAAGTCCGCCGGTTCAGTGGCCGTTAAACAAGAACTCTGCGTGACCAAGACTGAAGGTTCCAAGAGTAAAATTGGTCTGCCGTCCCCCAACGCAGATGCTCCGCAGGTACTACGCAACAACATCAAGTGTCCCGCCTCCCTGAATCTGGCCTATAACCTTAAACCGGGCGTCGGTCCTCACAGTAGCAACAGCCCCAACAAAATCCCCCCGAAGTCGCCGTCCAAACCTTGCCAGGGCGCGTCCATCCACAGGGGGGGGAAGCCCGCGGAGGCCCCGCGTTACTCCTCCAAATCAGAGGAGAGGACGAAGATCAGCGGCAAAGGCAAAAAGAATCCAATGTACGGGGACAGCCTGCCGCCGCCTCCCCCGAGACCCCCCGTGTCCGAGGGGGAGGAGAAGCCGCCGCCGCCGCCGGTCCCCAGCCCGCAATCGGCCATCGAGCAGAAGGTGATGAAGGGCATCGAGGAGAACATGCTGAAGCTCCAGGAGCAAGACAGAGGAGCGCAGTGCAGCGAGGTCAAGCAGAAGGCTTCAAACGGCATCGCCAGCTGGTTCGGCCTGAAGAAGAGCAAGCTGCCGGCATTGAGCCGCAAGACGGACGGGGCGAAGACGAAGGACGAGAAGAAGGAGTGGAAGATCAACATCCCTTCAGTGAGCAGGGACTCCGCGAAAACGGCCGGCAAGTGTAAAGAGGGAGTGGAAGGCCTGAACATCTCGTCTCTGATGGAGAAGGCGGAGGGGCTGAGGAGGGCGCTGGAGGAGGAGCGGGCCTACGTGGAGAGGTCAGGCAGGGGTCACTCATGCGAGGTGGTGATGGACCCAGCTCAGGGACAGCTGGCTGTGATGTACCGGGGAGGACGCTCCGACAACTTCATGCAACAGCTGTTGAACAGGTGAAGACAAGTGGATTGTAACGATGCTTGATGACAAATATTGGTTTCAATAACTGGGTAGAGTTTGTTGCTGTCATGGGGGAAAAGGCTCCTTTGGAATTCTTTGTGAGGAATAAATAAGTGTTTTCAGTGTTTTTTTGTTCTTCTCATCTTACTATCTATGTAAAGTCAAGTATATTTTCTCCAATTATTTTTATTTTGTATTCTTCGTGAAATCGTATGATTAGTTCAGCCTAATGACATCAAAACAAGAATAAGTAAAACCGAGGGATAATACGTCACATTTTAAAGTACCGTAAAACAAAACAATAGGTATAGATTAACTTCTCTATCTTGTTGAGGTTGTCTACATTAATGATCCTGTTTAAAAATCTGTTTAAAAAAACTAGCCCTTTCATAGAGGGAATGCTAACACCTACTTTTTTGTGGTAAAGCTTGGACCACTTTAACTTAACCTGTGTTTAATAAATATAGAGTGGACGGGAAAGACGTGATCAGCGTACCCCAACGTCGCCTCTCGTTCGATTGTAAGACCTCCAAGCCGGTGTTTTGTCAGCAGGGCGACGTCCTCTCTCACACCACCAGTCGCGACGATATGGAGAAGGTACTTCATTACTTTATTTCTCTGGAGTAAACACACAAACTGACACCGTGTTTGCCTTTTACAATAGTGATAAAAGAAAGTGACGCACTTTAACTGGATGTATCCTGAATGATTTAATCTGCTTTCACAAGGAATCCGACACCAATGACCAGCAATAACAGAACTGTACAAAACTAGCCAGGGCCTCTTTAGTGGTGTAGGCCATGTAGCTGTGTTGGTGTTTAGTAGCGGTATATTTCCTGACCAGTTAAAGGTTCCTCATAGAAACTTCGGTAAAGATTGAAATGGGCTACTCAGGTTCTCCTACTGTTTGACTACTTTCCTGCACACTGAAGTGAAGAGACGACTTTTGGTATATTCACTCGATCTTACTACTTTGTTGTTTTTTCATGAAGGGATCAGAAAGAATCGGCAAAATAACATCAGATGAAAATCTTGCAGATTCCGTTCACTCCCAGCACTTTGCAGGTAAGAGTCTCTGTCAGAAATGTATCGAAGTAATGCATAAAATCTTATTTTATTATTATTAATTTATTTAATATTTTATGCATTACGACCTGGTTAAAGATCACAGGAACCCTCCACAGATCAACAGTGGTTTATTTACTAAAGCAATCAAATAAATCATAGCATAGTACGCCATAAAACTAATAACTATATTATAAAAACGTGTCAGAGAAAGTCATACAATTGTCTCTGAACAAAATTCATGACAATGTAGTTTACAAAAAACATTGAATGGCAAAGAAAGTAATGAAACATTTGCGTTTTAGTATATCGAAAAGCGTCAATCAGAAATTCTTCAAAGAATTGGATCACAGCGTCAAAGGAAGTCATAAAAAAGTCTTTGTATAGTAAGAGACAAAGTTATAGTTCAGTATGTCAAAAGAAAGTCATAATAGAGCACGTCAAAATGAGTTGTAGTATAGCATGACGAAAATAATAAGTATCCTTGTATAGTTTGTGGAAATAAGGTGAACGTGTAGTACGTTGCAAGAAAATCTGTACAATACGCAACTGATTTTATCTTTTTCAAAAGGACGTTAATCTGTAAATATTACCTGACTGGTATTACTACTAACTAAAACATCTGATTACTGCAGACCAATATTACAAATCTGATGAAAATGTGAACACTGAGAGGAAATTAATTGGCTCATACTTTAATTAGCATATAAAAGGTCATGTCACAGAGGAATAGTGATTCAGAACAAAAGTAAAACCTCTATTAAATAACTGGGCATCACTCGGTCACTGAATGAGTTGTTTCCCTGCAGGTTCTGGAGCGTCCACGTACACGCTGGACAGCGGCATCGGTACGTTCCCCCTGCCCGACTGCAGCAGCGGCGCCGCGGGGCGGAGCCTGTCCAAGACGAGGGCGGGAGCCGAGCGCCACTCTTCCGGCTCCCCGGGGAGGGCCGGCCGCCGGGCCCGCACCCTGGACAGGGAGCCGACGCCTCAGGACGAGTGCTACGTGCCTCACAAGCAGCTGATCCCGACCATCCAGTACGGCTCCGTGCTGGAGGGGAGGAGCCCCGCCGGCGTCATCCGTGAAGGTGCCGCACAGAACGCCATGTTGTAGCATTCGGTAGTGATTGGATGAAGTCCCCTAAATCGTACTGCAGTAAAATGAAATGAAAGCGGTAATTCCATGCCAGCAAGTGGTTTCTATTAGAAAAAACATTCCGATGTCTTTGGTCAACTGAAAAAGATTAAGACGCTACATTTGTGTTGTAAAGAACAGATTGGTTTATTCTTAGGGAAATGTTCAGATTCATCCTCTGGGGAACACAAATGTCTAAACAAAACATCGGGGCAATCTGTCAAGTAGTGAAATCTAAAAGAGTTCGCTCCTGACCGATAATACATTTGGAAATGTGTTTTGAAATACAGACCAAGAGGCCCCCTTTCCCCTTCGCTCGAAGACCTGGACCTTCCCCAACCTGAAGACCGCGGCAGGACCTGCAGAGGTTTATCTGGCAGTGGAGGAGGAGGAAGAGGAGACGGTGTCCTTTGGATCTCCCTTCAGAGGGGTAGGGATGCTTTTATGACTTTAGAAGTCGTGTTTACTGAGTAACTGCAAAGAAAACACAATTAATGAGAATCAGGAGACTCTATCAGCCATTTTTCAAATTGAAAAGCTGCCGTGCAGACGCCTGCTTCAAGGAATAATCTGGGTCACTAAGAGACTGAAAGTACTTTGCAGCCGGTAAAGTCGATACATTTTTAAATCTGCACTCACATATTACGTAACATAAAAAACACAGAACCACATTCTCCCTTTAGAAATTATTAATCAGCTGAGCATTCATTAAAGATTCACACTCGTTTGCTTTATGTAACCCATTTTTTTTTTTTTATCACCTGAGGGAGTTGCATAAGACGAAATACACAACCTCAAATTCTCGCCCCACTGTGCATCCCTTCAGGGCATGAAGGCCGGCGGCCCCTCCCCCAGGCCAGCGGGCGACCCGGGCAGCCTGCCCGTCCCGGCCCAGTCGGGGATCCGCAGGGGGAAGACTCGGACTCCCAGCGTCCCCGAGATGAGCCGGGAGGCCGGGCTGGAGCTGCTCAGGGAGCGGCCGGAGGAGGCGCTCTCCCCGAGCCGCCCTCAGGTCCTGGAGACCCCCGAGTCGCTCAGCGATTCTCTCTACGACAGTCTGTCGTCCTGCGGAAGCCAAGGATGATCCGTCCAAGGCTTCGGGGAGAAGCTTATCTAGTCCAGACAATGTGACACAGCCCTTCTGGACATTTCCTCCCGGCTTGCAGGCCGTACTGTGATGCTGCTGACCCACCGCCATCTTTGAGGAAGAGCGACTCGGTGCTCTTTAGACGTTCACAAGAATATTGTGCCGATGCTTTCTCATCAGCTGTTTCTCTGTTGCAACTGGAAAGAGATCAATAGACTTCTCCTCAGGATTTCCTATAAACATGAAGCCAAAAGCCACCCCAGATCGTAGAAGTCGTTCATTTTTCTCACAATCAGACTCTCCTGTGGACACTTTGATTCATGTATAGAGGACTACAAAACGCATGGCTAAGCTAATGATTAGCACAAAAGTTGTCACTTCTGGTAGTTGTTCAGCAACTTGTCTTTTGTTTTGAATCATTTTGGTAGACAGATTGTTGTGTACATCAAGCAAGAGCGGTTCAATGGCTGGCGATCTGTGTCAATACATCTATTCTGTTCTGGACATCATTTTGTCAAATGACATATTGGGGAGGAAAAAAACCCTTAAAAAAAAAAAATCAATCTCCTTAAAAAAAAATGAATGTTAATATCTGATTCTTTATTGCTAAACTCATGCACCACAATTTTAAATGTATGAACAATTTTGTTTCGCGACCAATTAAGGTTGTCAGAAAATGTCTGTTTTAAATCATAATACATTTAAAGGTAATATATACCAGCAATAACATAGATAAGAGAAATGGCTACACTATTCAATGAATATGTATTTCTATTTATTTATTTTGAATGTACATCATTTGCAGTCTTTTCATTTTGTAATTCTTCGGTGAAATTGCAGCCTTTTCGCTTGGTAATTATGTTCATAACTGTATTTCAACATCTCCGTTGCTGTTCGTTCCCTAGCCAATAGAGGTCCTATGTACCAACTGCCGTTTTTCAACTTTCTAATTAAAATGTTTTGATTTAGTTATGTGTGAAGTGGTTATTTTGGCCGGTCAAACCCATTAGACAAAAAGTAGGTGCGAAGCGCATTAACTAAAGTGTCACACGGAGACAATATTCAAATTCAGCAGAAACAATGACACAAATCCTAAATTACCCACAATGCAACTCACAGGCAGCTACTTTTTGCCCAGTGGGAGATGTCAGACAATCCACAACATTTTAAATACAAAACTATCACTTCAGTATTTGTACACCTAATTTATGAAAATAGAATATTTCTTCATGACTTAGTACACTTTAAATGGTAAAAGAAAGACTTCAATACGTTCAACACATTTATTTGAGCAAATGTATCAAATTAGTTTAAATTTTACATCCATAAAATAAATTCTTCACAGTATACATTGTCAAAAAATCGTTAAGGTTTAACATCACATGGCTAACTACTTCTAGACAACATATTTAGAGAAATTTACACTGGGAGAGGTCAGAATCACTCGCCTGCTGACAGATGTAAAGACAGATGGCACAGACTCGTCTTCCTCCTCCAGCTCCCGACACACACGATCCCAAAGGTCCGTCTGAATCACAACTACTCAGACAGGCTTTTAGGGTTTGTGAGTGTTACCGGGCGTCACCATTCTAACACAAAATGTTGGTCTCAAAAGAAGAGTTGTCGGAACAAAAAGCAATGACCGGAAAATACTTTTAAAAAGGGGAATAATCTATTGTCAAAATCATGACACTCCACTAAGAGAATGGAGGGAAACTACAGAGTAAGCAAATCAACGAGATGGAATAAAACAATTAGCCTCAGAAGCCGACATGACTCACTAAAAAGGAGCCGATCATGTCATTCCTTTATGGCACTAAATAATGAGTATCTTCATTAAGTGCTGCTCAGCTTCTGGGAGTGTTCATGGGACAACACTCCCCTCTACAGGCCAAGCATGCTCACTGCAGCATTAGTCTAATTCTCCATTCACAGCCATGGCGGGGAACAGCATTAGTTTAGCATAAACCTACATTCAACTGTTGTTGAAAGTTCAGAAGATAAAATCAAAGAAATTTCAATAATATAAGACCACAGGAGTTAATTCAATAAATGAAGACAGAAAGTGAAAAGCACCAAATGCATTGCAAATTGTGCCTCTGTTGACAAATTGTTTTTTTATTTTGCAAATGTTCTTCACTTCTTTTCCTTCTTCTTCTCCTGAAAAGGAGGCAAAATCAAAAGCTGTAAGACGAGTGAAATTCAAATGTGAAAAAAAAAGAATAATAATTCCACCTTCCTTTAGTGGTATCAGGCGCTTCAGTGTGACAACCTTTCAAACTATCACCAAGATAAGTACCAAGATTCTTTACTTCAGTAAAGTGTTTTACACAACACCGTCCAAATACTGCATTACTGAAAGTTTTGAAAGCAAATTGTAAAGTAAAAATAAGGAACTATTATCAGGAAAATGTACTTTAACGTATGAAACGGGTCATACATCTGATAATGTCAGATACAGTTAACAATGAGGCTTTAACGTGCACACAGCGTTTTACGGTTGTAGGTGGAGCTGGTTATCGGCTCTATACAGTCAGGTAGTTCAAGTCATAGTTTCCCACCTGCCCCCACTCAGAGGGTCACAGGAGTAATGTGAGAAAATGTGAGCCTAACAGGCTAAGACTTATTAATAGGATCCCTTAATCAGTCTTTGGTATTTTTATTGGATGTGTTGAAAATAAGGAAAACTAAATATGGTAATACTTAGTTTCACACAAACAGGACAACATTCTGTACCTTATCGTTCATTGCGAGGATGACCATAAGTTTTCTGAAGATGGTGATGAAATCCAGGAACAAGTCAACGCAGTGCCTTTAAAAAAAATAAAAAATAATAAGAGTATGTAAATGATCATAACATAACAAAATCAGGCCATAAAGTACATCCATTCCTTTTTTACAGGTTGCCGCTCGGAAAAGGTAGGGTTGTTTAAGGATCTGATATGAGGCTACACCTCGCGATGGAATGATGCAGTTGCGTGGTATTTGGTGAGGAGGATTTGGAAACAAAAGACATGGGATTCAAAAACGCAAGTCCTCACCAGATGTAGTCCTTGTCTCCATTCTCCGCTTTCTCAATAATGAGCTGAGTGTCAAACAGCACAAAGCCGCACATGATGAGCAGCCCGAGGTACATGTGTGCCTGTCGGAATACATGAAAAATATGATTTAGACCAAAACCTTGACACAGATGATCAAACATTTAGAAAGGAATGGTGCCGTTTGGTTCAGCTACCTTAAACAGCATCACAGATCCAAAGAACATGTTCATCACAGACATCAGGAACAGGAGGGAAAGGCCGGACATCAGAGTGCCTAACAAGAGTTATGGGTTAAATTTGAGGTACGGTTGTGAATGACGGTATGCAGTGTGATGGTCAAAACGTTACAGCCTTTACCTCCGAGGAACAGGTAGCTCCTGCGTTTGGCATAGAGAGCGCTGAGAGTGAAGCAAATGAAAATCACAGACGTTCCCATGAAAGCAGTCAGGATGATGCTGGGGAGAAAACAAAACATTTCTTCAGTTTCCATTAAATTCCCACTTTGATTTATTTGAGTACAGACTTTGAGCAATCATCACACAATGCTCTTTAGTTGTATAATTTTTAACTTTTAGTCAGCTAACTGCAGCTGCCAAAGAACGAAAGTTTAAACATTTCACATACCTCGGATTGACAGCGATGACAAAGTCCAGTGTGGGGCCGAGGCCGACACCTGGAGAAGAAGAGCAGAAGGAAAATGCTGCCAAAAGACTCTTACATGAAAGTAAATTAACAAAGATAGTTAACGTGTTGAGGGCCTACTGCGCTTATAACATCAGGTACCTGTTAGGAAGGCAAATCCCGCGAGGATGGCCAGTCTCTTCTTCTCTGTTTCAGAGTTGTGTGGCGTCATGGCAAGCCAAAACATCATTCCCAAGGAGCCGAGTACAGACAGCACACCTCCCTGAGAACAGGACCACGAGGAGTTAGCACGAAGCGTCCAGTGCACCGCTTGGATGCAATGGAACTTAAACTGTAGTCGTTTTGTTTATACACCATATGATGTTACGGTAAGAGACATCTTGTTCAAAAGTTTTTTCTTTTGTGGTCTCATCCCATAACATCTTATGATCGGATTCAACAGGCGAGTATGTTCACCTGTGGAAGGTTAAGTAGGACCAAGTATTGCTGTCTGTACTTTGCCTACGGGCACAATTTGCATGGACACACAGGGTCAACATGGACAGACAGACTGTGTTGCATCTCGTTAGCGTTACCTGGAAGAGGCGTGTGACGACATGGACATAGGAGCCCGCTGCCGCCACAAACATACAAAGTGCCAGGCTGGAGTACACATTCTTCAAGTGCACCTGGGTGGAATGAGATCTGCGGGGGGAAAATAAAAAAATTGTATTTACAGTAAAGAAGGGGCAGAGGACACTTGAGTTGCATAGTCGAGTATGTATGTAGAGTATGTGACTGAGATAGGAATCGACTGCATGCTTACGTACATTTGGGAGAACTTGAAGAGGGAGTCAAAGTTGATGTTGCGATCAAACACGTTCATGATGTAATCGGTGCTTTAAAGAACCGAAGAGATTCTTGAACTAACAAAGTGGAACACAAACGCACATGATGACACCAGAGCACCAATTTCAGACAGGATCAAAGCCGTTTTACAACTATAACTGCAGAATTCAAAAAGGTTTGTTGACGTTCAAGTATGGGGAGCAATAGCGAACGGTCAGCAATATACCATTTTTAGGTACTATTTCCTCAACAATCAAAATTGATCTTGATCAGTCAAATAATCAGCCAAATATTGGACTCCAGCAAGTTGACTTCCAATAAAGTTACTTACACTTTGAAGTACTACGGCAACGTGCATTTCTACCGTTACTTAAATCGAGTTGAAATGACCCGAGTAGTTAAAATGACCGGGGTTGTACTTCCAACATGTCACTTATTACAAGTGCGTAGTTTAATGACCACACAGATGATGATGGCCTTCGGTGCTTTGACAGAAATGGTAACTATTTAAAAAAAAAATCAAAGTATCAACCGTTTCTAAACATAAAGTAGCGTATCCTAGACGTAAGGAGTTAACGTTGTATGGTCCTTTGTGCCCGAAGGCCGTGAAAAAAAACTACTCCGGTCTGAGTTGTGTTAGTTTGTGACATTAAATTGCACAACAGGTTAACTGATAAGCGCTGACGGTTAAGCACACTAGCACGCTTTCTAATATTCTCAATTGGTGTTAACAATACTCCTGACAGCTGGCAACAAAATCAAAGGGAACTTAAAACTGGTTGTTAAAAACAGGATAGTCGAGGCTGTTCTGGGCTAACAGCCCAAAACTATGTTTAGCGTATGAGGATATCACGTTAACAGCTAACCGTTGCCAGCTAGCTAGGCGTTGCTAAGCTAACGTTAACTTACGGTCAAACACAGAGCCGTTTGGCTTACTAAGCTAACGTTCGGTAGCTCGTTGGTCAACACAATTCGACGTCTCGGTATTTCCTGATGAAATATCGCTAGCAGCGTTGCAGATAAAAGCTGGTAGTAACAAGATACACCGAGGGAATTAGCACAACATGCTAACACAAGCGCTTACCTTTAACTTACTCTGCTACGAGCTATCAACTGTTTGGCAGCCGTTCTTCTTCCTGCTGTACGTGTCAGTGCCCAGATGACGTCACCGTGGCCACGCCCATAACATTGTTGTCCCCGTGAGTGAAATACGTGTTGATCACGTCACCGATGCGCACAAATCAACAAGTCACCCATATTATAATTACTGAACAATTAATATACGTTGTCGTTGTCTAATACGTCGTTAAGAAAGCGTTATATTAAAGGGTACTTCCTGTGTGACACCGAGTAATGTCTCCGGTATACCTAAAATGGCCGACCCATAACATGAGCTGCTCCATTTCAAACGAGTAAAAATAGGACTTTTTATAAGCAGTCAGCAATTCAAATTCGACCACACGATTAATAAAAGCTGTATTTCAAAAACTACGTTAGCTCTGCTGAGAAATCATCAAATTAAAACACTAAATGTGTTCCTAGGAGTAGAGTGTAAATCTTGATCAATCATTACTGACATGATGCAAGTAAATGCAACGTCTCATGAATATTCTCATCTGACTTTTACGTCAGAGGTCGCGTTCTTTTTTATTATTATTATGATTAATACCCGGTCAGTGTACGTAAGAGTCGCGCAACCAGCACTTTAATTTAGTACAAAGTAACAACAAAATGTAGTAAAAGGAAAAGTAACTGTGTAGAAGTGGCCTTGTTATATTTAAGTATAACAAAACCAAACTAAGTGATTCACTTACTGTGATAAATGTTATAGCTGTAAGATTAATTGAGTACGGTAAAAAAAAAGAGTCCCTCAAGAAGTATAAATAGAATAAAATCCCACCAATGTTCATGTTGAGAATAAAATTAGTAAAAAATATACTGATTGGCCAACGATGATATGTTCAAGTTTAAATACTAAAAATAAGAAATAAGTGCATTTAAATCCATTTTTAGCCTACTAAGTAATCCAAAGATGTAAATAGAACTTCATGGTACAAAATATATTTGAGACCATAATGATTTAAAAAGATAATTTGTTTATGTTTAAAAGCACATACAGTGAAGTTTATTGCTTTCAGATACATTAAGAGATGTGTCCTTTAGTGTCTCGGGGGAGAAAAACAATCAAAGACGGTACAATATAACCAATTTTTATTAAAAAATAAAAAATGGTAGCACCTTGTTTTTTTTTTTTTAGTTTTGGTCAGATTAGACTTTGATTTGTGATACACAAAGACAAATTGTAACTGTCTAAGCAAATACTTTTGGTCATCACAATTGGTACAATTTCATTGCCATGTTTTACTAGTTGCCAACCAGGCAATAATTGCATCAGACATTAAACATTATTGAAAAACCATATTACCCAGTAAACACCCCACACAAAATATCTGTCTTACTGAATATAAAATGGAAAAAGAAGACGTGTCCTTGCATGATTCAATCTTGGATTACAAATATTTATTTAATTGCTTGAGTTTTGAATTATCTGAACTGCTAGAAAAATGTGTGATTTTTTACTTACAGATAAAACCCAAGGCCAACCTCAAAGTAGGCAAATGGACTACGAAACAATGTTAAGCATTAAGAAGTACTGGACAACACAGATTTTTGGCCAATAAATATAGAAAAAACACTCGGACATGCTAAAAAAATTTAATATTTCAAGTCCCACAGCCACACGGCATTACACCTGCTCTTGACAGTGTTTACTCACGCTCAGCATGACACATCAGAGTGTGTAGGCCTACAAATCTCTTTCAGGCAGAACACCGTTCTCTGACCGGATTTCAAAAAGGCACAGTTTTTTAAAACTTTCAGCACTGTCAATATAAAACAAGTGCAAGTTGTTTGTCATATAGTAATACAAGAAAAACATAGTAACAAACGAGTTGTTATTAAAACTCAAATGAAAACTGGCATCTACGGTCGTCCTATGTGCCAACATGTTCCAGTGTCTGCTTTCAACGGACCATCAAAGACAAGATTTCACCCAGTTTACTTAACTTATACCACACGCTAATCCGACCATTAAAGATGTATATTTGCATGGTTTGTAGAAATTATATTTATAGTACAAATTAGTGAAAACACATTTTTCTGCTCCCTTAAAAAGTAAATAAGGCTACAGTAATGTTTACATCTATTGAATGCAATTATTGACCGGCTACAGAGGAGGTACTTTGCATGTACTTGCAGAACTGGGTTGCATAGAGGAACCATGTTCACCGTTTAAAAATAGATTTCCTTATAAAATAACCTACAAAAAGAAATCAATAACTGTATAAAATCTGGTGGAGATTTTTTTAAAGAAAAAGAGTGGATTTTTTTTTGTTGTTGTTCCATAAAAGGCACAAGAATGAAAAAATGTCCAAAAGTCAAGTCAGGGCAGGCAGGCTTCTGCTTTGGCAAAAGAACCACTTTAACATTGTAACCGGAGTGATTGTGATGGGACTGCTTTGGTTGTTGATTTGTTGATTCCCGCTCTTTCCAATAGTGGTTGTCAATAATCAGCACTGGTCAGACGAAAGGCCTCAGATTGCAATCTATAGTTTCAGCCGAGCCAAACACGTTGTGTTTTTCAGGCTTAGGATTTCCTTTACCTCCACGCAAACACACTTTTCTAAACAGAAGATTTTGTGCAGAGCCCCGGAGGACATCTGAAAACTCTTGGCATCTTTTGTCGATAGAAGGCCCTGTTGTCCACAGAGGACTTAATGTTCACGCAGCTGGTCCAGCTGGGTGTAGACATTATCGGCTTGACTGAGTTCCTCAAACACAGGCAGAAGGTTGAGCAGCTCAGCGTCTTCCACGTCATCAAACCATGACACCACAGGAACCTGTCAGAAACAAACAGTCACTCACAAACGTGTAAATGTAACCAGAGGGGGTACACTATTCTGTATACTACAAACAAGAGTTCCATTTCTCTTAAACTTTTAAAGAAGAGCAACAGCAAACAGCCTGAGTGGAAACATGTGCTGGGTTCAGGACTGTGAGGCTCCACAGCGGAGGACGGAAACCGCCCATCGGTACCCGGCTAACGAGGTCATTGGTAAATGTGAGGAGCTCAAAAGGAGATTAAAGAAGACAATAAACTCTGCAGCCGTAAGCCGTTTATGCTGCTGTAAAGTAATCTTGTAATGCGCATACTTAGTCAATTTGTAAATAATCATCATTTGCGATCCGACTCTAGAAATGAGGAATACAATTGGAATATTAGCTATTTTTTCCAATAACTGAATCTGCTAACTGGTGTCATTTTGCGTGATTGATTCCTCATCTAGTTTTCATCCTTTCACTCCAAATTGCGTTCCGCCGCCGACACTGGATGATTATTATTACCGTACATGTTTTGGTTCAATCTATGCTCTTAAATCAGATCAGCGAGGATGTGATGGTTGTCCATATTTGTATTTGTATTAAACTAGTTGAGCTCATGGAGGCGAATCATATCTGTCACAAGCACATAAAAAACTCACAGCATTGTGAGGGTGGAAGATGTAGGAGGCAGGAGAGTTATCCAGGATGAGGGTTTTCTGGAGATCTCTGCCCAGGCGGCTCAAATCTTTGACATAGCAGCCCTGGTGGAATACACAAGATTCCCGGAATAACCGGGTCCGGAACACACCACACTGATCCAGAAGGTCCGTCACCGGGTCGGCGTACTGATGGAGGCCATGGGGGGAAGCAGGTGTTGGAAAAGCAGGTTGGACTATGAAGCAATGTCAACTAATGGTGCATATTTATTTCTAACAGCTAATAGCTAAAACATCACACATAAAAAAAAACCTATTAATCTGGATCAGGTTGCTGCAGCTGGTTTGTAGAAAGACTTCTACATTTGTGTTGAAAAGTCCAATATTAATTGTAAATAAATACTGACACTAAAATATGTTTGCAAGGTAACAGTATCTCAGTTTGTTGGAGCATTGGAGAACCAATTGTAATGTCTTTAAGCATAAATCTCAAATGAAGTTATAATTAGGCTGAAAGTCAGAACTTAAAAAGCGTTGAAGCAAACAGAAAACAAACTATAGCTTTAAAAATGAGCCGGGTGTCCACTAGGGTGACTAAGAGCGTGTTAGGCAGCTTCTATCACATCAAAGAGTACTACAAAGGCAAGAAAAAGCAGAACAAATCTCTTAGACAAATCTGACAAGACCTCAAACATCTGAACAAAAGATACTTTGTGCAGAATAGAAAACAAATCTATTTCAGTATCTGTTTCAGTATGTGATGTACTGTACCTTTGCGAGACTGGCTGTAAACAGCACACATTCAAACAACTCTCCCATTCTCTGCAGGAACTCATCCACGTGCGGCCTCTTCAGTACATACACCTGTAATACAAACACACCATTAGTAACAGGAGGACTTCAATGTCATTTAAACGCCCTCACATCTGCATCATAAACCTCCGTTTCCCGTCCGTCGGCTGCTAATGGCCTGTTCCTGAAACAAGTAATCAAGAATAGGCCGTGCCAGTGTTAACCAGCCTATCCTGGATTACTTGAACCAGGCAGAGGCCCGCGGTGGATGCTGACCCTCAGATGGGGTCCCAGGAATCTCGTTTCTCTCTTGATTACGTTTCCATATGTCCGCTAGTTAGAAGCTCAAGTCAAACAGATGGTTCAACACAGCACGCCGGTTGAGCGCTTTTACAACATCTTGACAGAGGCAGCAATATGTACTGCATCACTTGTTATGACATGTTAGATGAATTGTGCTGAAACCACTCGCTTCCTTGCCGATGCATTCACTTCCACTTTCTCATCCCCCTGTTCAACGTCTGGCCAGCAGAGGGCTCCGTACGCCCTCGTCAGAACGAAACCGGGCCCATCTGTTACAAGACCCATCCCTTTTCAGCAACCGCTGCAAACACATCGACGCACATCCACCAACACACACCCACCCCCCCCACACTCCCCTGCAAACACACTCACGACAGCATTTTACCTGGTGTGTGGTCCCCTCTATCTCCACAGGCACGATGAAGTCTGCATTACTAATAGGCTGCAGGGGGAGAACATAAAGAGTTGAAGTTGGTCGGCATGCTCGTTCACATGGGCCCGCTGTGTACATTTCCATGGCCTTATATAACAACCGAATACTGAGAAGCAGCCTGCACACACTGACGCTGCCAGAAATCACAGAATGTAATTCACTTGATGTTCCACGAGCACATGTGATGCTTTTAGAGGAGAAACATGGAGACAATGAGCCTATTTGTTGGCCAAGTGAATCCCTTCTTTGCTTTGGTACCTTGAATGAGCTGTGCACCAGGGTCTCATCCAGGTCTATGACCACGCATAACTTCCCTTGGTCCTGGGCCTCGATCTCAGGTAGGAGGCTCGGTTCAGGATGCTGAGAAGACACAACGGTACTTTTTATAAATAAAAGCGATACCATCCAACATGCACCTATGTAATCAGCATTGTTCTTGGTTTATTCGTAGGGAGCATTATTAGCCCTGATGGTACACCAATGTATATAATAATCAGACCGTGGCTGTTAAATTTGACCTCTGAGAACTTATACTTTGCTGCATGTATGTCTGGATGAAGGTGTGAGCTTAATCTTTTACAACAATATCTTCTATATTGCATTTTTATGTTGTTTAGTATGTTTCCCAAAAGCATCTCTAGATATTCACCTAAAGGGAAAAAACATTTTAGATATCCAGTTTCCCCCATTAATATTGCTTAATTCTAGGCTTTTGATGAGCGCAGTTAATCTTTTTCAATTATCCGTTGAGGATGGAACAGCAATATCATTTCCCTTACTAATCAATTCTATGCAACACAATAATAATAATCAGCACCAACATTTGAATTTAGTTTTTCATTTAGGATCCAGACAACAACCAGGCCCTACAGATGCTGCTTCCTGGAGCTCGAGGACACTCTCCAACGTGAACAACGATGCCCCTTACATGGCACTGACGCTCTAATCAGGCTGACAGCGTTCAGCCGAGTGCGGCGTGCGCTCAAGGCTTTATTTTTTCTCCTCCTCAGCAATTACTGGGCACACAATACACTGTTCCCTGCGCGCCGTCTGCCTAAAGGATTGATGGTCGCTCTGTCGTTCCCGTCTGCCTCGGTAGATCAAGTGTGAACATCAAAGCTATTCCATATCCGCAGACAGTTGCGGTTAGCCTTCAAGATGTTCAGAGCAGGTGCGGTAGAGGTTTCAGTGCGCACTGCAGTTGTAAAAAATAATGCTTCGAGACCCCACTAAGCACATTTTTACAGCAGCCTGTTTAGTTTATTCCCTACAGATGTCCAACCTATTCAACACTTTTTCATGGTAAGCACTATGTGTGTGTGTGTGCATGTGAGGAGGTATGACAAGGAAGTGAAATCTTCCACGAAGAAAAAAAAAACTGAATTGAGGTCTTGAAATTGTTTTTCAGTGATGTGAACATTGCTGGAATAAGAACGGTGTTACCTTGACAACCGTCCCGTTTTCTTGTGACTCCAGCAAGCCCTGATGGGGAGGTGGTGGTGTTGGCGGTGATTGTTTGGGTCCATCCCGAGCTTGGACGCAGCAGAAGAGCGCTTTGAAGATGTTACAACTCCGAGGCTGTTTCAGGGCAGACCGACTCACCTTGCCTGTGACACGCGGAGAAACAGAGACTTTCATGAGGAAACCGAGCGAAACGGGGAAGTCTTGTGGGGAACGTTAAACGCGAGTTCATACACAAAAAAACAACAGTTATTCATATTCAGTGTAGTTAATTATCAGCTACTTGTAACATGTGGAAAGAGCTTCCGCTTTCCTAAAGGGCGCCACCCATCTGTCTGCAGGTATGGCACAGCTCGCACTGGAAATCTGCTTTCAATGCGCCTGCCTCTGCTGCTGGAAATGGCCGGTACATGTTATATAATCACAGAGGGCGGGAAAACCCACACTTTTCAGCACTACCTTTACCAGGAAACACATACAGAAAACATTCCAACCGCTTTAAACTCCGAGACCTTCCAGGGCCGCCTGGAGCAACGCGGGCCGGAGCAGAGAGTCGCCTATTCAGCCGCACAAGCGGTCACACCTCAACGCTCCTGGCGGCTCTTTGATCAGTCACCATCACCAGGAGCGTCCCGGAGCCACACACACGACTCGTAGTGAAAGAAAGAGGGAGAAAAAACATTCCTGCAAGTTCCCTCTGGTGGCTTTCGTCGTGTGGGGACTTGCAAGCACCATTTGTAACCATCAATACAGTTGTATTGCTGTAAAGAATACTAGAATTAGGAACTGTTGATAAAGTGCAGGGAGAGAGAGAGAGAGAGAGAGAGAGAGAGAGAGAGATTTACTTATTATTTTCTGTAATAACCTGAGTGCTCGGAAGACATAACGCACTCGCACAAATGAACGTGTTACACAACACCATCTTCACGAGACAAAGGAAATTGATTTGGTAATTCCTCAGATGTCCTTTATTATTTCTGCACCCTATTTCCTGGAGGAAAAAAAAAGTGGAATCACATATTCCACCGACGTGAACCCCGATTGATTACAGACAATCAGCATAAACGATCCTATTGATTTCCCACAGGACGGCGGTGTGACGTAACGAACACGGCGCACGACCCTCCGCGGCACGTGAAAGGACGCAGTGACCGCAGACGGATCCCGCCCGATATCTATTTGTGACGTTTCATCTCCACCAAATCAAATAAAACATGAATGGGGGGAGAAAGGCGGACACCTGAAGCGCGCGCGCGAGCCGGAATCCACGAGCCAGGCGTGGATTCGAGCGCGAGGGCCAGCGCGCAAAACAGCGCAATCTTTGAAACGGCGCTACGATGGGCGTGAGCGGAGGGGTGTGTTTGTGCATTCCGCTGTCAACAACGCGGCACCTGGTATTTCTACACAGTCCCTTAGTTAATCCACATCCACTCCCGACGTGCAACCCGGGATTTAATACACAGACTGCACCGTTGGTCCAGCAAGTAAAACAAACAAACAAACAAGCAAACTTGGGCACAGTGCAGCAGTTGTTAGTCACTGATGTGTGACCTCCCCCCCCTCACATACACACACACACACACACACACCTCCTCCCCCCGCCCCTAAAATTGTGAGCAGAGTAGTAAACACAATAGTTTCTAAATGCAGCAAACAGCCTGGTTCACACTGTACTACGGTGCACCTGGTAGTAGTGGGATCTATGTGGGGTGGTGCCAAACAATCGCTTGTTGGGTTTTTTTATTTGGAAAAGATATTATTAGATATATTCACAACAACACATGTTAGGAAACAAAATATTTAAAAGCACACGCAAAAAAACGGGATCAACAATAAGCTGTGGACGGAATGCCCTTAATGGAGACTAAACAGGATCTTATAATAAATAGTATTGGGTGTATATGCGGTACATCTGCATCGTAATCTCGCCTCTGATGGACGTTATTCAGCTTTAAATTCTTATTCTAACAGTTATGATATTCACGAGGGGGGTAAAAAGGGGGCTTTTTGTGGCAAAATCCCCCTCGCGAGTAAGCACATTGCGATTGGTCGAGACCCTTTGGCTGATAACATCGAACTATTACAGATGTGTTTGGTAAATGTAAAAAAAACAAGGGGGGGGGGGCGATGCGCCTCTGTGGCCGCGCTCTGCCGCCGCAGCGCTCAAACTGTCAAATGGGCGCACAACAGCTTCCTCAGTCCGCCCAGCGGTGTTCAGGGAAAAATATCCCAGTGATAAAACACCACGGGGACCAAACGGAGGAGATATAGTGCCACACTTCAACTAAAAGCATGCAGAAGAAAGGGTGGGGGGAAAAAGCCCGGGCCCGTCTCACCTGTTTTCGGTGACACTTGAACGTCTTCTTTCTGCACTTGGGTGATAACAGAACTTTCCATCTGACAATCACGGAGCCTTCAAAATCCTCAAATCCAGTCCCCGAGCACCGATGGGCATCCCTCATTGGGTTTTATTGAAAAGCCGACTCAATTATTCACCGAGGTAACTTGTCATGCGCCCTCGGTAACAATCCCCGATGAGAGAAGGATTTATGTGGTTCCGAGGTTTCTTTATTCCCCCGCCGACGCGTCTTCTTCTTCTTTTCTCGGAGGTCCGCCACTCGGAGAGGGGGCAAGGCACTTGGATATGTTTTCGGAGGCTATATTAAACTCTGTCAGCTCCGTCGTCTCGGGTTTACCACTACTATTACGGGTGGTGTCGCCGAGCAGCCCCCCTCTACCCGTCGCTGCGAAGGCTTCACTCTTGCACCAACAACATGGAGAATCCAGGCGAGAGAAGGAAAACAACCGAGGAAATGGGGCAAGGGAGGGCGGTTTCAAGCCCCCCCCTTACTACAAATAAACAACATCGTCCGAAAGGCTTTAAACAGCCACGGGGAGGAAAAAACGGGAATCGACCCCTTACGGTCGGTTTTGAATCAATAAAACGGATTCACGTGTGGACTTAAATGTAAAATATGAGTTTTGTTGTTATCTGGGGCTTTGTTTTTCTACGGTTGAGACTCCGCGGGCGCCTTGAAACCGTGGTGCTACATGATTGGGCACATGGGAGGTGGGGGCGTGGCCAATGCATTCCTCCCCGTTCTGCATGCGCTGCACCGTGGAACACATTCCAGCGCTGATTTTAAAATTAGATAAAAATAATGTCAATTTACGCAACTGCATTAACATAGGAGTCGTTCATATTAGATGGCGAGAGTGTAAGGTATACGCTCTTAAATAGTTCGTTAGAATAGTTTAATTACGGTTATTTTTTGTTTCTGTTTCATATACAATTACTTAATTGATGTTTGTACAACGCATTTTTGTTTTGTTTTGTCTTTAATCATTGGCGAAATTATTAATTTTGAGTCACAATAATCTCCCAAAAAGTACTGTATGGGTAATTTGCTGACTTAAACATATAACCCAAAAGGTACGTAGGTACGTGTAGGGAATTATTAAGTAAACCTTTTAGTTTACAAACACAACTCGCGGTTTTAATGTGCAACAGTGCGATACCGCAACCTCTGAATAGCAAGGAAACTGAAGCTTATTTGATAACCTATTGAACGATATATTACACTAAACATTCAATTTGATGCACGGTAGATTTTTACATTCATCTGAGGACCCCATCCGTTTGCAATATGTCCCCACCAGAGGAGTTTAGTTCATGCACCATGCAACACTACACAGTAACTGTCCCCAGTACTCTATGGGGGAAACAGAGGTCAGAGTGACACCAATGACCCGGGTTCTTTTTTTATTTTCTCTCTCAATTTGCTTCCCTTTGCTTACACAATAAGAAACTTTTCTTTGGAAACCGCTAAATTACGCCAATGACCAAACATTTGTGCAACTTCAGGCTCAAACGCAGTTAGTTTACCCCGAGACTGGTCAAAAGACAAGTATAATATGTAATCAACTCAACTGTCAACTGTGTAATTATTTAGATTTGAACACAGGAGAACTATAAACATTTGTAACGTTTCTATTGTAATTTGATTCAATTATTTTGTGTTCGGCAGCAGAAAATTCCTGTGTATTTCAACATAATTTTTCTCTATACTGACAATAATAAGATTACACACAGACAAACACATTAGTTTTACATTGTTCGCATGAATAGAAGTGGCTTTAAAATCCCTGCAGGCAATGTGGTTAACCAGTTGGTGCCCAGTCATTTACAGCTTGGAGGTTCTGCAGTGTCTCCTTATTGTCTGAAACCTCTCTAGTAAATCCCCCTGATCCCATCGCTGTCCCTGCACATGCAACACCTGCGGTGTGGAGTTTGGCAGCAGAAGATATTCAATCAAAATAAAACACACAATTGTTTTAGAAAACACAACGTGCAAAACAGTTTAGCTGAAGAATTTAAGAGGATCAATGAAATAAATGTCTTAATAAAGCAGTGACTACAAAGTTGAACTAAAAACGATCCATTCCAAACGCATGAGGGGCCCTCAGACCACAAGCTCAGCCAGTGCCCACAGTCGCCACAATGCAAGACATAAACAAGAACCGCCTCACTGTTTGCATTCCTGGTGTCGGGTGTTTTAGGGCAGCACTGACAGATCTGTGTAAAAATATATATAAAATAAGAACGGACCGCACAGCTGGAAAAAGTCATGTGGTTAAAAGCTGACGTCCCGTTTACTAAGTCAATTGGAAAAAAATTGATTATCTTTGCCTGATCTGCGGTGCGTCTTGGCCTCTCCTTATAATTTCACATTCCTCGGAGAAGAAGAGCAAACAAGGGAAAAAGCGCTGAGGCAGCTGCCGTTGTTGTAGCCCTCGGAAAAAGCTTTCCAAAAACATGTGACTTCCAACATCAGGTACACATTAAACCCACACACGTCTTTCACCAGAACTAATGCGCATGTATGTACGCAACAACAACACAAGGCGCATTTAGGAATGACTGCTAAGTGTGGCACATTTAAAACCTAAAGTTCAGTAATACTGACACACAATGACTGTATTCCTGTGCTGTTTATTGTGTTTGTTCGGCGGCACTTCAAATTTAATAACACATTTACATATTGCTTTTAGCATTGAAATCAATGAAATCAGTCATTTCTGGAAAGCAACGGTAAACAACATCAGGCGTTTTGCTGCAAAAAGCAATGACACATGTGCAAATCTGTTACATGTGGACGCATTACATTTACAAATACAACACTGTTTAAATAGCTTATATATTAATGTAAATCAGTGGTAAATATAAGATCAGACATATTATATACAAAAATATCCAACAAGTTAAACTGCACAGCAAAAAACTGTGGCGACGTTGACATTAGTGGTAAAAAAACAAAAAATATTCACGTCTTACATATGCACACACAGGAAGACACACAAATGCAAGAAGGCTCCATGCATCCATCAGGCTGTTGTGGTTCTGTTCCACATTTCACACCTTAGGAATCCACAGCGTCTACTCACGGCCTCATGCACTCTGCCATGCATTGCCACATCCAATCACGTTGATGTGAAAAACTAGCTGCTGAAACGTTCCTGGAGCGTCTGTGCCTCATGTAAGGCCCGGGCCGTAGGGTCTACGATCATGTGATTTGCTGGAAGCGCCCACCCTCCCTCGCCGTATCCTCCCCTCCCCTCCCCTCCCGCCTCTGCAGGCCTGCCCCTGAGTGGCCTCTGCTAGGCTGTGTTTCCAGGAAAGGGGCCTACTGGACGGGCTGTGAGGCCTCGGCAGGGATACATTGGCTCATTGAGAAAAACAAAAACAGAGAAGGGGCGGTGGGAAGAGTCCTCTGCTCTCTTACATAACTCTGCCTCCATGACAGAAAAACAGAAAGAAAGTTACCCGCCACAATGCAGAGAAAAGCCTTTCCCTCTGGTGGGCTGGTAAATGCTCAAGCACTTCAGGGCTGGAATTCAAGCAACACCGAAACCAGCGCTTCTCGCTTGCGGTTGCACAATAGTTGAAACTCTTCAGACACACAATCGCCTCAGCCGTGTCAAATTGTAAGTGAATGTACAGGGAAATAGCATTTAAATCACTGCAGCTCATTCTATCGTATCTGTTGCCGAGCCTGTGCAGCTGTAACGACAAGATGAAATGTGATGTAACTCATAAAATGTGATGTAACACACCATGTCATTTAATATGTTGTTCAGCTCCGGTGGTAAGACATTTACTGTATCCGAGCAGCGTCTTTGGTGGCCTGCACTGCCCCCCTGTGTTCGTATTAAAAACTGCATTGCAACTGATTTAATTCAATTTTTGACAGCGTTATGCACATTATGTGACACCTACTTCACACCTGTAAAACCGCCAAATTGGCTAAAGCCCGTCTTGATTGTCAATATTTGGGCTGCGACTAAATATAAACACAATACCAGTTTCTTGAGAACTAAATAAAAACATCTGTTCCAATCATCTGCTGAACTTCTATTATAAATAAATTGGCATCAGCAGATCCAAAAAGGTCAATCAGGTTCCTCACAGATGCACTATAGAAAAAAAGGTCCGTATTTGACTCAGGAGTCAAACTCCGGCCGCTGCTCCACCAGGATGCTCATGTCGTTCGCTCTCCTGGTGGTCGGATCCAGGCGGGAAACTCCCAGAGCTATCAGACACAGCCACACCTGCATTGATTAGACAAAGATAACATGTGCAGTATGAGCAGAGATGCAACTTAAATGGCCACATTCCACAATGCCCCCCCGACCAGATGGTTCTTAGCAGGGGGGGTTTCCCACTGAGACCAAACACAGCGAGATTATTGTGACATCACTACAGTTTTTAGCGAATGACTTCCGACTAAAAATTCTCCGTTAATTGTTTGCTCTATAAAATGAGAGAAAACTGTGAAACTTTTTTTTTTTCCAAAGATGTTTCATCCAACCAACAGTGTAATTTAAAGATATTTACCAAAGACTAAGAAAACAAGTCAATGTGCTCTTTGAGTATCGATAGCACAGACCGCTCTGGTTTTGTGACTGAGCTCCGCGATAGCTACACTGTAGTTGGAACAACCTTCTTCCACTCCCCTAATGTCACTTACCAAATATCCCACAAACAGCAGGTACGCTATGCTGAGGACGGCGGCCAGCGCATACAGCCACGCGCTGTCGAGGTCGCTCACGAAGACCACGACGAAGTACATGTTGATGACACACACGATCAAGATCACGAGTCCTCCTCCGATCTTAAACACTCTGCAGGGAAAAGAGAATAAGTGTGTGTGAAGTATGTATATGTAGTAAAACCAAGCGCAATTGTTTTTTGTGTCTTTGTGAAGTGGACAAACTTACAATCCGTTGGCAAACTCATTCATGAGAGACGGTAAACTGGTGAAAGTGAGGATGGGAATGAGGGCAAATGGCAACTGTGAGAGAAGAATAAATAATATTAATGTTATAATATTAAAATGGCGCTTATACCATTTCATGAGAAGTCAACAATGAACAGATTTCAAATCACAGTTAAAACTGATTTGTTGAAAGGGATGTGAGCCCTCCAAATCCAGAAAAACAAGGCACACTGCCAAGTACAGTTAAAAGTTTGCATTGTTGTGGCTACTTAAATATATAAGATATGTTTCCCACTAGATCAAGAATTGGTCTTTTCCAACGGGAAACCAGTTATTTAACTGTGAATCAAATATTTCAATCATACTAATGTCTTCCTTTTTTGATCGAGTGACTGAGAAGATGCTATGAGAGCAAAAGTTGAACTAAAACCTGATGTGTATGAAGGAAAGATAAAGCCAAAAGGTGGAGAGATGTTGATGAAGCTGCCAGCGAACCGGCCTTCACCTTGGCCTGACCTGCATGCTCTGCAGCACGTTGAGGAAGTCATTCATGCCCGTCAGGTGCTGCACGTCCTGGAAGATGGCCACCAGCAGCGTGGGAGTGATGGCAATGGAGCGGGTCAACAGCACCCGAGCAAAACGCGACCAGCGCAGGTTCAGGAAACCCTGAGGACGGAAAAAAAACACAACGTTCGGTGAGATGTGAGAGGTCTCAGGTTCTTTACTTGGCTTACATTAATAAAGCCTGATCCCATAAAGACATTTTGGGGGTGAAGCTACCACAACAGTGGAGTGATGTGTGTTTGTGGTGAAGCTAAACAGGTCCGAAGACTCCACAGTTTGTGTCAAATTGGGGTTCCTCCCTCCTCCACTAACCTCCATGACGAACTGGCCGGAGTACGTTCCGGTCATGGTGGAACTCTGACCAGCTGCAAGGATCCCCAGGGCCCAGATGTAGAGCGCCGCCGGGCCAAAGAAGCAGCCGAGCACCACTCCCTGAAACCAGAGCCGCCATCACAGACGTCGGTCAACTCACCAGCAGCCTTTAATTCACCGGTAAAGTCCCACGGAGCCCAATAAAAACAGGACACGGGCCAAAGGACTATGGGAAATGTCAAAGGGGTCACTTACAATGAAGAAACTACAGAGAATTATCACTTACCTCAATTTAACAGAGCATTTTAGCCTCTTTAACCCCATTGTTTAAACAGCACCGTACAGCAAAACCAGCTGGTGAACACAGTGGAGCATTTACCAGCTGAAGAGACAGATATTTCCTTCCTTTTCCGGAAATATTTATTCTCGTAATATTTCTTTACTGTCCGAAATTCTGCATTAGAAACTGCAATGCTTCATGGGTATTGTAGGCAGGGTTTCTGGGGCTTAATTTACACACTAACAACAAAATCCCCAGTTCACTCTCTGGGTTGAACTTACCCCTTTGTAGAGGTTCACCTCCAGAGTTTGATTGTTCAAGGGGAAAAGATTTGAATGAGGACTTCCTGTTTGATTGCAGACGCTGTACTGGGATTAGAAAAAACACACACACAAGTCTGTACAGACGTCAAGCAATGTGACTCTTATTTGATTACAAGAGCTGCTGCACAGATGCTCACCACTTCTTGGTTTGTGCGTCCGTAGAAAGCCTCGGCGAAAACCGCCACCACAAACACGTTGATGAGGAAGGAGACAAACAGCGCCATGGTCGACTCGATGAAGAAATACTTGTTGGCCTCTCTTACGTCTTTCTTGTTCGACCGATCCACTTCTCGAGACTGAGAAGACATTTGGGCACTTGTGATGAAGCTGATTTAAAAAAAAAAAGGTGCACGCTAAAGACATCCAGCAGCTGGTAATCGCACCTTGACAAGAGCCGAGTGGAGGTAGATGTTGTGAGGCATGATGACGGCCCCCACGATTCCCACGGCCTGACTCAGCTGAACGGAGCCGCAGCCCTCGCAGTACGGCACGAACATCCCCTTCAGCAGCTGGCCCTGGTCCGGACTCACTGTCACATACTGCCAGAGGGGGGACGTTAGCCACGAGCCGATACGCATCAGCGCAGATTTGGAATACGCAGCGTGGCCGGAGAAGCTGGCGTTGGAAAAAGATTAATGTTGGAAAATCTACACCAGACGTCGAGCTACGGCAACGGAAATCCAAAGAAGTGAAACGGTCAACGTTCTAGAAAACCTTGAAGATACTTACTTTTTTAAAGCAATTTACAAGAAGTTTATGAAACAAAGAGCGAAGAGCTCTAAACCCCTACATTTAGTTTTTAGCCCTTTTCGACAATTTGTATAAAAATCATCATTTCCTTTAAGGGTTTTTGTTTAGATGGCTAAAAAAAAGAAAGAGAGTTTTGCTCTACGACATTAAATGTTAGTATCTAGGCCTCTATTGATTCATGAAACCTTCTCCACATACCAACATTTGAATAAAAGGACTATTGGGACTTTTCCTTTTTCAAATTCAGCACTTTTATTGTTTCTTATTGTTTGTGCCAGTCCCCCATTCCAATTACTTGAGAGAAACCCTTGAGGGAAATCAAATGTGTTTGCTGATTGTTTTCACATGAGAAATCCAGCTGCAGGGAGCAATAATTTATCACCGCTAGTTGTTATTCTCTGTGCCAAATCCAGAGGCTAATTGAAGTATATGTACCACATTGTTACTACTCTGCCCTGTCTGCAGATAAGTAAATGTTTGTACCTCATATCCAAAGGTGAAGGCCATGATGGTGATAAGAAAGCCGAAAAAGGCCTCCAGCTTCCGTAGGCCTGCAGGGACAGAAATGAGGATGTTTTATTTATTGTGGTTGTGTCGTTGTATTTCAGTGTAAAAGTACGATCACTACCTACCATACTTGTCTAAGAAGAGGAAGACGAACGTGTCGATGATGGTGATGAGGACACCTCCCCACAAGGGGATCCTATGGGTGAACACACACACAGTGTATTAAAATACTGCTTTACATCAATGCATGAGTAATAATAATCTGATGATAGATGTTATAATAGTCACAGAGGATATTCTTCTACTTTTAATAAGTAAACAACATTTTTTCCTGATTACACTTGCATACAGAGTATTTAACAGTGTGGTATTAGTACTAGTTAAGGATCTGAGTACTTAAAGGCCCAAAGTCCAGCGGCCTATAAATGGACGCTGTGTCCGCTCACATTACCTTCCGGAGGAGAGAAGGTTGAAAGCGATGGCGCAGCCGATAACCTCCTGCATGTCTGAGCCGATGATCGCCAGCTCCACCATCAACCACAGGATGATACGAGGTACCTGGACCAACCAAACAGGTGGGATTATTGATAAAAAACACCAATATACAAAATATATTAAATATATAAATGAAGAATCAGAACATCTGAGCTCCAAAAGATAATTAATTGTGAATGAATGTAGCTGATCTGTTTAGGTTCCACTTCGTTCAAGTGAATGACTGGAAACACTTGAATTTGATCAGAAGCTAAATAATAAATAAAAAATTATAATTATAATTTAAAAAATTCTGGAAACAAAAGCATTTTCACTCTGGATTTAACCGCATTTTACTCCACCTTCACATTTGGTTCAAGTGAATATTTTGCTCATATAATGGCAACAATTACAGCTACTGTAACAACCTGGTTCAGTTCTGGTCACAGTATGAAGCGGTTACATCAGACATGCACTACCTCTCCGTTGTGTCATTCCTGCACTGCTGCTGGTTATTCTGTAAACGTATCATTTAACTAAAACAATGAACACAATGAGCGTTAGCGGAGATCACTGATATCTCACCACGTGGTACTGCCGGTTGCAGACTTCTGCCAGGTGCATCCCGGTGACGACGCCGAGCCGAGCCGCCAGCCGCTGCAGCAGCAGGCCGACGATGGTCGCCGTCATCAGCACCCAGAGGAGCTGAGGAGAGCAGAGCCAGGCGTCATCTCTTCATTAGTATTGTTATTTGTAGTCGATACGGTACTTTGGCGAAATGAACACATGATAATTATTAGAAATGAACACATGATTCAAGCTAATTGATTATTTTCCAGTTGTTTTTTCTTTACAATGAATGTGAATTGCAATTGTTTTCCTTTTTGTTCAAACCACCTTAAGAACAAACTAAAACAATTTCCTCACTCAAACACAGAAAGTTACCACAGTGTCATTAAACGCTGGCTTCGTGTTTCAGAGTGTACGGGGAAAACAAGGTCGCAAAGTTTCTGATTACACCGTTACAGGGAAGTGATGTCATAATCCGTATTTCTGTTGATTCCATCGGACAGCGTCCCGCTTACGGGACGACCTGTGCAGCAGCTCCGTAGTGGGTTGGGCTGCTTTGTAACACAAAGTAATCACAAGACAAACAAAGTGAAAACTACTTTCTGTCTTCTCAAACGTTCTCTGTGATCGTGTTTTTTTTAAAGGCAGTTGTTGTTTTCCAACTGAATAGAGAGCGAAAGAGAAGAAGGGACGCAGCAGTTTTGATGACGTGTTAGAACTTTGTACAATGTAATGTGTTTCGCAATTTCACATTCAGGCACCAGGTGTTATCTGGGACTGATTTCTTGTCTTGTTGTCATGTTCTTTTATTATGTTTCATGCGAACAAAATCACAAACGAGCAACGTTGTAGCTAATATTTTGCTCTGTGAATATTCACTGCACCGCTCATTCACTTCATTTTAAGCTTCTGCGACTTACGACCTCAGGAAAGCTTCCCTTGGTTAGACCTTTGCATGCAGTATCGTGACCTGTCCTTCAGGATGCATCATCGTTAGTACAGCTTACAACGACTGAATGGGGGCAACATACAAACAGCCGAGTCAGAGGCGAGCTGCGTGTTCGGCAGTAATAAAGGAAACAGACGACAAAGACGTTCACTAACAAGTCCTTCTTCTATCCTACCAGTCGAGTAACTTCCAGCAGCTTTTACTTGTAACCCCTAGCCCCATTATTGACAGTCATTCCCCCGTCAGAATGGAGCGAACACAGCGGTGAGGGTCAGTTGTTGTGGTCCAAGCATCACTTGGGTTACCTTAAAGCCAGCTTTCGCACCAGACTGCAGGTCCGACTCGATGTTACCTGGGTCCAGGTAGGCTATGCTCATCAGGAACCCCGGCCCAGTGAAGGCCCACAGCTTACGGACACTAAACCACCTCTGAGGGGATGCAGACATGTGGGTTATTGATGGTTATTCAACACAAAACCGAGGTCTACGGTGCAGATAAGCGTAACTTCACATGCAGACATTCTCCTTTGAGGACTGGGGGATTACCTCGCTGTTCTCCTCGGGAACAGGGACCCTCTGTTCAAAGTAAGTACTCGTAACAGGATCATCGTTCTGATTCTGGAGGAAGAAGGAAGGGGCGGGAACTCTGTGCGTGTGTGTGGTCCAGATCACGGCTTTCTCCTCCGCCATGTCGTCGGCTGAAAAGTGAGTGAAAAAGTGGTGAGATGATAAGAACCAGTCGAGCACTCAGGTTTAAGTATTTTGTAATGTACATCAACACGTTGTTTCAAGAAGTTGTTTCTGTTCGTTAGACTGACAGACAGGCAAAAAAAATGGTTTTTTAAAGATACATTAAATAACTCTTTTGTGTTTTCTTTTCCTTTGTTAAGAACTCCGACCCGTCAGTGAGTTACTGAGATGATCGAGTGTGTGTATCGAAGTGATGGATAATTGCTAAACACCACCAATCCCGCTCTAAACGTAGCTGCACGGTGACCGTTACTCAGGTGAAGGGGGAGAAAGTACGGCGCGTGAGCCACCTCTTACACACAAACACACAAAACAACAGACACTGTCCCCAAAACAAACACCCTCACCTTGTTCTCCAGTTTGTTCTGGCCTGTTTTGATCTGTGGGAACACTGGGAGGCAGAGAGGAGATGTGGATGTTCTCAGGAACGGGGTCTCTGACTGGAAGCAAAGCGGTGGTTATTCTGAGATTTTAAACATTTAGGTGAGCGCACACAAAACAAAGTCTTGGTGGGAAAAAGGACAAATAAATATAATTATTGTTGGTAGCCGGCCTTCGTTGCAAAGTAATAATATTGTCAGTAATCCGCCGCACAAAGGAACTGGAGCAGGAAAACGGGTGTGGAGGAATGCACACTTCGACCCCCCCAGACGATCACTGTTTGACAGACGGATCATTTGAATAAGAAAACTAGACGATAAAACACCTGACCCGGTCCAGAATGTAGGTCAGTAAGTTAATGCGAGAGAGGACGCAGGCTTCTTGGGAGCGGTCACTAAGTTAATGAGAGACTCACGGGGTGCATGAGATTAACTCTCCCACAACAGTTTGTAATACAAACAATACAAACATTCAGACACTAAACTACGTATGTTTATCATCATTATGTGTTATACTTGTTAATGCTACACTGCAATACACACATTTATGGTTATACTACGGTTTATGCTGCATACTATATTTGATATACAGTGTTTATGAACTAAACTGAGTCATGCTTCAAACGGGTTATTCTGTATAAATGGTTTTAATTATTATTTTATAAAAACTGATAATGCTTCACTCAATGTTTATTCTATACATTACTTACTGATTTTCGTATTTGTTTTGATCCGATGAGGTCCCGAAATAAGGTTAAAAACAAAGAGACCTTCTACAAACCCAGATTCGGAATCTTATTCTAATGTGCAATAAATCACACTGCAACCAATTGGCCTGATGTGGAGGGATTCAACTAAACAGCATCGCTTCAGCAAAACACTGACCTGGTGAACTTTATGGTGGATGTTGTGTTATAAACCGACGGAAATGATGGATGCCGTTAAGAGTCACAAGGTCAATCGGAACTGTTGTTACACTGTGAATCATTCAGATGAACCGAGGGACACGTGAGGAGAACGTCAATATTTGTTGAGAAGTAGAACAAGTGTAGTTGAGGTGAGACTGTAAAAACACTCGAGTGCACGTGACGCATTAGAGATCTTAGCAAAAGACGGAGCATCAGCAGTAAAATCTATTCATTATGCAATAAAACGATATATATATATGGTATTTGTACATTTTAAATAATTAACCGACTCACCCGAACGCAGGAAGGACATAAACTTCATCTTCGGGGACATTAACAGTCTCTTTGAACCCTGTTTAAAAAAAGACTTCCGAAACCTTCAAACTCAACAAGCAGCTACATTCCGATTAAAGGAGTAATTTAGTCCTCCGCGTTGCTTCCTTGTGTCTCATTCTCACTGAGGTCTTCACGGAGACAGGCGGAGGCAGGTTGGACACACCGTCCCCTCGAGAGGAGGGGGTTGATTTACCGGACAGGTGAGTGAGGGCGGGGGGGGGCGCCTGAGGGCAAAGTACTGCGAGACATTTCTCAAAAGAAACCCGGTGTCCCGTTTCTGCCACGTGATAGGGCTGAGACAGTGAAGCAGCCCGCGCACACCCTGGTTTCAAAATAAACTACAGCCGATCCATAAGTTACTTCCTGCACAAAAGCTTCAGATATCACAAATTATAAATTTGAATATAATTGGTTGAATTATCTGTCATTTTGTAAACAATCCAACAGATCCAAGATACTGGATCAATTTATTATATACTTATCTAAAACCCCTAAATGCACGACATCAAAGACATTACAGCAACGTTCCTACAGGCCAATGTACAGTTTTCTCTATTTTCTTTAATTAAGAAGAGGTTTATTTGATTAGACTGAAAGGATGTGTTTGACAGGATTAGCTATGATTTCCAGCTTGATCCTTCCTCAGGTATTTATAACGCCCTCTAGCAGCATTGAGGGGTGTGTTTTGTTTTTCATATTCTGCGGAGGAAAGATGGTGCAAACAGCAGAAAGAGACACTGGGTGGAGACAAATACCGGACGATATTTCCTTCGTACTGCTGGAGCTCAAAAGTGCACTTATAGTGATAGTATTGTAATTCATGGGCTCTTCTGCTATTATATTTTGTAACACTCAATGATACAGGGCTATTTACAGTAACATTCATTTTGTATGCATTTTGTAAAACGTTGATTTCAGCTCAAAAGTTCCTTATAGGTGCGTTGAAAAAAAAACAGAACTTTACCAAGCGACCACAAAGTACTGGATATTTTTGGTAATTGTGGGTAATTAAGGCGTACTGGGAAGTTTGGGGAAAATTGTGTTACCAACACTAATACGCATTATATATATTTTATTTTATTTTAGTTGTTTTTTTCTTTATGATATCCTTTAACTTAAACATTACTTCTTTAACTTAACCATTACAATAGTACTGAACAGATAAACAGCACCAAATATCACACTTTTGCTTAAAAAAGGATATTACTTCATGATCAAAGTATTTGCCGATAAATTCATTTTAACCAAATTGATTCACTTACTGTTTTACCAGCAGTTAGGATGATTTTAGTCACTTTGTGCAAGTAAATAAAAGGAAATAACTACTGAAAATAAAGAATGCCCCGTTGTGTTTCCCACAAACTACGTTTATGCCAAAAAAACCTACAACAAATTGGGCCGGGTCGTGCACGCTTTCAGCTGTGGGTGGAGTAAAGAAGAGACGGAGTGAGACTGAGTAGTAAGAGATCGTCTGATCCCCATGTTTAATCCAATAGTTTACTTATTATCAAATCTGAATCAGCACACAGCAGCAACAATCTGTATTTGAGCTGAAATAGCTGTAACACACTGCCAGTTGTCATGTCGACAAGTCGGTGCAATGAAATCAGATGTTTTTAGTGTTTATTTTGGCAAGCACCATTGGAAATAGAGCAAATTTGTCATGTGCTTATGTTATGTGATGAAAAATAAAATGATATACCATGCAAAATTCCCTGTGTAATGTACATACGTATCTTTATTGCAGGAAGGTTAAGTGTCACTGAAATCTTACTGATTTCTTTTTTTATTCTTTTTTCTTTTCTTTCTTTTTTTTTTACTTGTAATGACGCATTAATCAGTTGTCACCTCTGTGTTTGCCCTCATGTTTGTTTGTTTGTTTGTTTGCTTCAGTTTTCGGTCTATTTCCCAGCATCGGTTGTCTTGTAGAAATTGTTAAGATCATTATACATAGTTGTCTGGAAAGGTTTGGCATGTATGGAGTTACACGATTTCCTCTAAAATCATACATCCGTACAAAATCAAAGTGAGTAAAAAACAAACAGAAAAAGAAGAGATACAAATCAAACCAAGAGGATCAAACCAAACAGAAATGTCTGTGCATCCTGATATTGAACTGGAAAAAAAGGGTCTCACCATCTTGGATTCAGTTATAAAGCCTGTGTACACTTTCTTTCTAGGTCTTTTAATGCATCGATATTTTCGGTTAATTATTGAAAAGTAGCATCCGGCCCTCGTTTTCTTGTAGGAAACAGGAGGCAAAAATCCTCAAGTGTCTGTTGATGTGGCATCACTCGGCTGGCTCACAGGCCTCCTGTCCGTCTGCGCCTGTCCGCGGAGGGTCTACGAGTCCGTCCTCTCATTAACATCCGGGGGGCGCGAGGACGGGGTCCGTCCCGCCGCGAGAGCGCCGACTTCACACCGCGGTCGGCCTGGCTTCACACCGTAGTCACCCTCATCACCACCTCCCGGTTGGCGGCGGCGCTGATCCGGGGGTCGTTGGGCCTCAGCTGGCTCAGGATGTGCAAGATGGTGTATCCGCAGTGGTGGTTCAGAATAGTTCTTAACCTCCTGCTCTGTCGCCCGCCGCCGCTGCTGCTGCTGCTGGCCAGGCCGTGAGGGTTACCGCGAGAGTTGCGAGCCCCCGTTTTGCTGCTGGAACTCAGCGGGTCGCCCAGGTCCTTTGATTTCTCATAGTTCAGTACTTTCCACTGCTGGTTGACGGCCTGCCATCGTTTGAAGATTCGGTACACTGAAGATCCCTCGTGGATGATGAGGCCTAGGCAGGAAGAGGAAGAAGAGGAAGAAGGAGAAGTGAAGGGGCACTGGATGATTCCTCGCTGCTTTACGTCGGATGTCACAGTTAAAGGCCTGCATGCAGCAGCATCATAACAGGTTATTGGCGATAATCACGGACACCATCTGTTCTGAGTGTTGTCTCACATGTGGAACTCAGAATTACACAAGGACCGTCAGCCAAGTAGCTCCCTTGCAAACCGAGTCCCTTGTTCTCCCGACATCTTTAAAATGCTTTTCATCGTCCTACTTTGCACCATCTGCTTATTGTGTTTGGTTTCTGTGTAATTTTCTGTGACCTTAACAACCAACAGAATGTGAAGTGAATACATGTTTTTTACTTTGTCCTTGCATAATGCAACCTATGTTAATTAAAATATTTTTGTCTCCTTGTTGCATAATGTACCCCTGCGTGCTCTGCAACCTTAAACCTTCTAATACGCTGGACTTTTCTTCTTCCTAAACAATTTCTTCAAAAACGGCTGCTGCCAAAGCTATTTATGTAATACCGCCGTGCAGTTTTATATTTGCACATCAGTGTTTGCACATCTTGGTGTCCACTCTGTTGTTTTGTTTACCTATGCACACGATGTCCATGAAGCCGTACATGCCATAGCAGATTTGGAAGAGCAGGTCCTGACGTTGCCACTTGGCCGAGGGGCTGAGGGAGGACCAGATGAGCCAGGAGATGCTGGCGATGAGGAAAAGGGAACCCAGAATAATGGCGGCTATCTGCACCTTCTCGATCACCGTCAGAGAGATGGCCTGCCACTGGTGGAGGAGAAAAATGTCTTAATGACAATTGGAAGACAAACTGAAGACTATTTTCTTCAGTGGAATACCGACATAATAATGAAATGAAGAATGCAGAAGAAGTTCTGCATTCAAAATCAAAAAGTCAAGGTTATTTCTTTCTATGTATTCATTTCTGTCTTTTTCAGGAGATTAGTGGAGAAACTGTCCTCACTCCCTTTGCACACATTTTGAAGCAGAGACTCAGCTATGACTCTATTATATAACAGCTCGTGGTTCTAAATAAACGGTTCTTTAGCTATTTATACTCACAATTAAAGCAGATAGATAGATAAAAAAAAAATAAAGGTTGTACATGTTTATTGACTTTATGTTTTGTGTCGTTGAATATCAATGATCTAACTGACAATGAATTGAAGAGAAAAGAAACAAGTATTATTAATTACTATATACATTTTCTGACTTATTTAATATTTTTTAGAGTATTGGTCACGATTACCCTTATTTATATGATAACCTCGAGGAGCCCCAACTAGACACTCCTTTACATTTTATGTCTGATGAATATTACGTCTAAATATTTGAGATGTTAATTCACTGCTTTCAGGTATTTATTTCAACCATTTTCTTTCCAAATTCCGATGACTTAAGAGAGTTAATGTTCTGCAACTCAACTAAAACTCGTTCTGGCGCTCGGCTGAGCAAAGATTGGATTGATTGTTTAATTCTTATGTGTTCAGTTTGAGGTTAGATTTTTCACTTTGATCTCAAATGGAAAATATACTTTTCACTTAGTCTTTCTAGGGCTACATAGTAAACAGCTGTGAGTGATTTTCATGAATTGAAGGATGCTTCAGTTGTGTTTCTAATTTCCTTGTTTTTGCTAAATGTGTTTGCTGTGTTCAGGTCCTGGCTAGTTTTATCTTATGGTATCTTGTTACTAAACAAACTATGTTGAGCAGTAGAAGTGTAAAGGAAAATATCATGGACAAGCTGTACTTTACATTTTGTAAGAGTGGAGTACTTGAATAAATTTAGTTTCTGCCACTTTCTCACTGGTGAGAAAAAATCACCAAACGAGTCCATGACAAATCTGCACATTAACAAATACGTCAAACTCACACAAGCACACACACACACACACACACACACACACACACACACACACACACACACAAGCCAATACATAACATCTTCCCGGTAGGTTTTAGAGTCATTGGCTGCCTCTGAAAAGGAGGGCAGAAGGACAGTGACGCAGAGAGAAAATGTGTCAGCACAATATGGCAAACGGTCCTCACACCACAGCGACGCCCTGAGATTTGTTCTAAGAGAGTGTTGTTCTGATGCAGCAGCGTTTGTATGTTGCATGCATGCGCGTTGTTATGAAATGTTTGTGTCAGCACCATCTTCTCCTTTGTCCTCCCGTAACATGCACAGCTCGCTGCTGATGAATTCATGAGCTTCAAAAAACGTGCAACTCAAGGAGAAAGAAAGTCGACTAATGTGTTTACCGGAATTTTTCAGACTAGGTTTACATGGTCACACACGACACCTTTATCTTGTTTACGTACAATGAATGAACCGTGTGACCTGTGACCTTTTGTTCAGTATCAGCGCTTTAGTGAATCTTCAGCAGAATTCAGGGACCTCAGAACTTTAGCATGTGGGTGGATCTATTGTAATAAACGGAATATTCCCTAAAAATGTATGTTCTTTTCTTTGTGTATACTTACATAAAAATAAGAACTGTTGTGCTTTTATTATGTTAGAATCAGTAATTTAAGGCCATGTTAAAGAAGCCCAAACTCTGGTTCTTTATCGGGCCATTCACGTTTTAGCGTTTAGATGTTTTAGTGTTTAAATGAGAAGTCCGGCATTTAAAATGTTACTCATCAACATCAAGTTACGCTGAAAGAACCAAATGTAAAAGTACTCATTATGCAGAATTTCAGAACGATTCATGTGCTGCTTTTCAGCGATGTGTAATATTCCGAGGTGTGTCGGTGCTGCACACTCCCTCGCTGTTACCTGCAGAGGGTTCTTGGTGCTGATGGCCAGGACCTGGTACTTGAAGTAGCACAGCTCGCAGCTCCAGGATCCCCTCTCGCTGATCCAGCGGATGAGGCACGGCTGATGGGTGCAGCGCACTGAGCCGTCACAGCGGCACGGGCTCAACAGTTCGCCCTGCAGGACGGACGAGGAGAACACAGCACGACAAATTTAGGAAAAACTAAATGTTGTTTTTTAAATTTTCAAAAAATGTATTTCTATGTAAAAGAAAATCTGTTAATTGTTTAGATATTTTTTGCTTGATCCCCTTTCCATCAGATAAAAGCTTCCTCCCCTCTGAATAATAACATAATAATAACAGAAAACTTCTTGACATTGACTTTCTATTAGATCGACAGTCCTTATTCCATCTGTGTGAGGGGAGGCCCGCTGTCTCGGACTCTGAAACCACTATATTTCATCCTAATGAAATATAATTTGTGTGCATACTGACGAGTCCCTCACCCAACAGCCCAGCTCCTCTCAAGTTCTTTAAAAAAATATGGATTTGGTTCAAGCTGATACATAAGAAGTGTCTCAGATTCAGCTCAGTTGACTGTGGAAGAGTTCAACGGATAACGCAGGAAAAGATCATATTAGATCGTATCTTTGATCATGTATGCTTCATTTCCCAACACTGAACAAATGTACAGAATGCCGCTGATTCAACAATATATGGTAACTTTATATGGTACATTTAATTTGACTGCAGTTCTGCAAGAGAGAAGATATATCACTGATACACACCGTGTATCTGATTGTTTTGGGAGAGTCTCTAAAAAGACGGTTAGTGTCTCCCCGGCACCCCTCCAGCACCTGAAGCAAAGCTGGTTTTGGCATTTTCGCCACATTAAGGATGACAACATTCAGGCTGTCGTCACATTTCACTGTCAAACATCCCAATTTGAAAGAAGGCTTCAAATTTGTCGGCATGTTTTACCTAAAAAAAAAAGAGAACCCACACCCATGCATCACAAATGAATGAAAACTCTGAAAGCGTTAGTGTTCGGTGCATCGGGGTGAATCGGTGGTGAATCGGTTGGCGGAGGGGCCCGTCAGCACGAGAGCAGGGGGGGGGGAGGGAGTGGGGGGAGCGGGGGGCTTCAAAGGCTGACAGGTGAAGGAGAGACGAGCCGACAACAATTCGCACAAACTCTGAGTGAACTCAGCGCAAACCTCCGTCTCTCAGACATCAAACATACCTATTGACTGTCGGGAGAGATCACTTCGGGGGGGGGTTTAAAAAAGCGTTAACTCTTTGTCAACTTGACTAACGTTCGACACAAATGTAGAAAATGTAGATGTGATATTTCACTTTCCTGCTGTGAGTCAAACAGGAAAGTTGACAGCACACTCATGACTACCAGTTAGCTTAGCTTAGCATGAAGGCTAAAACCAACCCGCCTCTCCAAATATAACTACACCTGCCTGCCAACATCTCTGAGCACACAAGGTGACATGTTACTGTACAGCGCGTCTCTTTGACAGAACTCCAGGCAGTCGCTGAGCTACATTCAGCCTGCACATTAGATATTGTGTATTTTATTACATTACTTCATTTTTCCAACAAGCAGAGGACCACCAGTGAAATCAGTACAGATGTTATGTAACAGAGGACGGTGTTGACACAAATATTGCTTCTTATCCGTTTTCTAGACTCTGTCAGCCGTTTGGCTCGCCTGACCTTCCCACTTGTAAATAAAAGTTTTCCACGTAAAAGATTGGATTCAGCAGATGAGCCGCGTGCCGCTCATGAACCTGAAATAACTTGCATGCTGGCATTATAAAGATAACACGGGGAAGGTCAGAAGTATATGAGGAACTAAATAAAAAACATATGAAAGCAAACATTTCTAAAATGTCAAGTCGTTGTTGGAAGTGTGCGCGTGTGAAAAAACATTTTCCCAGCTTGTACGAGGATGTTAATGTCACGATTGGCTGGAAGGAAAAAAAAGACCTTTAAAAACTGTGATTATCTTTTTAAACCAGCACCTTCAATAGAAAATGTTGAAGCATTAAATGTGATTGTTTTGTCGAGTAAGAGACGCCAACATTTAAGGGATTTTCTCAACACAAGCGTCCAAATATCACCACCAATGAGTAAATAAAAGCTTATGTTGCTCACACTCATGAAACTTCAAATGGCCTCCAGAATTCCTTCCGTAAAGAAGGTTCAAGATTCAAATTCTCAGAGAGCTTTGTTTGATGTTGGCATACGTCGATCATGCCGCTCGCAGATCACAGCGTGTACATTTAGCTCCAGGAAACTGAAGGTGCGAAAGCGGTTTGTATCTTTTATTTACTCAAGTCAAATGATGGCTGAGCACATAACTGCTTTTGGCTGAGAACGTTGCATCTGCAGATCAACCTGCAGCAAATCAAACGTTGTTTTCAAGCTTCAGTCGGTGAAAAAAAAAGATTCTGCAAAAGACGTCAAAGCAAAAGTACTGTGCAGAACTGTTTATCCTATAAAGTAACTATTCTATATGTTATGTGGCTCTTCTTTGCAGATAAACCCATTTAGAAAAGAAGAGAGGCATAAAGGCCACATCTGGACTAGCAGGATGTATTCATGCTCAAATAAAACTGGAACGCGTGGAGTTGTACTGTGTTTGAAGTATGCGAGTAAAGTCGACCGTAAAGCAACATCACGATTTACATCAACCTACTCAGTTTTAGGGGATAAAGATAGAAGTTTTCTATTTTTTTGTTATTGTCAACAAATCCTGAGAAAGAAATGTAAGCCATTGCTACGTAACGTTACTCAAACAGGAGGAAGTAGTATATTTGGTATAGGGACTATTTCCAGCAGTGGATTAATCCACATTTAGTGAGTTCTTCGACCAGCGACAAAACACTGGACTTTTACGAGGTCGCAGATTGTTTCCCATTTCCTAAACACTCGTCTGTTTCAATGGAACTATGCCTTTTAGGGTTCACTAATATTATCTTAGAATATAAATACGTATTCTAACCCAAACCAAAACGGTTGTAATAAACCAAACCTTAAACTTTCATTAAACATTGACAGCTGGAGTGGAAAGTAATTTAATTAAGTGTATTAATACTACACTTTAAAAGCCAATATAGTACTTTTTAATCCACTGCCACTATTAAATCATTTTAGTTGATTAACAAATTTAGATTATTAAAACAAGAAATATAATAACTAATACTCAGATAATATAACATGGATGAGCATAGCTCCACGTCTAACAGATGCTACATTAGGGCGATGAACACTTTAATGCCTCAATAACTGTAAACATCAATCCAGCTCTGCAATGATGTGTAGTTTTACGATCAAACAAAAATTGTGATTACATTGGATTAGATTACATTAACAATATAACAGTTACAGTTATAACATTTTATACTGTTGTCGTGACTTCAATTCAATGTGAAATCAGATCAGAAAATTATTGTTGCAAGAACAAACAATGTATTTTGTTTTCTCATTTAGAGGACTTGTGTTTTAAATCGCTCTTGGACATCAACGGAGCTGTATCGCACAAATGGAGAAGCTAGTTCAAAGCTAGGCTTTGAATATGCACACACGCACGCACACACACAAACAATACTATTAGTGGATCGCTACAGTGTTGGTTCTGTTCTTTTGATGGTATTTATTAATAATAAAAACTTAGTTCTATACGAGTTCTATTCCATGCAAAGGCTGCTCACCTCACACACACACACACACACACACACACACACACACACACACACACACACATCTTGCTCAGTTGATCTGGCGTGGGTTTGTCCCTCAAGGCCACTTCACATGGCATTAATGTGTTTCGTTGGTGTGTCACTTCTGTGACTAAGAAAATGGTCGTCCACGCAGCTGTAATCTTTGGACAGCTGCCCCCCCCCCACAACCCCCCACACCCCCTCCTCCCTGGGCTTCAGACCACGTGTCCCTCTGAAAACACACTGTTGGGCTCTGCACTAACAGCCCCCCCCCCCTCACAAGACCTAAGCGAGTCCGGACCTTCTGTACCTCAGCACACACCGACACCTTTGACAGACAGTTAATAGGGATTCATACTCAATGCGCCCAACGGAGCAGGCGGATTATGTCTGTAGATAATTGGCCCGCCGACAGCGACATGATCCTGTCCCCTGTTGAGCCCTGAATAATGAAATAACAATAAAATGGCAAATATGAGCCCCCCCCCCCCCCACACACACACATTGTGCATCCTGCACCCAGGGGACGTATGGTACTTTGAGTTCTGTGGTGGCACAAGAAAAGACGCTATAGGAGTTTGTAGTGTCAGGCTCAATGCCTTGTTTGCTTTCTCTTTGTCTATAAGCAGCAGCTCAGAGCCATGTTTCCTATCGCCAACTTTTACATCAAACAACTTTGTATCCCAAACAAGCCTCAACTGATTTAAACTTTTAAAGTCCCACAATAGGAACTCTGAGGCAGATGTCATAAATTAGCACATGGGCTGTAATAACACTCGAGACTAAATGGTAATATCCATCTGTGCTTCTACAGGATTTGCAGTGTTTGTAGTTATCGCAGGCTGCAGGAATACCTGCTCAGCCATGCGGTGCAGGTTTCTGCACATCTGGTGGGAAAGAGTTTTGGCAATAGACCAAAGCACTACTTATTGTTTTGTTCGGGGCTCTGGGAAAAAAAAACAAAATAAGCTGAGATGAGAAGGAGAAGGAGGAGGAGGAGAAGAAATAGGATGACACATTTCTCTAACTTGTCATTTTTTCCTCACATTCGACACCGTTGTCTGACACAGCGACCTTCACGGGATTAATAGTCGAGCGTCCTGTTCTCTGACACATGCGGTCAGTTGATTTAGATTCACAAAATCTTTGTGACTCACGCATATTAAGCGCCTCTCACTCTATTTGTCATCCCTAATTGGCGAACTTTCTTTGTTGCTACGCTGGCTGGATTTCTGATCTGATCTGCCTCTCCGCCATTGATTAGCTTAGCTGTGAAAACAGTGTTACTTAGAAAACCACATCCCTCAGCAACCAGCAGAAAAAGGACAATAATTGCCTCTAAATCAAGGGTTTACAGACTGAGTGTGATGCAGTAAATACAATATCCCAGTTTAAAGCCCTGTGACACAAATCCAGGATTTTAGCCTTTTTAAATAAAAAACTAATTTGATTAATTTGCATGATTGGAATCAAGGCTTCTTCCGAAAGGAGGTACTTGAGGATGAAGACAGAAAGAAAGAGAGGGTGAGGTGGGGGATGGAGGGGGGTAGGAAATGATGGTTGTAGAACACTTTCTGATTTGCAATCAAAACACACACACACAAAAATTGTCAAATGGCACAAAAGAACTTCCTGTGAAAAAAAAAAAAAAACACAAATCACAAAAACACTCCATTGTGAGCGGAAGTCTCTCCCGGAGAGAGCAAGCAAACAACAAACAACGTGTCATCGCGTCGTCTCGTGTACCTGCTCCGGGCCCTGGAAGCAGATCCGGCACTGGGGGGTCCGCTGGCTGCTGCTGCTGCTGGCCAGAGACACCGCGTCCAGGCCCACTTGCAGCTTGGGCTCCTTGTCCTCGAACGCCAGGCTCCGGGGCCGCGGGTCGCTGCCGTAGTACTCCTCCTCGTCGTCCCGGGAATGGCAGTCGACAAAAGGCGGCCAACCGCAGCCGCCCATCCCCAGACCCCGCATGGTGGCGGAGCGTCGGTCTGCGTCTGAGCCGGACGGCCTCGAATCGGATCGCATAAACACCAGGACTTTCAGTTCATTGAAAAACATGCGGATCCGATACTTGAACATGTTTGGGCTACATAAAGAAAAAACCCGCCGGAACGAAATGAATGTATGAAGCGTTGGGGTTTTTTTGTTGTTGTTTTTTTGTTTTGTTCACCACTCCCCCCGCTAATTGTTGTTATTATGAATATTGCTATTCATACACGCGCTATGTTCATTCGTATTGTACCATTCTGAGCAATGGCCCCAACCGGCATATCGATTGGCAACCGAGAGAAATAAAGGCTCGCGCCCCACTGATGGCATGTGCGTGTGTGTGTGTGTGTGTGTGTGTGTGTGTGTGTGTGTGTGTGTGTGTGTGTGCGTGTGCGTGTGTCTAAGCCAATGCGGATGAAAGATTTCCCCTTTCAGCCGGCCGACACACTCTTCCAATATTCATCCCTCCAACAACTCGGTCTATGGATGCATCCTGCACCGCGCCCCGGGAACGCGCGCGCACACAACGCGCACAGCTTCTGGTTTTCCACGGTGCATTTGTCTTCAAACGCACCTTTTTTTGTTTTCCTCTCCAGATGCACCGGGCTTGCAGCAAAAAATAGCCTACATGTTTTGCTACCTGAAGCAGAAGCCCGCCAGAGAGTGGACGGGTGGAAGAGAGAGCCACACAGAGGCAGGGAATAGAAGACGGGGTGTAAAATACAGCGACCTGCCATCCACACAGTCACATCTGGGACTCTTGTCAAGCATGGTAATCCAGAAGGGAAATGAGTGATGGAGTGGAAGTTTGATCTGGATAATTGTATTGTCTTCTTTTTGTGTTGTATTGTCCCTCACTGTAGCATCCCAAGCGCCAGATCGTGGTCCATTTTTTCCTCCCCTCTCTTTCTCTCTTTCTCTCTCTCTTTATTTCATCTCCTTTCTGTGATGCCTCCACGAAGAATCCGAGAATTTCACCCCGACAATCCACGATGATATCAAAAATACAATCCGTTTCATTTCTCCCCCCCAGGAGCCTATACCGCCTGGAAACACGGCCACACAAAAACACCCGAAAGCTCCATGTTTCCCATCCTCGCCTCGATGTCCATCAGCATCTCATCTCAAGCAGCCCCCCCCCCCGCCAACCCCCCTCAAAAAAAAATACGGCCAGAGAAAGAGCAATAGGCAGAATAATAAAGGCACCTTGCGATTTTTCTAATTAGAGAGAAAGACGGGGAGTGCGCATGGAGATGTCTTCAAATCCGCGAGCAAGCGCACAGCAGTGACGGCATTGATCCTTGGGTCGGATAGATGGTGCTGATGATACTGCTGGCGCTGATTTTCCTCCTCGAAATGGTCGGCTTGGAGATTGAACCGACGCAGCAGCTACTTCCGGAATAGGAAGAAGAAGGAGAAGAAGAGGTGGGGGGAAAAAAAGAAGAAAATCTCATCCTGTAAACAAGTCGGTGTTTTTTTTTTCTTTTTTCATCCGGTCATCCATTCGCCTCCGATCGGGTGACGCGCCTCTCCCAGTGCTCCCAGCAGCTGGGCAGGAAAAGGAGGCTTTAACGCGAGCGCCGTCTCAGCGACGTGTCCGGGGGAGCCGCGAGAAGCGAGAAGAACCGGACCTGGTACCTTCTCCTCCCTGGACGGCTGCGCGTGCGTGTACGTGTACGCGCACGCGTAGTCCATATCACGTGCGGTGCGAGAGCAGGGATTTTGTGGGGACTTTGGTGGAAGAAGTATAGCTGAGGGAATACAACAGCGTAATAGTACTCTGTTACAAGTGAAAAGTCCTGCGTTTGAGGTGAAATGATCAACATATTGTTAAAAGTGTGTTTGCCTGCTCATCATCACACTGACCCATTTTACAATGGTGCATATTATGTCACTGGGATATAATTATTGATGATTTTATTTATACACTGCTGGGTAATTCCATTCACTCTGTTTATCAGCTATTGTTAATATTATTTTGCCATGGACTAATAAAAATACAACCCTCTTATTCAACCACTAACTGTCTTCGAATGTCATCAGGTTAAAACACCTCTTTGAAACATAAGAAAATAACCTTGAGTTGTATTAGACTGCAATGGTTTTTTGCTGTCAAAACAAAGGCTACTGACGTGAGGCATCAGTTGCATTTTCATGGGAGCTTTTTATTTTAGTTAGTTAGTACATTTGTACTTTAATTAAGTCAAACACCTGAATACTTCCTTCATTACCTGAGGAACCTGAACGTTCTAGTAGCCAAAGCCCAAGTCCCTCTGCTGAGACAGCGTGAAACCACATAATACAAAGTATACGGAAAGTTAAAAAAAAAAGAGCAGTTCATCTCAGAGCAGTTCATCACGATGATGAGAGGTAATTATGGAAACATCAGAGATACATGGTCAGAGGTCACTTTAGTCGCAGTATTGCCTCTCTCTCTCTCTCTCTCTCTCTCTCTCTTTTCACACTCTGCTTTCTCCTCCATGGCAACACCTCCCCCCTGTCACATCGATCTTGACTGATTTTTCACACTCTGCTTGTTACAGATATGGATCTGCTTTAAGCATAACACTTGATTTCATGCGATGCCACAACTATTCTACCATGGCATTGTTCCCTATACACAATATATAACAATACACACACACACACACACACACACATACAGAAATGTTGACCTTACGTGGATTCCACAGGACAAAGACGCTTTAAACATGTGATGATCTTATAGATTAAGACCTTAAACGTCACTAAAATGCACCTTACACATTAATGCAACAATGATCGGATTTGAAAAAACATTTCTGACAGTAAAACACCGACACTAAACATTTAAACGGCAATGATTACTTTTACTTTCCATACGCAAGTCAATACTTTTCATCAGGGTTTAGAATGCAGTACTTTTGTTTGTGGTGCAGTATTTTCACAGTTGATGATGATTATAGTTTTAGTAGATGATCTGGATTCTTTCATCCTGTACTGTGTTCAGGCTCTTGTAAAGATCAAACACAGCCTAGTTGTTTAAAGACTTTTGACCATCGTAACAGCCGCTATAAGCGTATACTACTAACATTGTTCTTATCTAAGGCAATAAATAAAAAAATCAAATACACTGCAGCTAAATTGGTTCATCGTTCACTCATAATTTTCCCAACATACATTACTACATTGCTCTGCAATGCGAAACGTGATGGCACGTTGTGTGGGTGGGTTATTTTATGATGATTCCGTGTTGGGGGGGAAGGGTTGGTGCTAAATGCTAATGAGGTGAACGTTTGAAAAAAAAGAAAAGTCTACGTAATGGTGTCTGCAGGCACTGAACATCTCAGATTTTGGGATGTAGCTTTCATGTGTGCTCACCAGGAAGTGACCTTTGTGTCTTAAACCGGAATCTTGTTTCTCTCTCTTCCTCCATTTTCATAATTTTCCTCCTCAGCTGAAGCTTTGGTTCTCTTTGTGTTTAATGTACCTTGACAAAGAGAGCGGCGCCAATTACCCAAATCAACACCTCCTGTCACGTTCTCAAATTGTTTTTTTTTTAAACTGATTTGAAGCCTGATGATATTTAACATTATTACAAATGTACGGTTGGCTAAAGGCTGACAGGCACATCAAAGTCTGGGTTTAGCTCCAGGTCAAGGTGAGGCTGCAGGCTTGGGTTCGGGTTCAGGTTTGGGAAATGCTAAATTCATGCAACTTTAATGGTCTGGTGGGTAAAGAAAGGAGCTGTGCCGGCATTTAAACTGAGATGCTGATGGGGAATAAGGTGCAGGTGAGCAGAAAGAGGGAGTGGGAACAGGTGAGGAGGTGAGGGGCAGGCAGGTGATGGACACCTATGGACTCGGGCAGTAGGAAATGTGGCTGCTTGATTTGCTGAGCTCCTGTTATTGGAACTCCATTCTAGCTTCAGACTGATTTCTGATTACATTTTGCACAAGGAGTGTGGATCTTGACCAAGATCTCTTCCTTTAAAAGCAAAGGAATCCGCTCAGTGGCAAATATGAACAGCCAGTAAAAAAACATCCTCTGGGCTTCGGTTTGTTTTAACAACCAATCCTTTGACTCCCTTGACAGCGTTATCTCACTTTGACTCTCGAATGTTCTGATTAACCTCGTACATCACGTGTACGTGCATCTGAACCCACACATGCACCCGTGCTGTTTCATTAGGCCCGTTTGACCCGTTTGTCTCACTTCACTGAATGATTTGCCTTCCTGTACGTCCTCACAGGCTTGTGAGAAGAATACAAAGCAAATTCAAACCTGCTGATGTTTATCCCCAGTGAGTCTGTTCCTAGTGTCGGAGGAAACTCACCCTATTTTTAAAAAACCTCTTTGGATTTACTTTTTCTTAAGAGGTTTAATCCTAAAAAACATTTTTAAACCTGAGGTAAGATAAAACCACATTTGCGATGCATTTCTTCTCCATTTAATTACCTCATGACGCCTCAAATTGATCTTTTGTTTCATTTAGAGACCCAACCCCTCGGTTGGGAACCACTGGCCTGAGCTGACTGAATATGAAGCAGTTAGAGTAATGCCACTTTAGCCATCTATAACAGTAAATGCTCCCACGATGCATCGGCATTTATCATAATATCATTTTTACATTTACATTTCCAAGTTCTTTCTCTGCTTTAAGAGATTAAGTGTTAAAATCTGCGGATAGAAGATAAAAACACAATCATCAACTAAACCACCTAAACAGTTTTCCTAAAACATTACAATCCATAATATATACATGTGTTTATTATTATTTCATGTCAAATTTAAATGTATATAATATATATATTATATACCTATGTATGTGTATGTGAAATATGTATGTATGTGTATGTGAAAAAGTAGCCTCTAAGTCTATTGTAATTTAGGTTTGAGATAGGTTTGAATACTTCCCCCACTGTGAAAAGGACTATTATAAGAAACGCTGTATTGGCCCCTACTGATCTGAAGGCTGCCCTTTTTTTTGCCCCATGCTGAAAAGCTACACATAATTAGTTCTGCCTATAGGACAAGCCCTCGTGAAAGCCATTCATCATGCGATATAACGGACCAAATGTTTTAAGATCCTGCCTGCGTGCACAGTCCAGGCTATATCTGTAAGAGGACAGATGGCCTTCCCTGTTGGTGCATTTCTCCACAGCATCTCGGAACTAATACACCCGGCATATGGACCTGCATCACGGGGTGAGGACTGGCATCGGGCCCTCAGGAGAGCATGCTGACAGGATAAGGGGGACGGGATATGTGGTGTGGTTTTCCAAAAAAAAAGCTGGTCCCAAGACCCAAAGCCCTTTAGCAGGCACATCTTAACTTACACAAATGTTTGTATTTCTGTCAGGGAGGTGAACCTGCGGGGGGCCGCCAACACTAGAGATTAGGTCACGCCTTTTAATGAAGGGTGGGGGGCGTATACGAGGGGGTGCAGCGGGGATGGGGACAGTCTGGCATGGGCCTTAACGGCGAGGGCAGAGCAGCAGCTTATCCTCATTTAGGACAACCTTGGTTGAAAGGTATCCGGGTAATGTCCTCATGTGTTCTCTCCATTCCCCTATCAAAGCGTACTTGAGCTCTCCTTCTGCTCAGCCACCCTCCCCCCCAACCCAGCCCCCCACGCCCACATCACTGGACCCGTCCCAGCTGAAGGGATTAATGGCCTTGTGACGACACAAGGAGCCAAAACCTACCGCTTGAGTAAATTCATTTAATAGCCCCCATGCTGACGCTGTCCACCTTGAACATCGCGGCACTCACTCTAAAAGATAACAGTCTCTAGAAATAGAGAGGGCCGTGTACACTTTCCTTGCTTGTCTAGAGGTATTTGTCAGAGTCGGACTGAAATAACAGCAAACCCAAAAGAAATGGCAGCAGTGGAGACTCTGTACCGCCACCATGTGGTGGAATGTGTCGTATCTTTGGGGTCATCGCTCAAAAAAATGTATTTTACTTCAGTAAAATAACCAACACAGCAAGAAACAGACATGTATTCAAAACGAAAAAACAGTTGCAAAAAATACACCTAAATTGTAGGAAAAAAAAATATATATAAATAAAATTCATTTTATTTTGTATAGCTCAGAATCCCTCACATCAGCACAGGAAGAAAAAAACTACTTTTGAGTTCTTTGTGCTGGAAGCTTGAGATATGATCATAAAGTATTAACAATCTTTTGATAACACTTTTCTTGAAAGACACAATGAGATGTAAACTAAACTATTACTCAAGTGAAACGGTTTGCAATTTGAGGTTTTATTATTTGGAAAATTAAGTCTCAAAAATTGAAGATACATTTGAATAACAAGTACACACAAATTCAAAGTGAGGTTTAATATATGGCATAACAATGCTTAAGATTCGTCAAAATGTGTTTATTACACCAGCGATGACTCCAAATCAGCAGCAGGAAATTCATATCAGCCAAGTCAACAGGTTCAAGTAAGACATGTAGTTACAGTTTGTTAGTCCGTTAAGATAAAAGCAATTCAAAAAAAGGAAACATCTTAAGAGAGAAATCATGAGCAGGTTTTATCAACAGGATATGTCAACCATCGAGTTAGGCAGCAAAATCATATTAATACTATAACATAAATTGAGCGTAATGAGCATCCGCAAACATAATTTAAAAGTTAAATATTTGACACATTTTTTACAAAGCATTTAACACTGTTGAACAAAAAGAGCAGATGGCCACTGAGAATAAAAATCATTCCACAAAAAAAAAATCTTTTAAAACATTAAAGAAAAATAACTGCAACCAAGACCACATTTTCACAACACAATTAAAAACAGAATTGGGTTTGCAATGAGCGGTTGGGGCTAAAATGAACCAAATATCTAAAAACAAAACAGCACTTAATTGTATTTATTTGTTATGATCCCTTCCAGTTACACAGAAAGAAAAGATCCGTACCCGATACTCTCTCCACTACCCTAATCTATAGTAAGTGACATCACTGTGCAACACAAAGGAACATTTAATACAGGGAGGGTGGATGTTTGTCTTCAGACTACGAAGGCAGACCTCCTGACTAGAGGGACGACTACACGGCAAACCCATCCAGAGATTCTAAAAGACTATGTACAACATCCAGGCTGCAGTGCATTGGCATCCTAATATCGCAGACTTAAAAGTTAGTTGGCTCAGTTACAGTTCATACTTTTTTTTTCTCAACTGGAAGGACTAGCAACCACATTACCCAACATCTGATCTCGCTTCGTAATCCTGTTACATCCGGGCATTTGTGACGTGTGAAAAAACAAAAACACATACATACGTTTCAGAAACTACATTACAACACATGTCCAGTACTTGCTTCTTGTGGCTCCTCGGCTGACTTTGAGCACAAACTCATCACACTGGACACATTAGAGATTATTTTATATATATATATATATATATATATATATAAAATGTATTCTACACATCACCAATAGCATTGACCAGAGGAATATGTTTGTCATTATGTCGGTCACTACATTGGAGACAAGTGGAAAGAAAAGGTGCATACGAGTCAATTTGTTAGACACTGCTCAGTCACCTTGTGGGTGTGTGGAATTGAAATGATCAAAGTGTGTGCAGGACTAGGACACATGCAAAGAGGTCTCATCCCTCGGTAGGTGGTAGATGGTTGAAAACTAGCAGGAGATCTGGTACTCAAATCAAGGCTGTGTCGCGATACCAACAAGTGACACTTCTTGGCATTACAAGTTATCCTTTCATACACAAGTATCCAGGTCTTCCGGATGGAGCTCTGGCAACATCTCTGGACAGGTTGTTGTAGTTTCTCGGTCTCGGTTGAAAGTGTGTGTCGTTTTTATTCATTTTCAGTGTTTGTCCGGTGCTGCGCCCGCTCCTCCACTCTGTGTGTCGTTGTAGATGGTGTGGTACCGTGTTGTATGCAGGCGTGTCCGCCTCTAGATGTGCATGATACTAGGTGAGCCAGTGTGCCTGAGACTGCATCTGTGGTGCTGCGTACGGGGGGGGCGGCCTATAGGAAAGCACTTGGGTTCGCTCGAGGATCCTTCTGGTTTCTGTAGCGCACAGCGAGCCACACTCCCAGGATCTGTAGAGAACACGACAGGCACAAAAATGAACGCGAGGGCAAAGCACTTCGAAATAAATCGGCCCATCGCGACCAGATACGCGGTGCGTTGTGACAAAGTGACGACTCGCTAACCAGCCAGGCCAGCTAACGCGCTGCCAAGCAGGGAAACGTGAGAGTGCTTCTCAAGAACGATAGCTTGCTCCTACGTCATCTGCACTCAGCCGCTTGCTCCCTTCCGGCGTTGTGCTCTCAGGATTGCATATCATTCCATTCAGTCAGTTTATTCCAACGTCAACTCTGGTACAAAATCTATCCAACTCTCCCTCTGCAATAGATTCCCTTAGAGCAGATGGTAAAATGCTGTTAATCGTGACCACAGCTTCCTTGATTTTTGAATCTCTTTGAAGCTCTCTCTGCTCTGAAAAGTGCTTTGGTACATTAGTTGTAAATCTGCAGGAGATCGTGTACTCAAATCAAGGCTGAATACCAACAAGTCACACTTCTTCCATCCAGGTCTTCTGGAGCTCTGTCAAACATTTGTGGACAGGTCGTCTTAGTTTCTCAAGCCTCAATTCAATTAAAATGAATTTGCTTTGGATTTTTTTTTTTTTTTTAACTCTGTTGGGACAGGTCCTTAAGAATAAACCAAACTGCCATCCTTGTGATCACTGCATTATTTACTTAAGAGAAATAAAACCCCAGTTTGAACTTGATGGATATTTTTCCCTTCCAAAATAAGTCAAGTTAGCATGCAAAGTTTAATTCAATGCAGGGTCTTTCTTGTGTCCTCTGACGGCTCATTAGGCCGATCAAACGAGTGGGCGGTTAGTAGATCTCGGGTCGGAGACCAGACACTCACCTCCGTGAAGCTGAAGAAGAGGCCGACGCCCCCGAGGATCTTCAGAGCCTCAGTTGCATGAGTCAGCATCATATCCCCGCAGGTGTAACATGCGGTGTTGGTTTTGCATAACTGGAAGGAAAGACACGAAAAAGAAAGAACAAAAAGGCCTTCAGTCTTCAGCAGTGAGTCAATTTCTTGTTGACTAAACCAGAATCAGCTACCAAAATCTATTCAGTGATCTATAAAAAAAGTCCAACTTCTAACTTGTGCTGTTTATGGGAAAATGCTTCTGTGACTTCTGTTCAGCGGGGCCTGTTGTGTAACAACAGATATATTAAATGGAGATATACTGTAAAAATGCAATAAGTGTCAGTTGTTAAAGAACACCATACACAATGTGAAAGAAGAAGTAAAACCAATACAGTATTATTATCCAGCAACCCAGGACTGTGATTGTAAAGCAGGTTTTCTAATGAGACATTGGGAAATGTAAGACGCACAGCCGGGCAGTTCTGCAAGTCCTGATTAAACTGCGCCTGGTTGGTGGTCCCGTTAAGCAGCCCACAGCAGTTCAGCTGGCTCTCCAGATCCGTCTTGGTCTTGTTTTCCAACATGCTCCAAGCGGAGTTCAGAAGGGCCTCCTGGAGAAGCAAACAAGACAAATAAAACGCAAATTCAATGCAAAAGAAAAACTGGAAAAAATGTATTCACGCCAATATAAACATGATTTGGTATTAAGTGCAGCTTAAGAGATATTGAAACTGCAAAAAAAAAAAATGTTTTTCACCTGCTGTCCGCGGTTCATTGCCAAGCAGGAACAAGAAACTCCAAATTGGAACAGAAAAACGATAAAAAGAATGACCATGTACTTGGAGCAAGGGGTCAAAGAAACAACAGGGGAAAAAACAATGGAATAGAAACACAGCAACCACATTTTCAAATCACACTTTGCTGCAATTGAGTCGATAATCAGCCGAGCATCAATGTCCACGAGAGGAAAGGATACAAAGAAGAGCATGACTTGGTGGTGGTGAATCGCTCCGATGAGTCCAACAATAGCGATGAGCAGCAGGAAGACGCCCACCGCGATGACGCCGCCGATGATGTGGATGCTGGACACCAAGCCGAACCCCTTCCCCCATGCTGCTACTCCGATTAGCAGCAGCCCGACCAGCTGAAGGGAGAACAGGGAAGGAAGGAAGTCGACCGGTCAGCTGAGGCACTGTGCATCGGATGGGACTGAGCTTATCACGTGGTCATGCTACTAGTATTGATTAACAAACACACCAGTTATTTAAACAAAAACAAGGATCTTTCATTGACGTTGGCGTGCTCGCCAAATAAGTAAAAACACACTGAACGACTCAGGCGGACGTAGTTGGGGTTTATTCTTAACATTTCTTCACAATTAGACTACTGGCCTCCAGGCAAACTGTTTAAAAAAAATAGAATAAAAAAATATAGCTAATAGTTGTATTTCTTGGGGCAGTGGTGCTTAAATTCTGTTACACTATTGTCTTTTTTACGGGAAACTGATAAAACATTTTAAAATGTTCTATTTGTCACGAACTAGAAGATCTTTTCACGACGGTACCATGTGTCCTTGAGGCCTTTAAAAAGGTCTTCTTTCCCTGCCCTGATCCACACAGCGACTGCAGCATCACACCCGTGACAGATGGCGTGACTCAGCGGTCAACTTGATTAGTGGCATGTGTGTTCCAAAGTTTTATCGGAGTGGGTGGGCCGTGTCTCAAGGGTTCATTTCAGCAGTGAGGCTCAAGTGTGTCACAACTGTAGGCAAACAATGCAAAGCTACTCATGGGTGTCACAAAGTGCACGTGGTAGACTTCAAACAATCCAAAGAACGCAAGCCTAAGCAAATAAAGAAAAAAATAACCCTAAATTAAAGCATACCAACACGAGCCCTGCAACAAACATTACTAATTGCAATAAAACAATTGAAATTTCATCATTTCAGACAGTAGGGTGGAGATGTAGCGGCTCACTGACAGACATCAACACTTGCAAAAACAACTACTTTCTCAGGGTAAATACAGCACACTACGATAGCCAGGTAGTTTCTGACAGAAGCATATGCTACGTCTTGTTATGTAGACTCGGGTACATTTAGAGTCTATGTTATAAAATATGTTCTCTTCCGTTTTCACATAACGTTGTGTATAAACGAGGGAAGTTAGATGGTCATATAACCAGATACCACACAACGAACCATAGCCTCGAAATGCACCACACGGTCCAATCTGCCCTAAAACCCTGATCACAGCGTTGAAAGGCCAGAAACGGGTAAACTCAATGCAGGGCAGAGGACCGTCAGTTGACGGGAGACAGATTACGTTATGTTCACGTTACCTAAGACGAGGACAACATGTTCACTTGGACCACCCACATGACCGACACACAAACAGATGGACACTGTTGTAACAGGCTGGAGCGACTGGACAAGCGGAGAAGACGTGCGAGATAAACCATTCATCGTAACTGTCATGTCAGTTTCTCATTCGGGGTCAGCTGGCCTCCCCGCTAACGTTAGCACCATGCACACAACGGCGGTAGCTAACAAGCTAACTACGGTTAGCTCGGATATCCAGCGCTACCTCTCTGTCTAGTAAGCGTACACACATTAAAAAAGGTCTACTTCTAAATATGTAATAAACAGAAATGAGTCCATACCAGCAATCGTCTGAAAGGTAGAAAAATGTGAAACAAAAGGCAAAATCAGTCCTCTTTATGTGCCGCAGCTAGCATCGGTGGCTAGTTCGATCACAAGCTAGGTTCGCTAGCTAAGAGTTAGCATCATGACCCATTTTGTACACTCACCATGTAAACCACATTCAGGGAACAAAGCGCATTTTTGGAACAGGTGAACCCGCCACAGACCATATTCGAAAAAGCTCAATCGACTAACGAACAAGACTTCGTAGAAGAAACCGGCTCGTCGGGCTCTCCGGAGCGCTAACGTCTGGACACAAATGTTTTTGGTCAATGGAGAGGGCGTATCTGATGACATCCGCACCGCGTGTGACGTCAGCGTGTCAACACACGTCATCGTTTTTAGGCGGAACCAGAGTCGCACAAAGAGAAAGTGGCGTCAGCGGAAATTCTAAACGATCGACGTTTGCCGTTATTAGATAACGTTAGTTTATGTGGAATATATATATATATCAGTAGCCATCCGCATGGAACAAGATACAGAATGACGTTTGCTGCACACGTGTAGTCAATGAATGAATGACTATATCATTGAAAAAATATCCAATTGAGAGAAACTACTTTTGTATTTATAAGCATCACTTTTGTGTAAAGTAAAACACGTGGGTGTAACAGCTAGAAGGAGGTTAATTTCCATGATGCCAGCTAATGTTCCCTTGCTTAATGTAACAGAGAGATATTTAGTGACAGATGGTGGTGCGGCTGCAGATTGCAAGCAATAACAACCCCCTCGATCCCCCACCCTAGTCTTTGGGATTTTATTACCACAATAAGATACTTTAATCAATACACTGTTCCTTTCATGACTAAATTATTTATTTAAAAAAAACGATAAATTCAGAACAGAATTATAAATGTATTTCCGATTCCTATGTTTACAAAACTTAACCAGGAAAATTAGTGTGAATGTAAGCTAACAGGGAAATCTAGACAGTGTGATATGCAAATTTGTTTGTTTTTTAAATAATGCTTTAACCTGCTGCAGAGTGGGTTCAAGTTTTCAGTGTGCCCTTATGTAAGTTGCATATTGGACCATGAGTGGGTTTCCAACTAGTCACAAAATCCTGCGCGTACATGTGTGTACATGTGCACTGACATTTAAAATGGACTGAAGGAGACTTTCCCCGGGGAAACTGCACCCTGGAGTCAAATGCACACACATCATGCACGGTTTCGGTTCAATGATAAGAAAAACCCACTTTTGAGAGTTGGACGACTCAGTCAAATCCTTTTGAAAGCAAAACAGTCAACTCAAGTTGAAAATGTAATTGTTGGGTGGCTTAGCATTTATATGAATGAAGATTGTTCTTTATGTAGTTTAATTTAGCTAAAATGATTTCCATTTTATATCTGTTTATTTGTCTTTACTAGTTTGCTTTTCTACTTAATTGAGCAGACTTACATCCACATCATGTGTCTGGATTGATGAACAGGTTGTGATTTGCACTCTGCAAGTAAAGACGTGTCTACAAAACAGTGAAAACAAAAGTAACATTTAAACATTGGAAATTGTATAATGGCTGGAAAACAGGTTTCTCAGTCTGAGCACAGTGAGTTTGTTCGGCAGACTCTCTGTGGTGGCGGCACGAGGATTACCCAACAAGCATGATAAGACACAGCGACATGCTATAACTTTAGCGGCAATTTATTTACACACACGAAAGGTTTTTACCAATTACAGCACTCCCCGAAAGAAAGCTCATTTGTAACATCCTGTTGCTGCAACGCCTCGAATTTCTCTACTAACACTGAGTGAGAGACTGATTCTTATCGGAATTGCATACAGGAACATTTCATAAACGAATTGTCATACGGTGTATTCTTAACTTGTTGTAACACAGCACTTTATGTGAAACAAAGGGTGACATTTCCATCGTGTGGCCGCCGCAGCGCTTTGGTGGAACGTTGGTGTTGTGAGAATATGGTTTGAAATAAGGAAGTGAATTCAGTTCAGTTTGAACTCGCAGAGGAAACTGAGACACACGTTGTCGTGAGCTGGCGTTTGTGGTGTGGAGGGCGAGAGAGAGAGGAACCCGGAGCAAGCGGCCCGCCGCTTCTTCTTCTACTGCTGCTTCTGTGTCTCAGAGTGTCTGTTCGTCTTGTTGAACCAACAAGCAAGGAGTTTAAATGGGCTGAAGCGAGGCACCTTAGCTTCAGTTAACAGAGAGATCCATGTGTCAGGATGAACAGCAGCAGCAAATCAGCAAACTCCTGCGCAATAAAAGCAGAGATCAAGAGGTATGTGTCCCTCCAAAATGCACTCAACAGACTATCCAAGCAGTTTGAAAGAGTCACGGATCAACAGCTGCGCGCAGGACTTAAAGTTTACCTCCACAGCATTCAAGGTGAGCTCCTTTTTCCTTCTTTGTTTTAATTTGGGGAGTAAAGCGACGTGTTATGCTGACGTTCTGATCGCCAGATTGCCAGAATTCGGTGAATGCATGACTCTCAAGGTGCTCGCTACATTTCTTGAGATGATGAACAGGAAATAGATGGAGCCGACTTTCATTCACTGTGAGTTTGGTCCTTCCTGTCAACAAAATTAGTGATGGGGTGAGGGGGGGACATGATAGAGGACTGGTATCTTTCTCTCGGCTTCCTGTGTCGGACGGGGGGTGTCCATTTACAAGACGTCAATGCTCCTTTTATTCTCGTTTTACTCTGAGGGCAGAGGTTCACCTCTCGGCGTCTGATACATGGAGGCTTTTATCCATCAGTCAGCTGCCGGACACGGCCAATCAATGGCGAGATCCTTCAGCCGCTATCGCCATGGCAGCAGGATGAGACCTGCTTTGCGGCCTACTTCCTGTCTGCCTGTGAGCAAGCCGCCAGCAAAGCCACTTCCTTTCAGACGAGCGGGGCCTTTTAGACGTGAAGCCGATCGGTTTTACATCATTTCCTCATAACTCTACTTCCCACCGTTTCTTGGTAGTGTGACACGATTGTTTTACTGTCGTCCAACTCGCCAAAGGTTTTTCTTTAAGACATGTAAGACACGTCGTGGAGGAAGTATGCAGATATCTTAGAGTGTAAGACTGTACTCTGTTAAGAGTAAAAGTCATGCATTCAAAACAAAAAAAGTATTATCAGCTATATGGTAACTATATCAAAAGTAAAAGTACTTTGTTTGTAGTACCGACTGGTTCCAACAAAAGGTCGAGAGTATCGGTAATATCCTGTTTGTGTGGAGCATCGAGCTGCTCTACTGTTTGATTTCAAATCTAATATTTGGAGTTACTTTTCAGATTTAGATCTTACATTGAAAACACAATATAACTGAGATACAACAGATTTTTTAAAATTAAACCAGTGATACTGTCACATAAACTGTTAATGCTTTTGTACCATTACTCAAACATTTATAAATACAAGATTTTCACTCGCAGTGGAAGATTGTCATAGTTTGATATTGATACTTTTATTCTAAAGTGGCCATCTCAAATATTTTCATTTAAACAAATGTTTGTTAAATCCAAATCCATCACTTTACTCCTTTATTACATTAAATGCTGAACCTTCCACTGCATACATACATTGCACAACTCAAACCTGAGCCGGTCTAATCCGACACATCAGTGTGGCTACGAGGGCCCTTTAAGTCACTGTAATGCATTTTATGTATTAAGGGAAAAAAATCACAGATACATATTGTAGTATTAAAAGTACAACATGTAAGTATGAAGCAGACAGGGAAATACTCATGAGAACTACACCAGTGTGGCCAGACTGGGTGGAATGACCTTATGAAATAATCAGCTTACCTTTTGATATAATCTGTTAATTCATCAGTCGACTGTCTCCGTGTGAATCGTAGGGCATCAGCCCCCCCGATGGATCTTGGTGTTCTTTGAGGTTTTTTGTTTTTTTCCGGGGATTGACAGATTTTGACACACTCTGCGAAGCACATCCCCTTCGTGTTCAACATTCGACAAATATATTTTTGAGGGTAGTATAATGAGGCTGCTGGGTGGAGGATGAAAGCCAGCGTATCCTCAGCGGGGCCTGGATCTGTGAGCGTAGACTTCACTGATGCTAAAAAGACAGACAGCCCCCTCCCCGTTTTGGACTTAATAAGCGAGTGTGTCCCGGGCAAATGCTGGAAAGAACGAAATGGAGAAAAAGGGTCAGGTGGAGCATTTAAAAGTGAGTCTGAGCGGTGTGTGTTCACTGCAGCATGGCATGCAGAGCAGGAAGGAATAAAAAAAAAAAAACAGCAGGACCACTGCCCATTTGACAGCACCCGCCCATAGGTGTTAATTTACGCCTGTTCTTTGTTCGCATGCACGCAGGTCTCAGATAGATTGTTTAAAAAAAAGTGCCTGTCTAAAGACAACAGCTCATGTGTACATTTCTGGAAATATTGAGTAGATTCGCCATGCAGCACCCGCAGGCTGCATGCGTGTTCTCACCGTTCTCCCTTGACATACATTTTCACATTGTATTTTTTATTTTAAAAGCAGCTATGGGGTTTTTATTCATCAATCTCGTTCTCGGTTGGAGGCTGCGTTCCGCTCCCAGGTCGTGTGTTTTTCCCCTTGAGCCGAGGGCGCCTTGTAGTCGGAGGTCTTTTGTATTCAGAGCGAGTAGTTACTGCCCTCTCCCTCCCTGACGGGTGAAGGCGAGGGGGGAGAGTGGGCCGAGCAGGTGGACAGTCAGATCGTGTATTACTGGATGATGGTGGGAGGCTGAGGCTGGTGCACTGGGAAAGGCATCATCTGATTTCACTTCAAGGATTTGTTTTTGTAATCAGAGAGTAATGCACGTGAAATTACACTAGATTACCGTAAGTGATGGAGGTGCGTAATCGTGTTTGCTGCAGTCTTTCTGTCTGAAGCACGCATCATTATTGCAGCAGTTTATCTTTATTTTATCTTCCTGGATTCTAATTTATGTTTCTTCATGATGAAGTTGATTTGATTTCAACTTTTCTAATAATGGCTTAATCAATCAATGGAAAAAATACTTAATTGTAGCTTCTCAAAGGTGAGGATTCGCTGCTTTTCAGAAATTGTCTCTATTTGTGTTCTTCATGTTGGTCGGACTAAAAGTGACATTTGGTCAACTTGGCTTCTAGAATTTTTTCCCGAATAAAAGGGTTCATGTAAAATATGATGTTGTTTTTGCGTATGGTCAACCACTGATGTCCAATATGCTGTGGTTCATGCTGTGAGCCCAGAGTGTACCCACTTCTGCTAATGAACACATAGCCGGCAATAGAATAGACGGATCAATAACCTCACAGGAAATCTCTTCCCCCCACTTGGTCCACGCAATGAAACACTCAAGCACACAGACACACCATTTTGATACAGAGATCATGGGAGGGATTGTGATACAGAGTGTACCACCGGAGGAGGAGGAGGAGGAGGAGGAGGAGGAGGAAGGACACAGAGATGATTGTGCCACCAGAGAGGAAGATTGTAACACCTTAGCAACAAACAAGCCGAGCCTCCTACCGAGGAGGAGCCACACGGAGCCGCACACACACACACACACACACACACACACACACACACACACACACACACACACACACACACACACACACACACACACACAAAAAGACAGCTGAAGACAGATGGATGCTCTTGATAAAACTATTCTGACAGCTGTATAAATGAGACAGGGAGCAGACACTCTAAAAACAAACCCTGCCCCTGTTTTTTTTCCCTCCACAAACCCGCATCACCCTTCTGTTTGTTTGTTGTCATCCCTGACTAATCCTGCCTGCTCTCCCCGCCGCTGATCCTTTCTCCGGCGGTCTCCCCCCCATTTAGCAGCTCCAGCTTGCGTGTGCACTGCCTCACCACCAGCAGTTACCCGTTGCCTTAAACCCCCCCTCCCCTCCCCTCCCCCTGCCGCCTCCTCTCCGGCATGCCTGGGAGAAAGATGGAGGGGAGGGGATGGGAGGGATGAGCAATAAAGAGCAGGGACTCTGCACAGAGAGAGAGAGAGAGAGAGAGAGGGGGGGGGGGGATAAAGGAGTGAAAGGGAAAGAGGGGAAGCAGGATCCTTCTGCTTTGCATGGATTGCCTATTGGAACAAGGAGGGACATGTGGAGGCAGGGACACGGGAGATCCCTGTCACTGTGTTGGTGGGAGCCGGAGAGAGAAACCGCAGAGTGTGAACTGGGTGCACGTGTGTGTGTGCGCGCGCGTGTGTGCGATTCGACTCGTTGAACCTGTGCAACGGCGTCTCCATCGCGGGGGGTGGGGAGGAGAGGAGAGGGAAGGAGGGAGTTGTGTGGTGGGGGGTGGGGGACGGTGCGTTTTTGGCAGTGACTCGCCTCAGCGCATCCTGCGTTGCGTCCCGCTTGCCGCCTAATGCGCTCAGAGGACACGGGCCGCCCGGCGAGAGACAGCGACAGGGGCGTAGATGGCCGGACGCGCCCTGGCTCGGCCATGCATCTGCAGGTATCCGCCCGGGGCTTCTGTCGGCTTCTCCTGCTGCTCCCCGTCGCTCCTCGTCACTGTGCTTCCCGCGCGTCGCCGTCTTGCCGCTGCGCTCCCTGAATGGACGCGTCCGTCAACCCACATGCGTGGCCTGCAGTGAGAGCCCGCCAACCGGACCGGACTGCACGCAGCCCCCTCCCCCCCGGGTGTGCTGTGACACGCCGCTTTAGGGTGACACCGATCCGTTTTTACAGACGTTATACCTTTTCACCTTACAGCTGCTGTTGATCGCATTCTTGGTGACGTATGATGCGGGGCAGCTGTTATTCTGAATTGAATCCTGTTTTTTTCTTTTGCTCTGAGTGAAGGATGGACTGAGCAACGTATCAGATGGGGGTGCTGCACATAGAATTAAGGTCAAGTAAATAATTACTATCAGGAATTAGGCGCCATAGTGGAGACTGGCTGCATTCATATGCAGTGGATAGATTTTAATTGGGTGTTTTCTAGGAACAAAAGAGCTGCTTGGACTGCACTGTCAGGAAGAGTGGATTCCTATATTCCCGAGGAATGAGAGTTACGATTAAAGAAGGATTCCGTGACAGAAATTAGTACCCCAAACAAAGAAATAGGGATTTGGGGGATGGATAAAACCGACAGCCGCTGTGCCGCTGTATCTTCCAAGGAGAAACTCATCAACTCGTCATGTAAGTTTCCGTCGTGCTGTCAGAGTCTCTCGCATCCCAAACTGTCGGTCCTTCGTGGTTTCATTCATCTACTGTGTGTCCGCTGAAGCCTGACCACATGAGCGGAGGCGGCGCCCTGCAGCAACGCACCACCTACCTCATCTCCCTCACCCTGGTCAAAGTAGAGGCTGTGGAGGAGAATGGAGGGGAGGCCAAGAACAGCACCCAGGGGAAGGAGGTGGAGGCCGGGCCTGGAGGACGGGCAGGAGGAGAGGCCGGGGTCAAAGGGGAGGCTGAAGGTGAAGCTCCTGCTTGGGATGAGAACGGAGCAGGACAACCACAAGGAGCTGAGGTTGCTGCGACTCTGAAAGGGAGCAAGTCACCTGATGAGCTCAAAGATGGCGGGAGAAAAGCCCTCATCCCTTTGACGGATGAACTGCCTTGTACCGTTGATGTCCCGATCAAAGGGAGTGAAAAGCCACCGTGCAACCTCTCAATCCCCACACCTGCCGAGAGGGCGGCGGTTCAGAAGACAAAGTCACCAGATGTTGACCTACCACAGGTGGAGAGGGCGCCCTCCACCCCAGAGGCAAAGCAATGCAGGTCACCACTACTGACCACCACGCCTCCAACGGAGGTGGTCGAGCCCAGCCGCACCCCAACCAGGACCAGCCTCCCCATCCGTCCGGTGGGACAGCGTCCCGTGAGTCTGCTGAAGTCTCACAGCAATGTGGCGACCCGCGGACGCGACTCCAGGGACGGCAGAGAGCGCAGCCCCACCTCAGCCCAGAGCCTGGACCGGAAGGACTCCCGCATGCCGACGCGCTCCCCGGGCCCCTGCAGGGCCTCATGGGCCGAGGCGAGCAGGCCCGACGGCTGGAGGGACCTGCGGGATGAAGCTCAGGCCGGAATGCCTCTGGAGATTGGCGGTGGCGTGGCTGCGGTGATGAGAGACATGCCCAGGAAGGACAGACTGAAGGCAGGTTCGGCCTCCCTACCCGCACCTGCGACCCTGGCCAACAAACCCGGCCGCAAAGGTAAAAGCCGCACGCTGGATAACAGTGACCTGAACAGCCTCTCGGAAGACCTGGGCCTGGTCCAGCAGGCGCAGCAGGGCAACCGAGGCTCCACTAAAGACAGAAAGATGCTCAAGTTCATCAGTGGCATTTTCACAAAGAGCAACTCGGGGTCAGCGGGGTCATCCGCCACAGCGCCACCTGTCTATATACAGAGAGACTCCAGCGAAGAGGAAGGTAGGAGGTCAAAACATCACTTTCGCCGCTTCTTTCACTGCTCGGTATCTTCATGTTGCAAACATTTATCAGACATGCAGCTGCCTCATGCACAGGCATCCATTTAAAATGAGCTGGGATGGGCCTGGGTGGGGTTTGTCTTTTTATTAAAGAACCCCACACAGAATACATTTACAGGCTATAATACTGTCACCTGCGGAGAAACGTCTCACCGAAGCCAAATTGACGACAGATGGAGTTCTTTGATCTGAGAACTGACAATAGATCATCTCGGACAGTCTTAATCTAATTCCCCTCAGAGTGGGCGCAGATTTCACACCGCTGGAGGGGTAATCTAGGCATAGACAGTCGAGCAGCGTTCCCAGCATGGGTTTTAATCTCATAACGAAGCCAAAGGGGAGAGGAGCTGGTGGCACGATCACGGATGGATTGTGCTGCTCTGGTGTGTTTTTTTTTTCTTCCTCAGCTTTATTTCCATATAGAGGAAAGACATGAGGCGATATTTATTCATCCACATCAAACAGGCAAGCGTACATCCACAGCCAATCAGAAACATCGCTAATCCTGTTTTTGATTTTCCACCCACTGCATGTTCTGCCACTAAATGGGGCTTCTTTTTTTTTCTCCTTCCCGCTCACTCTCGTCTTTGTCTCTGTCAGGCGTTCAATTTAAATTCCAACATCATGTCAGAAGCGCTCATGTGGAATTTTAAGATTTAGGATGGCCATCGCTGCCGCTGTGCCCTCTGTGCAGCTTTCTCGCAAACATGTTTCCCAAAAGAAAGAGCGTCCGACTGTGTGTGTGTGTGTGTGTGTGTGTTTGATGAATTTATTCACTCATTGTGTATTCACACTGTCGCACGCACAGGCCGAGTGCACACACACACACACACACACACACATGCATTTCAGCAAACACGTACACACAATACAGAGGGGCAGGAGGAAGTGTTGCCATGGCAACCGGCAGGACTGCTGCTGCTACAGAGGCAGAGTCTGATGAAACAGGGTGGAGGAGGTGTTGGGTTTGTGTGTGTCTGTGTGTGTGCGCACAGGTTGACACACAGACTGGGGATTGTGACAAAATTTCCCCCTAAAAGAATTTAATTCAGAAAATTGGCAGTTTTGGATGTGAGCTACAGGCGACATGTGGGAGTTTGCAGAGGGGATCACACACGATTGGTTTGGAGGAGAGTGTGTGGATAATTGGCTTTCTGTTTAAATCTGTGGGTCTAAGCAGCAGAAGCATCACACAGTCTGATCACTGTTGACAACAGCAGCGGGCCATAAAGAGAGCTTTGACTCAGACAAAGACAGGCAAAGTCTCTGTGTGCCTCCGGTTGTGTGGCAGTACTTGCACATTATCACCGGCTGCATCTGGGTGACGTTGGCCTGGACGTAGGCTGGAGTTTAATCGTCGTCTGTCTTTGAAGGACATATCACACATTCACACCCAGCGTGGCGGCCACTACAGTCTGCCAAAACCTCCCGTTCTCCTCTGTTGTCATTCTGTGATTTAACTCGTTCCCCTTTTGTCGTTTTCTGATTATTTAGTCTCTCAATTAGCTTTAGAAGCAAATTTTCCTGTATTGCAAACACATCCAGTGAACTATATCAACGTCTAAGTGATGGATTGGCGTTTAGTATTAAACATCATATGCTAGATCTCAATGGCGTTGTATCTACAGTATTTGGCCTTTCATAATCCGTTCACATTTTTTCCCACTAGCTTACTTTCCAATTAAATGCAAACATTCCAGGATATTCCCATCAGCCTCAACTGTGCTTTGTGTTTAATGCTGGTTACCAAATGTTGGGATGCTAACTCGCCAAACTAACCCAGTGAACAATAAACGTGCAAAACATCAGAATGTTAAAACCATTGTGAGCATCCTGCTGTTAGCTGTTAGCATTGCTGTAGTTACTACTCTTTAATGTAATATACTTTCCAGTTGATTAAAAACACCTGGTAAAAAACGAATAAGAAATACAACAGTTCTGCTATAAATCCTTCATGGAAATTATAATGTCCAGTATAAAAAAAAACAGTTCTAAAGGTGTTCATTCAGCCGGTCATTTTGGAGGCTGCAGTTTGTTTGAACTGTATTGCGTTATATTGACACAGACATGTGTTTCTATTATTTTGTCCATCCTATTTATAAACAGGACGACGCCAAATGCGTGTTTAACACAATGAATCAACGCCTTCAGCTTCACAGGCTTCGATACAACAGTATTAGGGTTAGTTTTTGTTAGACGTACCTAATAAACTAGCAAATGTTTGTTCCAGTCGCTGAATCATTTTCAGACTCTCCTCTGGGTTTTTCTTTATTCTCGTCCCTTTGAAGCTGCAGTTGGTTTTGATGGTCACATTACCTCTCTGTTCCCCAGCAAGCACAGCTGTGCGCAGCCCGACCTTTCCGACTTCTATACTGCTAGATGTGCACGCCTGTTTGTGTGTGTGTGCATGCATATGGTTCGGGATACAACAAATACTACTCAACATTGACGTAATAAAACAATGTGTCCCTTTTGAGCTGATGATTTGTCGATTGATCCAATAGTCATCTGCCAGAAAAATGAAACAAGGTCCTATAATATTTTGATTATCAATTCATGTTTTCAGCCATTTTTCAAGTGAAGATTACACTTATTATTTGGTACTAGATGCGTGGCTTCCCTCTGTGATTTATTGTTTTAAATGAATTGTATAAATGTTAATGTATGTATGACCTTTTTATATTCAAAGTCGGAGTTCATTTGAGAATCGAATAAGTAATCGTTATTTGCAGGTCTAGCTCAGAGGAGAGATGCCGTTAAAATCCATTGGTGAGTCTTTGAATGACAGCTGAAGTGGAGGATCCACTAAAGAACACATTAACTCACCGCACAGCTGCCCTTCAGTTATGGCACACGGGGTAGGCGGGGGGGGGGGGTGGGCAAAGTGGATAAAGAGCAGTGTAAGCGACGTGGGTTAGTTTCACTCTGTGGCCGGATCCCCCCCGACGTGACTGAAGGGTTTACACTCATTAAGAAGACCTACGAGGCCACACGTGTTCGTACCGTGGTCTTACACACACACACACACACACACACACACACACACACACACACAGAAAGGCATTTATCGTGGCTGTTTCACTGTACAACGTCAAAATGATGAATCTCTCTCTGCGTCTCTGCCTCACTGACTGATTCTTCTCTGCCTCTCTCTAGTAAATATTGCCAACAGCCAGGAGTGGACCCTCAGCAGATCCATCCCAGAGCTCAGACTGGTGAGGCAAAACACGGCCAGTACAACACCTTCTTTATTCTTAAAAAACAAACATATGAATTTATTTCAACATTTAAGAAACACGTCAACGGGAACAGAAGAAGCCTCACTGACCTGCTGCACGTAATAAAGTGGCCACTCGTTATACTGTAACACGCTTTGTTGTGAAGTGGTCAGTTTAAAGAACTATTCCTTTGTTAAAGTCAAAGGATCTGAATGTTTCTTCCACTACTGAACACAAACACACTCAGAGGAGGAACCATGGGTTTAAATTCAGCCCGAGAGTTATATTTGAAGTAAAACTCATCGAGCTCACTGACACAGAGTGAACAGTGTTGTACTTCCTTCCCTCTTCTCTTAGGGCATTCTGGGAAGTATAAAAAGCGGCAAGTCAGCGTTGGTGAACAAATATATCACCGGCAGTTATGTTGCTCTGGAGAAGCCTGAGGGTAAGAAACACTAAAAGCATGTAATAAAGTGCTTTTAAGTATTTTACTTATTTACAAGTGTAGATACTTGATGGCAGTTTACTAATAATATTGAATCTGAGGTAATTTTCCATGCAGGAGTTTTTACTGATTTAATACTAATACTAAGTAGATTATCTAAATGCGTCCTCTAGCACGGGTCCTTTGACGCCGATAAAAATGTTTCGGTTTATAAATAACAATTCTTAGAAAATACATTTTTATCCCAAAGCCTGCTTGTCACATTTGATTTGCTGCCGTCTGATGTGTGTGTGGCTTCATCATCTGTCGTGCTGCTGTCGTTGTCTTTCATCGTCTCCATCAGGTGGCAGATATAAAAAGGAACTGTTGGTGGACGGACAGAGTAATTTATTACTGATCCGGGAGGAAAATGGACCACCTGATGCCCAGGTGTGTGTGAGCAACGGAGAGAGAGTTGGTGTGCAAAACCATCGTATACCCGCGTCCTCCCTTATCCTCTTTCTCCTTCAGTTCAGCAGCTGGGTGGACGCGGTGATTCTGGTTTTCAGTCTGGAGAACGAGGGCAGCTTCCAGGAGCTCTACCAGCTCTACAGCCAGCTGAGTGCACACCGCACGGACATCCCGGTCATCGTGGTCGGCACCCAAGGTCAGCACCATCACGGAGTTGTTAAAATAATATGAAGATTAAAAAATGCTGTCATGAGGTGACTACAATGTGTAATCGTGTCTTACAGTTTTCTATTCACTGATACGTTTCCAGATAAAATCAGTAGCACCAACCCTCGTGTGATCGAGGACCAGAGGGCCAGACAGCTGTGTGTCGACGTGCGTCACTCGCTGTTCTACGAGACCTGCGCGACTTACGGCTTCAACGTGGACCGAGTGTTTTCAGAGGGTGAGTCGACTGAACACCCGGCGGAAGCGGCAGTGTTTGCGACGCGCACCCGAGTAGCGACGAGTGAAACGCGTTGACGTCCGTGTGTTTTTGCAGCGGCCCAGAAGATTGTAGCTCAGAAGAAGCAGGCGGCGCTTCAGGCCTGCAAGTCTCTCCCCAACTCTCCCAGTCACTCTGGAGGCTCCACACCGGGATCAGCGTCGTTCCCCGGACAGGTACCTCATCCTGTCGGCTTTTAATTTGACCATTTCAATATTATGCACCTTCTGAATTTGTTTGTTTGAGATTATTAATAGAAAACACAAATCAACTAATCATTACATATGATTATAATGATATAAAGTATATAATAATATAAGTCCTGAATCATTTTCCATATAGAAAATACTTTGAAATCAGCCTATTTTCTTTGACATTATGCAGACGACTCAATAACTTTTCTCCAGTGATAATCAAATGTTTCATATTTGACACTACAATACTTATTGTGTAAATCAAAAATATATTTAATAGCACTATTTCACACAGATTCGCACATGGGAACAGTTCCAAAGTCGAGACAGGATATCAGATATCAGAGCGATGAATGCGAACACATTCAGGTGTGAAGCTTGTAATTGTTCTCTTATTTGGGACATAAGACCCGATGGAAACAGGACACGGATGAAGGTGTTCTCCTGTTGCCATGCTGCTGCTTTTTTTACTGCCCAACTACATAAAGCTTCAGCCGCATTTCATAGCGATGCCGATCCACAGGACAATCTTTTTTACATCATCCATCAAACTGAAATCTCAAAGCCGTCATCACTCCTTCCACATCCATCTCAGCTCCATCGATAGCACCTCTACCTCACCCGTTTCATCACCTTTCATGTCATTTTCCCTCTCTGCACCCTCCCCCCCCCCTCCCACCTCCATCCCCATCCACCGTGCCTCCGTATCCCTACACCCTTCAGGCCAGTAATGGCCCGAGTTGTGGCTACGCCTACTCCCTCCCCTCCACCCCTGTGATCGCTCACAGAGATCTGCGGGTTGCACAGGCAGAGGGGGGAGGCAGCGTCAACTCCCGTTCTCTGAAAGGCATCCCCAGACGGCCGTCCCTCTTCAAGGTCAGTCGTTGCCAACTGCCGGGGGTCTCACACCTTTTTTGGTCTCCCGTCATCTCTCGACACCATTTCACTGCATTCAGCTCCGCCGCTGGCCCCCCTCGCCCCCGTCACCCCGTCTAAAACGCCTCCCTGCTCTCGGTTTGTTATTTCAGAACCGGGACTCGGATAAGAAGTCCGGTGATCCCAAAGGAGACCTGAGCGGTGCGCGGGGCGTCCCCATCAAACAGGTTTGGTTGACATGGCAACAAAAATGAACTATTCAGCAAAGCTGATGTACCGATTCCCAAGACGAGAATCAGTATCAACCTTTCTCAAGGGTGTGCTATTAATATTGTGCTTTTTAGCTATTGTTGTCGGAACCTTTCACCCTTTGAGGAAATCGCCTTGACTCTAAATTCAGGCAGATTCACACGGCCGTTTGTTGCGTGTGCAGTGACCCGGCTTGTTGTCTCTGACAGAGCATCTTGTGGAAGAGAAGCGGCAGCTCTCTGAATAAGGAGTGGAAGAAGAAATACGTCACCCTCTCCAACAATGGAACGCTGTCCTACCACTCCAGCTCCAGCGTAAGAGAACAACAAAAGACAGTAAAAAAACGCATTCAGTGTTTTTACTGTGAAGGAGATCATATCTGCAGTTATGGTTTTCAACACTGGAAGAATTGCTTTGAAGCTTTTACCAACCATTGATTTATTATTATTTTTTTCCAGATTGCATTAAGAGTGATTTAACATTTTGAGATTTGTTTTAAAGTGGTGGAAGGTGACAGAGTACATTTATTCAAGTATTATACTTAATTTCATGTTACCTTTTACTTTCACTTACAGTGCAATTCAATTACAAATATTGTATTTTCATCTGTGATAATCAACAAATAAAAGATGTTGTATTATTACAGGCCAAGTGAATTCAACTTGTAATTTGTAAGAGGAAGTATCACTTCCTTTAAAAGTTGCATATTTTAGTTCATCAGTACTTCTGATAAATAATGTCCAATATGCAAATACCATCGTCCGTTTCAGGACTACACGCAGAACATCCATGGAAAAGAAATTGACTTGCTGCGCGTGACAGTTAAAGTTCCCGGGAAACGTCCTCCGAGAGCCGTGGCTCCTGCAGGGCCCTCACCTGTCCCCCCCGGCGCCGCACCTGGAGTCAACGGGCTGAGTAAGGATCCAACAGCCACCGAAGGCACCAGCACAGGTACTTCTTCTTTGTACATGTACTTTTTTACTTATGATTATCTTTTAAATACGATGCGTTGTTACAAGTTAAACTACCTAATATAATGTTATAATATGCAGTATCATACATAATATAATATTGCAAAACTAGTAGGAAATATTCTTATTTATTGTCATTCATTATAATGTATACACTTTTGTAATAAATTATAGTTAAAGTAAATTGTCTATCTTAGTGAATATGCATTACAAAACAGGATTCCCTTGTTTTAAATTTGACATACTGTGTATAAACCTTCAGTTCCCCAGTTGTGTCCAGCCACTCTGTCTGTGGTGGATGACCGGTCCGGCGTCCTGCTGCCTCACGGAGGAGACAGAGGACTTCAACGCTGCGCCTCGTCATTGTCCGCCAAAGCACAAAGTGTTGGTACGAGCACACGGAAATAAAAGCCTTTCGGCCACCGGTTTGAAAAACCACTGGAGCTCCACTGTGATTGTTTTCAATGCTCTCACAGATGCACAATATGTCATTCACTATTTTTCGCACCAAACGGCAGATGCTCTTGAGGGAGCAGCCGGTCCTTTCGCTGGAAAAGATCCCGGCCAATCGTCTCCGATGAGCGACAGGAAGAAGAACAGGAGGAAGAAGAGCATGAACCAGAAAGGAGATGCAGCCGTAGGGCAGGCGGAAGGTAACTCAACATATATATATATATATATATATATATATATATATATATATATATATATAATTTACATTTACACATTCCTCTGTCAGCAACAGATTAGTGCTTGCGTTTCTCTATATACTTCTTTGAAGTCTTTTCTTAACACTTTTACTTTCTCTGTTTCTCTTCCTCCTCTTATCCCTGCGCTCATCTCTTGCTCTGCAGCCAAGCGAAAAATGTGGAAATTAAAGAGCTTTGGTAGCTTGAGAAACATTAATAAAACAGGTAACAAGTGAGGGTGGATGGAGCTGAATCGGCATGTGCTCTGATCTACGTTCTTTTCATTTTCCTCTTCACTACACTTTGACTGTGACACCACCAAAGATTTTCCCGTTCTCCCCTTCCATAGAATCATTTGTTTGTTCTGTATTGTGTTGCGTTTGTGTTTTCTTCTTCCCAAAGTGACTCTTTGGATTCATAATCCCCATAACATCCCGCCACGTTAAACTATCCGTCCCCTGTACAGACTCGCCGTCCGTACTGAGGTTTGTTTGCGCTCCTCTTTCTACCCGCAGACGAGGAGAACGCAGACTTCATCATCGTGTCGTTCACCGGGCAGACGTGGCACTTTGAGGCTCCGAGTCTGGAGGACCGCGACTCCTGGGTCTCGGCCATAGAGAGCCAGATCCTGGCCAGCCTGCAGTCCTGTGAGAGCGGCAGAAGCAAGGTACGCTGGTTTTAATCAGGTTCCCAACGGGAGCACAAGCGTGTCCTGCTCTTCTTCTAGTGCTGTGAACCGTACCCGATAGAACCGCGCTCACACAGTCCTGATGAACCCGATTAGTGAGAATTTCACGAGGCCTACAAAATGCAAATATAATAGTCGAGGATGTTATTTTGTCTGGGTTTTAACTTTGATGGTAGCATATGTACTCATGAATATGCATTATTATTATTATATAGAGACTTTGTAGGTCAGATTCAAAATAGCTCTAAATTATGTATCTGTGTCGGAAGCTCCCTTCTGTGAACACAAGGGTTCTGGTTCTGGCGGCTGGAAAGGAGAGCACAAAGACACATTGCTAATCACTGACTGCGACTGCTGGAGGGATGCAGGACGGCAGCTCACAGGATATGCGGGACATGGAGCTGGGGGGAAGCGGGGCGGAGAGATGCGCGTTGTGACCATGTCTCCGTAATCAATACACACGACGCATCGTCACGCGTTACCGTTTATTCTTTGCCGCATAGGTGGTGGTTCGGGTTTGAACACGTGCGTCCGTGTGTTGTTGTTGTTGTTGTTGCAGGCTCGGAGGAGCAGCCAGAGTGAGGCTGTAGCGCTGCAGGCCATCCGCAACGCCAAGGGCAACCATCTGTGCGTCGACTGCGAGGCACCAAGTGAGCACGGCAGAGTACAAGCACCACACAAAACGAGTAGTACAACCAGTGCGTGTGGAAATAGTGAAGTCACCACGCTGTCTCCGTGCTGCAGATCCCACCTGGGCCAGCCTCAACCTGGGCGCGCTCATCTGCATCGAGTGCTCCGGGATCCATCGCAACCTGGGGACCCACCTGTCCCGCGTGCGCTCGCTGGACCTGGACGACTGGCCGGGGGAGCTCACGCAGGTCCTGGCGGCCATCGGGAACCACACGGCCAACAACCTGTGGGAGAGCTGCACCCAAGGGCGAACCAAACCCACGCCGACCGCCACCCGGTGGGTGTTCACAGCAACGCAGATGTTCAGATGAATAATGCAGCAGGCTCGTTTCAGGCCACTCTCACGCAGTGTGTGAATCCACTCGTAAACTCTGGCGTGATAGATGATAGCGTACATATGGATCATTAATACCTGGCATTAACTGTTAATTATTGATCGTGTAATCATTCACAGCTTGATAGCTGTTATTATGAGCACACACATTAATAAGTGTGTTGGTAAACATTCATCAACATTTATGTCTGTTTGACAGAAGAAATCCTGTTATCTCTCCGTTTTAGGAGAAGGGGAAGACATTTTTTCTGATTAGGTACATTAGTAAGTATAACTAGGATTCCCTTGAAGTACGTCCTATGCGTGACTGCGTCTCCTGTGTGCCTTCTATCCAAGTGAGGAAAGAGAGTCGTGGATCCGCGCAAAGTACGAGCAACGGGCCTTCGTGCCGCCCCTCCAGCCGCCGCCGGGTCCCCAGCTTCCAGGCGACGACATGCCGGCGTGGCTGCTCTCCGCCGTGACCGAGAGAGACCTGCCCAGGCTGCTGCTGCTTCTGGCCCACAGCACCAAGGAACGGATCAACGCTCAACCGACCGGGGAGACCTCGCCGCCTCGCTCGGCCCTGCACGCGGCCTGTCAGCTGGGGGACGTGGTCATGACACAGCTGCTCGTTTGGGTGGGTTTCTCGTGTTCGCGTTCGCTCTGCCGTCCTGTTAGGATTCCTCAAAGGTCACCGCCGTGCGTCGCGACCTGCTCATACATGACGAGGACAGTGGAGCGGCGTTTTTCATGATATTAGTTTCACGTAATACACATAATGCTTTGTGAATGTAGTCTTTAGGTTTCTATTAAGTTCAACGCACAAAGAAGGAAATAAAAGTATTTCCACCGCGGCAGGTCCCCTAAGGGCGAGAGGACCTTTAGAGGAAGTCACAGGTCATCAAGTAGAGGTCGATTTAGTATCAGATTTTAAATGGGAGACATGCAAAAGCAGATACAAAGAAGTCTGTGTTGAAACTTCCTCTTTTCTGAGTGAACCGTCAACCGTATTTAGCTTCAGATACATCCCAAAACAGTATTTTCAACAGTTGGCTTTGTTTAGTTCCTTTGGTCCCACAGTTACTGGACCCTTTTGGTGAAAACTACTGTGTGGCACGTGGAGGTTTTAGGTAAACCAGCTGCAGGCCTTCACGCCGCTCACTTAGCGTGTACTTTTATCACAAATGTGTTTGATTGTGATGTTTTTCAGCAGCACGTCTGGTTTGCTGTCCTGCCTTTAATCGGTATTTACTTAATGAATAAGCTCGTCAATGATCCTGTATTGTCTCTTCCCCCCCAGTACGGAATTGACGTGAAAGCGAAAGATAACCAAGGCCAGACGGCCATGAAGATGGCCAGAAAAATCGGCAGCAAAGGCTGCATTGATATTTTGCTGCAGCACGGCTGTCCCAACGAGACGTCCCCCACCACTGCCACGCCCGTCCTCTCCCGCCGGTCCAGCACCGCCAGCCTGGGCCGAACCAGCTCCAGCAGGAAACGGGTGTCGTAGCGCCAACTCAAGATGACCCCCGCCGCCCCCCCCCTCCCTCCTCCGCGGAGCGCCTGGCGACGACTGGGGGATGCTTATTGTTTAGAGTTTTTTTTTAATTTTCAACTGTTACAACGGAGAGCGGCGTACTTTAACGACAGGACTACATCGTAGTACTACGGATACACAAGATACTCTCCGAAGACCGAACATATCAAACAACCTAAAAGCAATATTCATTGAATTTTGTTGATGACACAGATGTTGCTGGGATACTGTGTTGTTGTTGTTGTTGTTGTCAACATCATTTAAAAATGACTCGAGCTGAACTTTGAGGCTGTCTTCTGTAGTTTTAGAGCAGACAAACTGCACATTGTTTCACTTCCTCAAGGAGAAGTGCAATAATCCAAATATGACGATGAAAAGCAACAAATTGTGGAGCGAACTATGTCTGTACGGTCGATACGTCGAGAGGGTGCTGCTTTTATTCAAATTTGTTGTGACTGGACCAAAACGGCTATTATTTTCTTTGGCTTTACAAATGAAATCTACATGTCCTGTTGCTAGTGTCGTGTGCAGCAGTACGAAGGCCAGTTTGGTCAATATAAACAGTTTTTCAGTGACAACTCAGCTGAAATTATTCTGCTTAGACTAGAAAAATGAAGTATATCAGTGTTACTATCACAGGTCAGAGATATGGCGTTTTATTATACTGTAAATGTACCTATACTACATACTTAATGTCAAATTGTAACGAAGACACATCAGAAAAATCAAAGAATGAATTTTGTAAATTATTTCTACTGGTAGGTTTGACATGTTTTTTTAATCGTCTTATCATTTCCTATTTCTTACATGTCATGAAAGCATAAACCAGTAAACAAAAAACGTTTGCATAATGTAAAGATGTGGCTGTTTGTTTAAACGTTTTGGGGGGGATGGCCAACAACTACATAAAGACATTATTCATGTTCATGTTACTGTTGTGTAGGTCTATCCCATGAGTTTACAGTGAAGTATGAAAAGTTGCAGGTGTCATTGTTATTTCGGACACTTTGTTGGTCGTGTGAATCTGTCATGAGCTAAAAAATAAACTTTTTTTAATTAGCATTATCAGGATAATTTGTGTTGTTTTATTTTGTCTTTGTCTGTGCCTGTCTGCTGCAATTTTGTTTATAGCATGTTTTTCGATGTGGAATGTAACTAATGATAATAGTACAAATTTGAAGTACTTGTGACTTAGTTGAAAATCTCCTCTTTGCTCTTTTATATTTCTACTACAACACATTTGTTTGACATTCGTTACTAGTAAACTTCATAATAGATTCAAAATATAAATGAATGAAATCTGATGAGTTTGGATAAAGCCAGTAGTAAAGCCCACCTTTACCAGCTGAAACATTATGTACATGAATGCAACAACAAATAAAATCAATATATTATTCTGAAATGAACCATTCTGATCATGAGTTGTTTTATTTTTTATATTTTTAGCCCATGTTGATATGAATACACTAATTTTACAAGGTGGTATTAATGATAATTCTATGATTTACTTCATTATATTCATTTGTCAGCTGAAGTTACAAATGATTACAAGATAAAAATTAAAGCTGAAAGTGGATTCCAACCATTCAAATGTCCTTTAATGTTTCCTCTTTTGTTGCACAACATCATATGAGAACACAACATAAGAGCTGACCGAATACAAATACTTACTATGTTGAAACATAGTTCAAATTCTACAATTTAAGAATGATTCTGTTCCTACAACACATACTTAGAATATAAAAGCATTACAAATATCAGAAAGGAAAATAAAATTCAGCTTAGCCAATATTTACACGTTTATTTTTATTTTAAATCTCGTTTTTTTTCTGCCAACAATATATAGTAAAAAAAAGTTTTTAATAGTAACACTGGTGCTCAAGAATATTGCTTCCAAAATCATACATGAGTGTATCCCAAGCATTTTAAACACGTTTGATTTATCTATTTAAGTTATCTATAGTTAAAAAATGCTCGATAGTTCAAGTATTAATTATTTAAACTCTTAATCCTCGTCCAATCCGAACCTGAAGCCCCTTCGCTGCAGTGCCACTTCCCGTCTGCAGGAGGCGCCTGCGATGACGTTTTGTTGACATACGTCACAGAAATGCGACGGCCGAACAGAACGGTTGTAAATTTTATGCGTGACGACCACCAGAATTCCTTTGAAAACATAGTGGAAAGAGAGGAGTCTTCGACACCTAGACACGTCTTTTAAATGGGTAAGTCGCAACGACACCAACGGCACGTTGACGTGAGAAAGTTGGTGATTTTTGTAACGAATTAATTGTAAAAAGCTGTCTGATTTTGCGTTTAGTAAACAGAGTTGCATTAATGTGTCTAAAAAGGTGGCTACGTTGCGTTAGCTTCTGGTTGGAATGAACAGTCCTTAAAATCTAAACTCAAGTGTACAAAACAGACTATAAAACATGTAAAAAACAAATGGATACAACACAACGGTCCTGTGAAAGATGTTTTTGCTCTGGTGCGAGGGAGGGTAGGTTTCCAGCTCAGATCATTCCTAAAGCACCAATCGTTATGATTCTTTTTCACTTTAATAATTAATAAACATTGTTGTTGTCTACGGTTTTCATGGACGTTCTATGTCAACTGATGATCTTTTATTCTTATTCTTATTATAATTATCTATTAGTTTGATCAGTCAGTTTCAGTCTTTTTGTGTTTTTATTAAAGCAAAAGCTAATCTTAATAAACAAACAAACAAACAATTTCAAGTAAGTAACAAAGGTATTGAATATAACATGTCCTAGCTGACTTAGTATGGAAGTCTGACTCACTGTAATCCCCACTGTAATATTTGAAGATCAAAGTGACAAATATTTGGTATGTGTTATTTACTCTGCATGTATATTTTACTAGTTTTGCTGAATAATTTCATCCTTACTCAAATGGATTTGCAATAAAATTTAGATCAACTTCCAACCCTTTATATGCATGTCTTTCTACTTTTACAGATATATTTAATAATGGATATTTGTTATATTTAGCTGAGCTTATACATGACAGCAATTGTCTAATAGCCAACCACAATTTAGTCTTAACAAGTTTACTGTTTTTAGTGTTTGTCGATTCCTAAAAAGTGTGTTTGTTTTGCAGCTTTCAACAACTATTTAAATTGCTGTACATTAGAAATAAAAGCGGGCACATAACGTAAAAAGAAAGCCATAGGCTTTTTAAAATAGTAAGCTAAAATGCAAAACAAAACAACATAAATAAACAAAGAGGTTTCGAGCCATGATTTTGAAAGATCTTGAGATTGGGAACAGACCTCCAGTTTTCTTGGAAGTGTTTTATAAACCAATTATTGAAACCCAGGAAGGCAAAACACAGAGTGCATAACGGGAGTGATGTGAGGCACTGTCTTCATCTGGGCGGGGACTGTTTAAGTCTTTGTGTGATACATGTTTAGTTTTAGTTGTCTTATATAGATATATAACAGGAGGTCTAACAGGAGGTCAGATTAGCACAACCACACCGCTAATTTGCATCATGCAATTAAACATGATGTGTCAATGCACAGTGAGCACTACTTCAACGCCTATACTTTGAGGGTGGGATTTGCATACCTTATGCTCAAGTATGGTTGTAATGTTTGTACTTCTAGTGGAGTATTTTTCACTACACAATGGCTCAAAGGTTATCAAGTTGTATTACATTGCTCTCTTATGTTTATTTGATGGTAAATGCAGGGGACATTGTCTTGTTTGGACCTGATCAATTGCTTTTCACTTAAATGTTTCTGTTAGTTAGAAAGAATGTTAGCTATTTGGCTAATAATAATAATTCCGTTAATCAAACTCCATAAAACCTCGGCCGTGGGGCTGCACATTCACATTCATTCAAGTCCAAAGAGAGGGATCGTTCTTAAAGAAAGAAGAGGTTGCCAGTGGCTCCTCTTCTGACTCCTTCTCTCTGCCCCTTACAGTTGGATAGTAGCGGACCAGGAGCTGCAGCAGGGATGAGGATCCAGCTGCAGGGTCCCGGCCACGCCGCCAGCCTTCTCGCTCAGCTCAACAGCTGCCGCCAGTCTCGACAATTCTGCGACGTGCTCCTGCAAGTCGGCAACCGCAGATTCGCGGCGCACCGAGCGGTGCTGGCCTGCGCCGGGACGTACTTCCGTAACCTGTTTGCCCGGGCTCCCTCCTCGCCCACGGCCGCCTTCTCTTTGGAGTTCATCTCCGCGGCCAACTTCGAGAAGCTGCTGACCTTCGTCTACACGGGGGAGATTTTGACTGACCTCATCGATGTCGGCGTGCTGTACGAGCTGGCAGAGAGGCTGGGCGTCGTTGAGCTGGTGCGGGCCTGTCACGCCACCTTCCCCGACCTGCAGGCCTCCGCGTCCGCGGACTGTAGACCGGGTAGTCCCGGAGACCTCCCCCCGAACTCCAGCGTGGTCGCCGCCGCCGTCGGCGCGGCTTCTGCGTCCTCCTCCTGCTCCTCTCTGTCTTCGCCGGCGGCCCCGACCCCCGCGGCCGCTCCCTCGCCTCTCTTCCAAACCAGGGCCGCCGGGTCCGGCCACGACGCCCGCCCCGGGGCTCTGTCTCTGGACCTGAAGGAGGAGGACGTGCAGTCCCGCGTCGGCTACGGGCAGGTGGCGGCAGGTCGGCGAACACCGGGACGACGCAGCCTCTCAACCGGCGGCCTTTCCGGCCGCTGTGATGGCGCGCTGCCTGCGGGGCCTGTTCTGCAGCTGAAGGTGGAGCCGGGCCTGGGGGTGGACGAAGGCGGCTGCGAGGTCAGAGACACAGGTGGGCAAAAGGTGTCCCGTTGCACAGGAAGCAGTCCGCCTCAGAGCTGCGGCGAGGCGCCGTCTGACCCCTGCTCCTTCCCGGACTCCTCTGCTCAGCTCGGAGCCGAGGCCTGCGCCCCGACGTCGTCGTCGCGAGAGACGTTAGGCGGCCTGCGGGTGGTGTCCGTGGAAGGCGGCATGGTGGAGGTGCAGAGGGACGGCACGCAGGTGTTTGAAAAGGTGGAGGAGGGAGGTGTTGTGGAGGAGGAGGAGGCGGAGGAGAGGGAGGCTCTGAAAGGAAACGGGGCCATGGAGGGAACGGAGGAGGACCAGTGGAGACAGCTGGCAGGGGAGATCATCGAGCTGAGCGACGACGAGGACTTCATGGAGGACGAGGAGGACGATGATGAGGACGGGCTTGTGTACGTGGAGAACGGAGGCGGCGGGGGCTCGAGCAGCCAGGTATAGTTTGAATCAGTCGGCACTGAAATTACTTCACGTGAATGCAACCGTGCGTGACTCAACAAATGCTCTCTCGCTCTCTCCCCCTCCCCCTCCCTCCTCCAGGTGACGGGGAACATGCTGCCGTGCAAAGCCTGCGAGGTGCTTCTCCCGGCGGACCCGGATGCCATCAGGAGACACGCGGAGACCCACCTGACGGAGCTGGGGCTCTGCAGAGTGTGCGGGGCCTCGTTGCCGGACCGGGACGCCGGCGTCGCCCACTCGCTCTCCCACGTCGGCGTGCAGCTCTTCGCCTGCGACATGTGTCACTCGCAGTTCTGCAGCCAAAACAAACTGCTGCGCCACCACCGCCAGGCGGCCTCCGGTTACACGATACCACAGGTGGCGCTGACCAGCAGCGGCCAGAGCCTCGGCCCCGAACTGCAGTGCGCCGTCTGCGCCAAGACCCTCAGCAAGGACTTCCAGGTCAGTGGACATTTTAGATGTGCTTCTTGATTGTTTCAGAGTGCTCCACCGTGCAAGATCAAGAAACATATAATAATAGAAATGAAAGAAAAAGGGTCAAAACAAACAGAAGTATAAAGGAGTTTTTATTATTATTATTGTTATTAATCAGGAGTTACGTTGTGTACTGCTGAGACAATTGATAGTAAATCATTAAATAGATCAAAAATTAATCCGTAGAATATTTTTATCATGAAAGCAACAAACATTCATTGGTTTCAGATCCTCATTTGTGATGCTGTTCTGTTTTTAAATGTACCCCCATTGCACCTTTGGAAGTTGTTACAGGCATTGACACAATTAATTGATCAATCAAAACTATGAATTCAATGAAAACAATGATCCAAATAGTAAGTTGCTGCCCTCACATGGCGTGTTCATTGGTGTTTAGGCACCTGTTGTTTGTGTCGTTGGTAGCAGAGGACTTTATTGTAACCTGGAGACAAAGTAAGAACGTGGGATCACAACCAGCACTGATCTCACATTTCTTCACAGGCGGTCAAGGACCACCTGCTGAGCCACGTGTGCCCTCAGAGCCTGAGCTGCGGCGTGTGCCACCTCCCCCAGCTGTCCTCGTGCTCCCTGCTGTGGCACGCCCTCTCCCACCTCTCTCTGCCCGTCTTCACCTGCCCGCACTGCGCCCGCTGCTTCGTGGAGCGCGCCATGCTGGACCGCCACATGGCCGCACACGCCGAGGAGGCGGCCGCCACGGAGCGGGAGCAGTTGGCACTGCGGGCTCACCGGGCCGGGGGGGGCGGGGCGGCGGGAGAGGAGGAGCTGCATTGCTTCCTGTGCCCGCAGACCTTCCCCTCCGCCTCCGCCTTCCAGTACCACCTCGGCCTGCACACCAGCGAGTCGCTGGGGGGCGCGGGAGGCGGCCGGGCCCACGGCTGGCTGGGCAAACGCAAAGCCGACCAGACTCCGGAGTGCCTTCCGTCTTCCTCCTCTCAACGGGAGGCGGGCAGCCTGGTGAAAATGAGCAGCATGGGGCTGGGGATGAGCTTCAGCGTGCCGGATAAGTTTTTTCAAGGGGCGTCACACGTCGTGCCCCCCGGGGCCCTGACCAACGGGAACTCGGGGCCAGACGGCGGGGTCGGGGCGGCCGGCGTCCGCGGGAAATGGTACCGGTGCCGCTACTGCGGTAAGTGCTTCGCCCACTCGGGGGAGTTCACCTACCACCTCCGCATCCACACCGGGGAGAAACCCTACCAGTGCAAAGTGTGCCTGCGCTTCTTCCGCGGCCGCTCCACCATGATCTGCCACCTGAAGACGCACGCCGGAGCCCTCATGTACCGCTGCACCGTCTGCGGCCTTTTCTTCTCCACGCTGAAAATGGTGTCGTCACACATGGAGCTCCACACGGACCGCCTGCCGCCGGACTTCAACATCGAGCAGACCTTCATGTACAATGATCACTCTAAAGAGTCGCTGCCCAATGCGGACGGCTGACATGGGCGCCCCCCCCCCCCAACCCCTCCGTCCCTGTTACCTCTCTGACACTTCCTGTGCGTCTGGTTGTCGTGGACCACACACTGCTTAGAATAGAGTTGGGCTGAAACTAGTGGTTGTTTTCATCACCCATTTACAAGAAAAAAATGTGTTTATTCATCGTTTAGTGTGTAAAATGTCAAATCTTTGTTGCTCCAAATGACCGAATTTTTTTTTTTTTGCGTCTTCCAAAACCCAAAGAAATTCAGTTGGTAACGAGATAAAGAAAAGATTTGTTTGTTTGATAAACAGATTACTTATCGCTCATCCACAGGCGTGGACCTGTAGGACGTAGTGGACATTTTACGCAGTCAGATGCGGTTCACCGAGTCGACCTCTTTGAACTCCGATGAGAAGAAGCCACTTGGTGGCAGTGTATCCTGCGTCGGGGAGAGAAGGGAAGCTGGTTGACCGTAACGCAGAACTCATTTTTATGTCAGTGGTTGATCATTATTAAAGTAACACCGCCATCATAGCATAGAAATTATTTTCCTAGATTTGCAGCCACTATTTTCACACTTTTTTAGGTCCGGAAGATTTTCACTCCAGAGATAAATGACCAGTCACATCAAATATTGAATTGAATTGGTCATCTAAACATACAATGGTTTTATTTGTTATTGAAGAGATGTTTTTATGGATGCTTTGATTCTAACACACAGTCACATGTAGCTTTAATTTGTTAAGATCAGTTGTGTTCGCGGAAATTATTTGTGCCCATCACAAGTTTGTGTCTTACCTCATATTTATGATGGCAGTATTTATTATTTGAGTGCGTTTATATGTTAACGGTTTCTCAAGCTGTATGAATGAATTGTTCATGAAAATAATTAAATAAATGCCTCTCGGAAGACTGTTATCAACCGGAAACTGTTTTTTTTTGTTTTTTTACTAACCTTTAAATAAAATTAATGAATGGAACCTTCATTGCACAGAGAGCAAACTATTACATGACAGTAATGTGGGGCAATATGGAAACAATTACCTCAATATCAACTTTTTGATTTTTATTAAGTGCTTTTATAAAATATTTTAACAGATTTTTGATGAATACTCATAAAACAATGTCAGCATAACTCAGTCCACATTAAAGCTTCCAATCAACAACAGTGGCCCGGTTCTTGTACTATTTTACACAAACGTAAATGGTTACGTTTTTAGAGGAGACAAATGAGTCCCCTGAAAAAAAACATTTCTTCATGTTTAAAATCAATGAAACGTCTGATTACCAGTTGTAGAAGCGGTTAATCTCAACTCTTCACTGGTCGACGGTGTCCTCAACCACAAAGTCCGTCCATCATCACTATTTCAGAAATCTGCGTAGCATTGTGAACCTCCCTCTTCCAGGGCCTCGTGACCTCTGCCCTCTTCAAAGCCTGATGTCTTCCTGCCATTGTACCATCTGAGGACTGACACCCCCACTTCCTTTTTCTGCCTTGTTATCATTTTAACAGTTGACTATGATGCCTTCCAATGACACAAAGGGAAGTAAATGGAATAGTCTGTGTCAGCTGTAGTGTATCAGTAGAATAAACAAGCTTGTGTATTGCTCTACTCTTATTAAAGAGAACAACTCTGCTGCATCTGAAACATACAACCACATATACAATATGCATATCGTCTTTGGTGGAGTTTGAAACCTTACCAGATGTTAAAAGGTTATCATTTCTGTGGGCGATGAGCGCTTAGAAGAAAAAACAAAACAGAACAAACATTTCCCATGTTGTGATCAGATATATTTCAATAAAAGGAAGTGGATTATGAGTGGAAAGGCTCTACGAGCCCATCATAGAGAGAGATGATACATTGTGAAATTTACACATCTGGTATTCTGAAGCACAAAGACTCAGTTCTCACGACTCACTTGGCTGCTTTTTTAAATTGTTACATTCCGATGTCAGACTGGCTGGTGCTGGCGTTACTCAACTTGCGCTGCTGCTGCTGCTCCCCCGCGTCTGTCCCGCGCCCCGTGGGAGCGCTGGCCTGGACCCATGCTCCCACCTGGGCCACAGCTCCCGCTCTGGGTATGTAGTCCACCGCCGTGTTGATCAGGTTCCTGCGGAAGCTCTTGCTGAGGAAGTTGTAGAGGACGGGGTTGGCGACGCAGTGGAACATCGACAGGCTCTGCACCACGTTGTGGGAGAAGTAGAGGACTTCCAGCGTGTTGCAGCTGAGGATGTACGGGTCGATGTCGTCTATGACCAACAGGATGGTGACCAGGTGGTAGGGCAGCCAGCACACCACAAACACCAGGGAGTACACGTGCACCAGCCACACGTCCCTCCGGCCCTGCACATCCGGCGCCGTCTGGGCCGCGCGAGCCATCAGCACGTTGCAGGTGATGATCACGGCGGCGGGGCCCAGGAACTGGAAGATCAGGCAGAGGAAAGCCACGGCCACGTACCATTCAACGTGGTTGGTCTCGGGTATCATGTAGCATCCCGGCTCCTCCCAGTCCAGAAGATCCACGTGGACGTTCTCCATCAGAGCGAGGAGCAAGGAGAGCGCCCACAGGCCTCCGGAGAGGACCCATCGGCGCCGACCCACCACCGGAAAGAAGGCTGGAAACGAAGGTCTGGTCAGGGACAGATAGCGCTCCAGGGTCATGAAGGCCAGGAAGAAGGAGCTGCTGTAGAAGTTGACCACATAGAACAGGTTGGTGACCTTGCACAGGAAGCGTCCCCACAGCCAAACCTTGTCCAAGGTCACCTCCATCATGAAGAAAGGCAGGAGAACGATCATCATCAGGTCGGACAGGCTGACGTTGATGATGCAGAAGAGAACCCCATTGGCCGAGTGGCGTCGGCGCCAGTTGACCCAGACGACCAAGCCGTTCTCCAGCAGGCCCACGGTGAAGATGAAAAGGTAGATCAGGAAGAGGGCGATGCGCCGGTAGGCCCCAGCGGTCTCCAGCTGAAGGGTGCACCCGGAGATGTACCACAGCGTGCCATTTAAGAGGTCCAGAGAGTGGTTTTGATCGTGGCCGCTCATGGTCTGGAGGGAGAAGCAGAGGGAAGCGGTTTCGTATCTGGAGTTGAGATTTATGGTTTAAGACTTTACATAACAGGAGGAAGGTGGTGGGGGACCAAAGGATTTTGTGCAGGAAAATGTAGGCATAAAAGGTCCACAGAGGTGGGGCAGGACCATGGACCGAGGAGTGATGAGTAATACCTTAAAAGTCAAGTAAAATGGGGGGCTATACGTGGGGGTTAAAAGGTTGACATTTTATATATTTTCTTTAAATCAATTTTAGTTAATTATTTAGACAAGTAGAGTGAATTATAAAAGTCAATTCTGACGAAAACAAACCCATTAACAATAAATGCAATTTTTGAAACCATTTGAAGTTGATATAAAGAGGACTTTAGCAGGGCCAGCAGGGCCAGCAGGGCCTTCGTCGCTATAATATTCATTTAGTGTTCATAATGCCTTGTTTACAAACGAGATTCCAGTTTCATAGGGACGAGTCTACTAACAAAGGCAATGTGGTTTGATGCTTGACTGACTGTCTCAAAAGATCCTGTTTAATTCTCGACCCCATCTTTGGATCTGCAAAACTACTCGTCCCTCCCTCACTGAGAGCAAAACACTCGACTAGGTCTCGACTCTTCGCTGTCCTTGCGCCGAAATGGTGGAACGCGCTCTCTGAAGACATCAGGACCGCAGAGAGCCTTCACATCTTCCGCCGCAAACTAAAGACACACCTCTTCAGACTCTACCTCGACTAAAGACTAACAAATTGTAGCACTTAAATTGTACTTGTGACGTCACTCATCTATAGCAAATTGTAAATTCGCTTATTTGAGGAAATTGCACTTTCTTGTTTCTTGTTCTCCTGAGTTTGTACCCTATGGTTGAATGCACTTATTGTACGTCGCTTTGGATAAAAGCGTCAGCTAAATGACATGTAATGTAATGTAATGTAATGTAATGACTGACCTCGTCTTGACAATTGCAAAAACACCCCTCTTTAATTTGTAAAGACTGATCCTTTGACTTATTGTTAATCATATAGAATCATCTTAATCCAGAGCCACAAAAGGCGTATAAACCTTTCACCTATCAGTGGTTCTTCTTTGATAGAGTAACGTACGGTGAGAATTACAGATTGGACGTTAGCGTACCTTGGTGTGATGATGAGTGAGATGGTGATAAAGATGCCAGGTACCTCCCGAAGCCGCGCTGTCTTCTGGAGACTTTTCTGTTTAAAACCTGCAGACACGAGACGACTCGTTCCAGCACTGATGTCCAGGCCATCTCTTGTTGAGGGTTTCTTCCCCTCCCATGTCATTCACATGCACGCACACGCATAACAGGACATCCTGTCAGCAGTTGGGATTGGTGTTGAAGTCCACACAGGGAAGCGTCAATTCAAAAATGTATATTCTCTTCATAAAATTCTACTCAGTAATAACCAGAGAACCTTGTACAGACAAAATAAGACTTAGCTCATCTCCACAATTTTAATATGTACTTCCAATCGACTAATACAATATTATTTTTCTCCTAATAAATCCCCATAACACTTTTTTCTCTTGTGGCTTTTTTTGAGGAACCCGACATTGGACTGAACTACTCGTAAGGCGACCAGTTCCCAGAGGGCTTAATGCAAACAACACAAATATGAACTGATGGGGAGTTTCCTCTGCTTCACCCCATGTGGATATACTGTATGTCTATGTCTAGGAATTATAAAGGCATAGAACAATTCCAGGAAGCGGAGGATGCACGGTGTGACGGGTAGAGGTGGGGGGGGGGACAGGAGCAGCTACCCGCAGCGTGAGTCCTAAGAGAGAAAAACAGGAACGTTTGTGTTGGCTGAGATTCACACTGACTGATGGAGATTTATCCCCAGGACTCTGTTCCTACTGCCACACTGGATCGTCAGCAGTTTGTAGCTCGCTGACCTCTCCAACGACCTCCGTCTGTCTAACTGCTCATCCTGCCTGAATCCTATCGTCAAAATCAGGAAAAGATAAAATAAAATTCTGGTGAAAAAAAAGTAGGAGCCAGTCAGCACATTCGGTCTCCTCTGCTAAAACAGGAAGGAAACAGTCAGCAAAACTGATGGAAAGTGCAATAAAACCCATCGCAGACCACCAAACTGTTGTACAGTTTTTCTAATACTTTGACCTGCAGGACACTACTGAGCCGGCAGTAAACTACAGATGAGGGTTTAGTTAAACATCAGCATGCAAACGTGGGCGAGCTTGTGTACCGAGTGTTATGGCGTAGATTTATATCTATCTAGTTCTTGAGAACGTTTATATGAACCCACAGAACCCGTTAGAGTAGAAGTCACTGGCAGGAGCTGTTATAAGCTGGAATAACTTGATAAAAAAATAAAAAAATGCAGTAAAACACATCCGACGTGGAGCCGCAACATGTTGAAATAAGACACACTTTTCAGAAATTCTTTGTAAAATATATTTTGGTCCAAAAGCTGCAAAAATACAACATGTGCAATCACCGAGTAGATGGGGCATCGTACACAGTGACCCCCGTGTCTGTGTGGAGGCTCACTGCAGAAGCTACAGGAATGTTGGGTCATGGTGAACAAAGCTTTACACAGGCCGTAGTTTCTAGTACTATATTTGTCTACATCTGATCACCATGAGTCACATGGCACATTTGCTATTCGAATGCACAGAACACACAGTAAGGATGCATGGGCTCTTTTTCCACGGGGTTATTGCAGTATAAACATACACACAAAAAGGGATTTCATTAAAAACGGCCGGCCTAGTTCTACACTTTAGATGAGCCACTCCATTAACGCGGGTCCAGCTCTGGGGGTCAGCGCCACCCCCCCCCCGAACAGTCTCTTTACTGGCTGCGGTAGCCAACAAACATGTTTACATTAAACTACTAAAATCTGATTCAAACTGATCACAGAGATGTTTTAATCGTATGCAAAAAGCAAATCCTGCAACACAAAGCTTGGCGCTCACACATTTGGCTCTCAACATTCAAACGGATATTAACATTTCTCAAGTTGAATCTGGGCTACCATTAGTGTTCCAATACCTATTTAAGATTATTCTAGGATGTAAGGAATAGTTTTGGGAGCAGTTTGCTTTCTTACTGAGATGGGGTGGGGGGGCTTGAGCTTGATATCGATGTTGCAAGAATATTGTACAGTTGACAAATTAGATTTCTAAAAATGAATCAATTGATATGAATGAAAGGGTTTGAAGGCATGATGAGAGGATATATAGAACAGCCTGGTATATTCAGAAAACGACATCTCTTTGCTGTAATGCTGCCGTTACATTTATATCATATTTCGAGATCTAAAATATATCTAGTCTCATAGCGTGATACTATTAAATTAACTGAAAAACATAGTTTATATCCTCAAGGTCTAACACAAATGTTAAACGTTTTCCTCATAAAATATTTTTCAACGCTGAGATTTTAAGTCCAGCACCGTTTACGTCCACGCTCAGTGGGCAGCAGTCGTCTTCTGCTCCTTCAATGTCCTCGCTGGCTCACTGCTGCACATCTTGGTGTCTTACAGACCAGCGGAGCAGCGAGTTGCGTCCCCGTTGGCCGGACTGCTCGTTGTGTGCAAGCGTCCACGTGCACGAGGAACAAAAAAAACGCCTAACAGAAACTCCACAGGGAGCCTTTAACAGACCCCAAAGAGCAATGTCATTCCCCCTGGTTGACTTTTGTCAAGAAAGTAAATATGTTAGTTGAGTTAAAGCCTGTGAAGTGAGAAGAGGGCGACTAAAAAAAAAAAAAACCCTAGTATTTGATCTTGCACTGACGCGGTCTAACACTGATCGACAGCACTTTGCTTCCAGGGACCCAAACCCTCCAGAGTTAATCCATCAAACGACTGCTTGATATCTACAAGAAATACATCTTAGAAATAAATAACTGCATAAGAAGTAGTACATCATGTTGCTACAATGGAAGTAGTCTCATCTCAGATCACCACGTTTAATAATGGCGTGTGTTCGTACTAATTTTGGTCAACAGGAAGAAGCGCTCTCAGTTGGAGCGGCGTGCCGCCCGCCGCTACGCAAAGATGTTAAAGATGAAGTCGCGGAATCGTTTGGCGTACTGTTCGGGGTGGACCGTGGAGATTTCAGCGCCGGCCTGCAGCAAAGAGGTGGAAACAAAAATAAATAAAATGAAGAAAAAAAAAATGCACCAAGACCGGTTAACATCACCTGAATACACTGTAGCCTACAAGTGAAGACATGAGGGAAGCGGAGAGGTTTAGAGAAGGGACCACTGGGTGTGTTCAACAAGCAGCCCCTCCCCCGCCTCCCTCCCTCCCTCGTGCTACTCACCCCGTGTTTGACAGTTTTCGCTGCGTGCGCGGCTTTCTTCTTGGTGTCGTACTGAGTGAGGACGTCAATCAGGCCCATGAAGTAGACCTCCCTCTGAGGGGCTCCTGAGATTTAAAAAAAGAAAAAAAAAGCCGGTTTATTTTACGGAGAGTATTATATAATGACGCGTGTCAATCAGCACCACGATTAAAGCTCTATGAAAATCAACATCACAGCCGTTATCATTTCTCAGATCTAAAGCAACCGCTCACCCGGGCAGCTGCCGAGGGCGTACACGTCCACGTAGGGGTCGAACTCGCCGGGCCCCAGAGGCTTGCAGCAGGACATGTAGCCGGCGATTCCCTCCGGAGAGGTGCCGTACGAGCCCGCCTGGGCCAAGCCGTTCTCCGCCTCCGCCTCGTCCTCGTTGGAAACCTCCTCGCCCTCCTCCTCGTCGCGCTCGGCCCGACCCACGTCGTGGATGCCGAGCAGCAGGCTGTAGTCCATGATCTTCAGCCTCACCAGGAACTTGGAGGGGGAGACAATGGGAGAGGGGACGTTTATCAAAGAGGCGTTTACGTCGAGGCGTACAGAAAGCAATGTGGAGTTGAAGCCGTTCAGAATTTACAGTTTTAATGTGCCAGAAAGGTGCCAAATGTATGTATTTTTTCAGCTTAGAACTATAGGTCAAAATTGTGAGGGCATCTTTCTGTATCAAATTACTGATTTATTGATCAACTCCAGAGATGCGGCTCTCGCTGTTAATTCATAGTGAATTATGCACATTAGAGAATATAAAAACGAGTTTCACTAACAAATTGATTAAAAATGAATCAAAATAGCTGCAGTCTTTTATCATGTAAGTATTCTACTAATCAATCATTTTTATAGCCAAATTAACCTCTAAATGAATCCTGCGGCCAAAATGGCGCCACAGGAGCAGGGATGTCCACAACGGGCCGATGACACCACTTTGTGGGAGAATGTTGGAACTACAGTGAAGAGTCACATTTAATGGGTCACCTACCTCCACATCTTTGTTGAGTTTCTCCATCACCTTCTCCTTCTGCTCATCCGTCACGTACACCTTCTGCATATTGTTCCTGAAGTCCATGTCCTTATAGGTAGGCAGTTCTTTTACCCTTTCTTTGTCACTTGCTTCACGAGCCACCAGAGAGCCCTGCAAGAACAAATGGGGAAGAATAAAGAGGAGAAATACTTTGAGGGATGAAAAGAAGAACACAGAGTAATATAAAGGAAACCCTTTAATGCGGCAGCATTTATTTATGTGCATGTGGATGCTGCAAATGTAAAAAAAAAAAATTAAAAAAAATTATATATATATATATATATATATATGGTGCAGAACTTGCTCACTGCTTCATGAGCCAGTGAGGAGGAAGTGGGATGTGCGATGTGAAGTTCCTCCTCACCTTCAGGTCGTACTTCCTGTGAACAACCAGCCTGTGGCTGAACATGTTCCTCATGACGATCAGGTAGGTCTCCTCGCTGTCCACGCTCACACGGTACATACCCAGGAACTGAGGCAGCAGGGTGCTGCCATGACACTTCACTATGTGCTGCGGAGAGGAAACGGCTGTCAATTTGCATGGCAGGTACGGAGAGAGGAACACGGCCGTCAGGGAGGACTCGATGTTTGACGCACGAGTTCGACAGCACAGTAGGAGTCTGCGTCACAGAGGGAGGCAAATGCATGCAACGGTCTTGACCTTTTAAAAAACCCCACAAAAAACGTCTCAACTCCAAAGCACTTTAACCAAATCAGCACCAGCGAGAGACAGAAATCAGGGATCACCTTTCTTTTTTTTCACGGCTTCAGCCACTTCAATCTGTTTTTCCTACTGAAATGAGGTGTTCTTCACCATTATTTCCCCGACCAGCTGCTCTTCGCCCACTTCCTAATTAACGGAACGAGGGCCGAGCGTAGCTCAGCGGCCGTCCTCCATCAGATGATCAGTGCATAAGTGTCTGAAGGCGGTCCCATGCTGGGCGGCCCCCTGCCACGGGTGTGCGAGTGTCCGGTCGAAGCGCTTCGGGCGGTGATCAGAATAGAAAGTCCACTTCCCCGAATCCTGATGAACACGCTCAAGGCAATTTAGGAAAAAGAAATGTGAAATAGGTGGCACCCATCTGCTCAGGGTTTTTTATCTTAAAAATATTGGAAAATCTATTTTGATTGCCCTTATGTAAAGAAAAAAAATGGATACGGCAACTTGTGATTTTTTTTTTTTTAACTTTTTTTTTTTTTTTTAAATGGTTAACATTTTGCCAAATTATTGATACCATGGTGGCCATTTAAGACAATATTCAGGATAATGAACTTCATGGATCAACGGGCTTCAGGAGGATGTGCATTAATAGCCGTAGAAAAGGGGAAGCGTAGAAAGTTAGTTAGTGTTTAACATCTTTAGTTACATAAATTACACTGAAATAACAGAGCAAGGCCATGAGTTATATATCTGTAGACTGTTTTAATAGCCCCATATCATTAATTATAAATATTTGGCAAATAGATTATGATTCCAATCGATAATATCTGTATCTGAGCATAACTATCATGGCCTTCTGAGGCAGTAATGTAATAAAGAAGCGCAAACACTACAGACGATGCATTGGTCCCGACACCTGCCAGAAACCACAAAACCTGATCCTCAACATTCTGCAACTGCGCCCCATAAAGCACAGATCTACAACTACAACGCTCCAGGGAAGGCAAAAATGTTTAACCATGCAGTTAAACAGGTCTAAATACTAGATGGTGTTTCCCAGAGTATGAAATCGTTGTTCAGCGAACCCAAACATGTAACCCTGAAACATCCCGCCGACAACAAAACCAACGCGCAGCCCGTTGAATGAGGGAGACTGTGCAGCGCCAACGCAGGAGCTGTGACAACAAAGCAGTCATTCAAGGACAAGTGAATAAAAACTGAGAGAGCCGCCATGTTTCCCTCCCAGATCTGTGTGGGCAGAGTTTTGAAGCATCCGCACAAGCACGGACGTCGGCGGCAGGCCGGGTAGCAAACGTAAAAAAGAAACCTCAAACAAACGAATTAGAGAAGTTACTAAGTCACATCGTGGTTATCTCCTCAGCGAATGTACTGTTGATACGCAAACACACAGACGTGTTGACCAGGACTTTTGCATATGTTCAATAAAGCAACGCTCGGATAACGGAGCCTTTGTTCCCCTTCGCACTGCTGTAACCTTTACAAGGTTTTTTCTTTTGTATTGTTAGTCAGTTTCCCCACCGAGGTCGGTTTGAACGAGGCACCTTAAAGTCAAATGCAGAGTCTCACTCAAGGACACACTACAGCATGTAGTTTGACATTTTCAGAATAGATATAATATACATTGTAGTACTGACTTCCCACACCCACGAGGCAGTCAAATTAAAACAGGCCCCTCACGATTTGATTCCAATCTGATGCGGCATTCTGTAAAACACCAAGTAGAATGATAAAGCGTGCGGTTACTGTGACACAAGACTGCGGCAATGGAAGCCCACGCCATTCTATGCGTTACCATGTCAACCACGGAAGGTTAAACCACATCACTGTTTACATGACCTTCCACTAACAGAGCAGCAAAGTCCTGCCTAGTGCATTTCTTGATATCCGCAGACAGTTGGCTAGTTAGCATTAGCTGCCCAGCAGGAAGAAAACAGAAAGCGGAATCTGCAGACTTCAGCTGACTCCCCTACAGGCATCATCTCCCGTGACCAGATACCACCTCATCAACAAATAGAAACAGAGCCCAAATCAGTGTTTGAGAAACCTGCAGGTTTGCCCCTCTGGTGGACGAAGCGGTTCAAGTCATATAAGAGACCGCCAGCGAGCAAACAGAAACCACGACTTCCACCTCAACGATGGCACGTTTAAAATGGGTTCAATTAGCTCAAGGTTTTGCACAAGATGATACGTTTGTTTGGACATGTTTTTAACATTTACAGTACAGGCCCACAGACATGGCAGGGAAGCCCTAAAGGATTAAGAATCGCACCAATACGGGTTTGGGCTTCAGAGACCTCACCTGGTGATATTCGGACAGGATGCCGTGCATGTCTGCGACGTCCTCGCTGGAGATTTGCTTGATGACCAGCGTTCGGTCGTAGGAGTTGAGGAGGAGACCTTCTACCTGGTCCTCCACACTCCTCATCGGGGGGCTGCGGGTCAACGAAACCTGGAGAGCATGAAGCACACAGCTGACGTTTTCTGCACAGATTTTATCCGAATTAGGTTACAAAATGATAAGAATTTAATACAGACACAATTAACATTACATACATTCCAATAAATATGTGGTATAGATTTCAGTTCATCACATACCTGAAAGTCGAGGTCCTCGATACCAAACCGTTCCCGTAGATTTCGGAAGACCTGAGGACAGTATTCTTTGAACTTGAAATGTCCTGGAAGATTTTCTCTGCAAAGAGGAAACAAACTGATCCTTCACCTGCCAGTTTAACACGGACCTCAGTAAATTGGTTCTGGGTCTGATTCAAGTTATCAAGATACATCCAACCAAACCGTCAGTCGGACAGCTTATGACTTACTTGTTAAATAGATGGTTGTTGACTTTGATCTTCGTGTTGGCTTTAAAGTCGTCCGGCAGCAGCATGACAGGAACAGGCACCTGGTTGAGATCATTGATCTAAAAGAAAGGAAATGGAAGAAAGGTATGAACACACGTTAGTAGATTAATCATTGTGTCGGCAAAAAGAAAATTAAACATTTTGCTAATGGATTTATTGTTAATGTATTCATTTCAATAGTAAACATTTTAAAATCTTGTTTCATTAATGTCTCAGATGTTTGTCTCAGTTGTATATATTACCATAAACTGAGTTATTTGGTATTTTGGAGGTGCAGACGGGACAAAAGAAGTCACAATAGGACAGTAGGACAATTACTTTTTCAGTGAGCCAAACTGATTGTTCTCCCAAACGTCAACAAACCATGAACTTCCTTTTGTCCAACGTGTCATGTGCTGCTTAATGACGTTGGTCCTATTTGCTCCAACAAACAGTTCGAAAACTATGTGGTTGGACTAGAGAAAAGTTCTAGAAATTGATGCAGATTAATCTACATGAATATTGATCCATTAATGTGAGAGTTATTGTTGCAGCCGGTAAAGGGGAAGCAGATTTCAACTAACGTTACTTTATATACCAATTCTTAAAATAATTCACTAGTTCATTCATTCATGTTTGTATTTTTAATCGGGAAGTAACTGGAAGGTCAGTAAAAAGTGTAAAACAAATTGCAATAAAGGCAAAGTATTTGAGAAAACGTAGCTATTAAAGTAGCGACACATTCTTCCACAGCACTGCATTCACTCCACCATGAGAACCACATAATGTAAAAATATTAGCAATCCGGAATTTCTTTTAGCATAGTGCCTTACTCCGTTTCAACAGCTATTACCAAAGTCCATAATATGTTAACAGCATTTCACAGCCGTGAACGACAATAGTGGAACAGGTGTACAAGTGTGACAAAGTCAGATTCTGACCGGTTACAGTTCTTAGTGGAACACCTGGCTCACTTGCTAACGCTATCTGCTAACTAAGCTAGCTACATTTACGCGACACAGATTAGCATTCATTAGCTTCCGACCGACTCACCGAGTGATTGACGCCCCACATGAAGACGCTCAGGACGGGATCGCTGGCTCGAAACACCTTCACCTTCTGCTGCACGAAGTGCTTCTTTTTTGTTTTAGTCTTCGGAGCCAGCACCACCATCGGACTGGAAGCGGCCCCGGAGTTACCGAGAGCAGCCATGGAACTCTTCGTCTCCTGGTAGAGCGGTGACACTTCTTCCTGACGGCTAGCCTTGCTAAGCTAAACAAGGTAACGCTTCTCTCCCACGCGCCGCGGGAGTGCACCTGTGGAGATCCGGTTCTGTTGCACTGACGCAGTTTTTTAAACGTACAATCTAGCGTTCAAACCGACGTGTTGACTCATCACTCAACTTAATGAATGCGTGACTAGTTACATACTTCTGAATCACCGGTGACAGCGCACCACCGCCCTCTCGAGCCCACCCATGTTATTGTCCACCACGTTGTGGGTTTATGATTGACAGGTGGCAGAGCCCATCAACATCGATGCCGGTGACGTCGGGTGACTCCGATGGGCGGGTAGAGATGATGCGTCAAGGGTAAAAGTTATCGCTGTGACCTCGGAATTCAGATTGTTGAGAAGTACTGTTACAAAAGGAAAACAACAACCTGCCGTATTCATTTAAAACAAATATGTATACTCATGGAAAGTTTCAGAACAATATCATATTGATACATTTATTTGTATTATGGTGCTGCTGACATATATATATTTAAATAATATTGAATTTTATATATATATATATATATATATATATATATATATATATATATATATATATATATATATATATATATTACATATTTAAATAAATAACCCATTATTTATTCATAGTTTATTTGCATCTGCATGTGTTGGAGCAGCCAATCAGCCAGAATAATTGAAAACACCTTCATTGCTCCGTAGAACCGTGCCGCAAAATTGTTTACAAAATCTTAATCCTTATCCTATCATCTTGGGTACACTACATTCTTTTTTAGTATTTTTTACTTATTATTCCAAATTGTGGATAGCATAAAGACATGGGTCATTATAAAGCAAATGTGAAGAAATGGTTCAGTAATTGTGCCAAGCTTTCAACACTGCAAACATTCGAATATTGATTAGTTGTTATCAGAGTACTTTGAAATTGTACTTGTTTGGGTTTCAGTCAATATTTCTGTCTGAGATGTTACATTAAGAGCCATTCGAAATACAGAGTGTGCAGAGAAAGCGGACTGTGTGTTTTATAGAATATACCTCTTACAGAACTTTATTGATTAAAACAGGCCAAGATGATAATAAAAGCGAGGTATATGTTGTGCGTAGGTTTGTACAATTATATCTAATTGAATTTAAGATTGTATACATGAGTTTAGTATGTGTCACAGCTGCATAATGCAAATCAGAAAAAAAGGAATTACTCAAATTACTCGTTGAATAATCCTCCATGCCACCAATCGTGTAATCGAGTGACCATGCATACTTCTCATGTGTTAAGCAGAAGCCTGACTCCATATCTGTCACCATCACTGTGTAAAAGCTGGGTATTTAACTGTAGGGTTTCTATGTTTATAGCAAAGAACACTTCCATTTCAACATCTGCACTGTATATTCTATCAAAGGTGAACATTTGGGAATGCTTCATATTTCATTAATGCATTTAAAGCAAACTATACATGGACATACAGCCCCAAGGCAACAACAACACGTTTTATGGGTTATTTCCATAAAAATGCCAAAATGGGGTCAGAGTTGGAAATGGCGCATCTGGTCAGTTACTGACTGTATTGGTGTTTCCTGATGAATGCAAAATATTGTATAGATATTTACATTCTTCATTTTATAGGATACGAGGCTACATTATGAATAGGCCAAAGATAGATTTCTTCATAAAGATACGGTGTGGTGGTCTCAACACATGCTTTTGAATGATAGCCATTTGGGTGCAGTCATCCAACCTTTTCCATTTTATTTTATTTTATTCAATGCATTCTCTCTGCAAGGATCAATAAATCCTCGCTATAATGGCTCTTTAAGCCATTCTGTTCAAAAACACATTTTATGGACAGCTGTGAAATGGTCAGGATCAATCATTCTGCTCTGCAATCAAAAATGTCATAAAGAATTGCCCACAAGAATCAATCAACCATATGTTTGAATATTTCTGTTCTGTAAATGCACACTTTATATGTCCCTTAAGGGGGAGGGGGAGGATTCTCTACTACACTCTCATGTGTGAACCAGATTTCAGCAGTTGTATTTATTACTATTTTTATTTCATGTTAAAACATTTTAGTCTGGAGCAAAGTGGTGGACCGAAAGACCAACATCCTTAGATTCGCTAGCGTGGCTGAAGATCAAATAACTCCTCCCCCATTTCCGACAAAATACTTTGCAACCTTATTTTATTTTTACGATTGTCTCATCTTTTAAAAAGCACATCCTTTGATCTCCTGAAGCATATATATAATTATGTATGTGTGTGTGTGTGTGTGTGTGTGTGTGTGTGTGTGTGTGTGTGTCTGATGAAAGGACTACAAGCTGGTTATGCTTCTCTCAAGAGGAATATAATTCTTTCGGACAGCTTCATTTCACCGGCTTTGTCCACCTCATTTCAGCTCGGTGTCCCTGCGTTTTTTAAATTTATTTCTGCTGTCATTGTTAATCCCCTCCCCCTTCGTGCTCGCCTGAGAACACATGTATCGTTCTCCTCCTAACACCCAGCAGACAAGTTTGATTTATAATCAATATAATGCATCCTAGTCCCGATCAGTTTGATCACTCATCAAGCCACTGCACCTTTGCATGGTCCGAGCATTCAATAAGAACAAAAAACATGTTGCTTTTAAAGTGAAGGAAAGTCGCACTATTTCCTTCTGGTTATTTTAAATTCTTTTTGTTATCATTTTCTCCTGGGCCTAAATTATTCATTTATTACATCAGGGTTCTAGATTCTGGCATTGGAATGGATTTTTCCCAACAGACGGAAGTTTGTATCCCAAACCCTACGGGTATATTTGATTAAAGGCATCCGGTTCTGACATTAAAGCAGCGGTTGACGGCCTCCGCATGCAGGGTGAGAATTGAGCCACCAGATGCCACCAGGAATTAAACACCTTCTTCCTGCTCAATGAGTCAGAATATTAACACAGAGACGCTTATTCATTGGGACCCCGAGAGACTTGAGTTCATATCCTTATTTTTTGGAGAAAATCTTCAAGAAAGTATAGATATTTGTGGTGATTTTCTTGCGTGTAACAAACAAATAGTTATCAAGCGTACATGCAATGGAATAAAATAAAATAAGACCAGAGAGAGAGTCTCAGTCTTTATAGTATTTTTTCAATAGACATTTTTTCTCAGCTGAAGACAAAGCAACCACACATATTACAAATAACATCAACGATGGCTTTGTTCTATCTATGTGCAGTCGTTTTAATTATCATCTTATTTTGTTGTGTTATCTACAGTATAGATTTCTCAGTTTGACGAAATATACAGTTTTCACAGCTGTCATATCTTAACTTAACATCAAGTTAGCTGTTTAACAACACATTGTTTTTATTGTAAACTGAAACCCTTGACTATTTGTGTTAATATTAAACAAAAACTCTCGCGGATGCTGTGTATGAATTATTCATTCACATAGAAGAACAGCTCTTTTTGTTCCCTGCATACGAAAAATCTGTCACTCATCATATTATTTATTCTGGATCTTTAAATAAAGCTCCGTGTAATAAAGTTGCTTCATTTGTAAATCCACATATACTTAATTTCTCCAACCCAAATATCTAAATTTCATTTTTTGTTTGTTCAGATTGCGTTATTGGACCGGTTGGACCAGAAGTTTTCAAAAATCAAAACAAAAACCTCCTCAAGATGTAGCTTTTTAATTTAACAAGTAATCAACCCACAGATTGCCCACCACCCGTGGACTGAAGCATTATATATATTAAACTATATATTAATTTAACGGTGCCGGTAGGACGGTTGGTTACCTTTACACAGCAGGTTACCCAGTCATCTAGCTGAGCTGTAAGCTAACCAGCTGCTTAGCTTACAAATGTAAACACGCATACTGTTTTTATTGTCAATATTTTGAAATCCGTGCTTTGGGGGAAAATAAGCATGAAAGTTCAACGGTTATCACTTGGAAGTGTTTGTGAATTGTCGAAGCACTTTGTCATATAACGGGTGACACCATTAGATGTCATGCTGCTGATATTTACTGCAGAATAAATCTGCTGCTTGTTCAGATCTCCCATTAGCATGCAGAGCAGGCTGTCCAGCAACACGGCTACATGACGATGCCATGATGTGCCAGAGCAGCTTCTCTGCTCCTTTCTCCAAAGAACGTGGCTTTACATCATCAGACCCTTTACTGCCCGTTTACTGTTTCAGTTGAGGCGATGGGTATTTCTTTTATATCTGACACACAATCAAACAAGAAACAACACACAAAAACTCACATCTGTTGTCACATCTCGAACCAAAAAAAGAAATAAATTACTGCTGGAGTCACTAGCAATATTCTCAGTGTGCTTCTGCCTTCACTGACTCTCCTCAACCAGACCAGACCGGCATCTCTTTCATCAAAAAACTCCTCGTGTGTATTTAATCAGCCCCATTCAGACGGCACAACATCCAGAGGGAGATCATTTTTTATAAAACACTCCGGACGTGACACAGTACGGGGCCGACGCATTAGAAAACACCAACAGGGTTCATCACTGACAGTAATCTCACTCTGATGCCGTGAAGCTGCATTTAGATCAATCAAAGCCATCACATTTTCTTTCACGTATGATTTGCCATTAGTTGTTATTCATGTTATTTACATGCTAAGGTGTATAGATGATACTTTTTACAGCTTGAAGCTGCAGCAGGAAACCTGGGAAAACAAGCGAACAAAAGGCGTGATGTGTTCAAACAAACAGTAGGATACGAGCAAATGAATGCAAATCCAAAAAGAAAAGACAATTATAAGTGCGTCCTTGAAACGATCCATCTGTTATCCTCTATTCAAGGCTGTGCTGATGCCGTACAACAACCTGTACTAGAGCTGCAGTCCAATTCACTTTATGTAAATCTCCATTCTGGATGAACAACGTTTGTATTTAGTGTAATTCCACACAGAAAACGTCCATGATTAAAGAGAATGTACAGATTTAATGAGGTTGAATCAAATGATTTGTTTACATAAAACTACAAATCCTGATTACAAAATGTGTTGGAAACACAAGATCAAACTTGTACAATATATAGAATATACATATATATATAGACAGATGGTGAAAGACTTTTTTACATGCTTGTTTGTCTGTGTTGAGATGCAGTGATGATGAAAACAGAGCGAGTTCCTCCGGAATATTCTCAGGGATGAGGGATTGTCAGCATTTCTTTTTTTTTAATTGTAGAAAGTTTAGTGCCAATTTCAGGGATTAGAAGAGGAGTTGTGTTGGTTTATCGAATAAAACATTACTGCTACTGACTGCTACTTAAAATACGGATAATTAGATCTCTAATGAAATTAGTCAGGGCACAATTTCACCAAACTTTAAAGCTGTAATTACTAACGCCGATACTTTGAAGCTAAACCCTAACAATAGGAAGCTAGTCAGATAATAAGGGTCACCGAAGTCAGTAGGGTTCATCATCTGAGAACCAAGAATATCAGCCCAAAAGGTCATCGCAATACATAAAACAGTAAAGTGGTGCTGCTAGCGTCCATTATACGACTTTTTGATTTAATACCAAAATAGGTTATTGTTGTATGTAACGCGCGATGTGATGCATTAAATGGTCACAGTTGAAACTTTTTCCCTCCCTGTTGTCTGTACAATTTATGTGGTCACGTTGATTGGAGGTGAATAAATAAATATTACTAAAAGGGTAAAAATTGTGACTCTGTTCATCAGCGCTGCTGAAGATTGCGATATATGTGAGTACAATCGAGCCCGTGGGTGTAACTGCGAACAGCACAAGTGCACTCGATATCAAGAGACTCATGCTGATTCTTTGATTAGGTTAGTGTTTTTCATTTGAAAGAGCCGCTCATTATTGTGTAATTGCAACGGATATTATGATGCACTTTAAGTTCCACTGAGCAGTGTGAAGCCTGCTCTCACATACCACACGTGTGTGTTTACAACACAGTCACAACACCGAAACAAAGAACTTCTGCACCAAAAGCTCAACACGTGTCACTGCACAAAAGAAGAAACATCTACGGATCTCAGCTAAAAATCATAAGCAACAACGAGAGACGTTTGCAGATAATTCCCCTCATCCTTTTCCAGCAAACCCATTAGGAAATGCTGAAAGCGCTCGCGTCCGCCTGGTTGCACCTCCGGTCGGTCTGGCCGCTCGCCTCCCCCGGCCCCGTGGTCAGGTCGTTGCTCTCGTGGGACGAATCCTTTATCACGCTGTAGTACATCGGCACGTTGTACTGCGGCACCTTCCCCTCGCCTCGCCAGCCGCACTCGCAGAGCTTTTTGAACGCAACGCGAAACTTCTGAGACATGAGGTTGTAGATGATGGGGTTGATGGCGCTGTTGGTGTAGATGCACATGCGACAGAAGAGCAGGAACCAGGTGTTATGGTAAGGCGGGTCGATGAAGGAGTTGACCACCACCACCGTGCGGTAAGGCATCCAGAGCACGGCGAACAGGATGACCACCACGGCCAGCATTTTTGTTATCTGTCGGCGCAGGAAAGGAGAGGAGTGAGGAAACGAGGAACAAAGGAGACGTAATTATGGGGCAGTGGCATTAACAGTGACGGTGGAGTAAGTATCTCAACAGGCACGCTGATTTCATGTGGAAGCTCCATGGACAGCAATGCTAAATGCTAACATCGGGATGTTATTTGGCTGAAGTTGTAATACTAAGAGGCAGGCGGGTTGGAAGAAAAGGCCGACCTAATAAAAAAGATGACGATTGTAATGAAGGCAGAGTTTCAGTGGTTGGGTTCTAGAAGGCACTTTTACTATCGCATCTATCTCCACATCTCAGAGAAACTGATTATTATTACTTAATCTTGAAAAGAGCGCTTGAGAGAGACGTTAAAAGCGTCATGGAAATCCAATAGTTTAACCTCATGGTGGAGCTAGACCAAAAAAACTATTCAAATCCATAGGAGTCATCCTCTGATGACCATGAATGTCTGTAAAAAAATGCTATAGTTTTGGAGATATTTAAACACATACATGATGAAAAAGTACACATTTGAAACTTGTGACCTAAACCACACTTTTTGTTGTATTTACATTTAAATTGAGGTCCAGCTAAAAAGGCACATAATCTAATCGTGTTTAACTATTCTTTAAACCAGTGGTTCTCAAACTTTTTAGTGATGTAACCCCTACAAAATATATCGTTCAGCCAAGTACCTCCTACATTTTTTTTAAAGGATTTATGAATGAATGCTCATTTTAAATTAATTAAATAAAACATCTCACGTGCCCCCATTTGAGAACCAAACAGTGTGCATCATTTACTGTACCTGCTTCCTGGCAGAGACGGCGCCCTTGTTGGGCTTGTTAGTGCTGCGGCACCGACCCTGGTGGACCGACCCTCCTCCGTCGCTCATGTGCGAAGGCAGAGGGCTCATGAACAAAATCCTGGCGATGAGACCGTAAAGCGCAATGGCCACGGCGAGCGGGATCACGTAGAACAAAGTGAAGTCCAGGAAATAGATCGGCATGTAGTAGTTCCTGGAGACGCGGTAGCCGCACGTGACGACCACTCCATTGGCGTAGACGGTTTCATCCGTGTCCACCAGGAAGAACCACATGATGCAGTAGAGTGAGGTGAAGACCCAGACCGCAGCTATGATCCTCTTGGCCCGGGAAACAGTGCATATGAGCTGTGCCTTCATGGAGTGGCAAATGGCGATGTATCGCTCAACGGTGAAGGCCGTGATGGAGCAGGACGACACGTTGATGCCCAGGTACTGGAGGTAAGTTATGCACAAGCATCCCGTGTGCCCGTAAATCCAGAAGGCCACGACATCAGAGATGTTAGGCAGCCCCGCCGCCAGCAGCACGATGAGGTCCGCGACCGCCAGACTGACGAGGTAGCAGTTGGTCGGGGTCACCATGTGTTTAGTGCGCAGCACAACCAGCACGACCATGATGTTCCCGGCAATCCCAACCGTACAGATGAGCATTGTCAAAACTATTGTCACGACCTGCTCCTCGAGAGGGTTCCTGCGTATGTCCGTCAGATTTACCACCTGAGTGATGTCTTGAAAGATTGTCGTGTTGTTCTCCATTGTGTTCAAGTCCAGAGGCCACAATTCAGTTGACGAAACAAGAATCCTGGAGAAAGAAACGGAGAAAAGCAATAGGCACTGAGGGGAAGGACGTTTTTTTTCCTTTTATATTAGAATGTTTTTCAACACAGTGCTCCCCGTCCTTTATTATTTCGACTCACAGGGAACACTGCAACACCCTCCCTCCAATCTAAAATAAAGATTGACGCGGCTTTAATCAATATTTTTGAGTTTTGAGTCTGCAGCTCCTCTCGGCTTTACAGAGCTTTATTGCGAGTTTGTTTGTTTGTGTACAAACTTTATGTAAAGGTTACCGCGGCATCATTTTGAGATTTAACAGTAAACAAGCCCCAAAATCTCACTGCTCACCACCAACAAACAAGACACAGCCAGAGACTAGCTGGGGAAAATAGTGGAGTATTTAGCTGCTAAATGGCCAGATATTTCCCTCAGGAGCCGCTAGAGACCAAAATAGGACTAAAAGAATGTGAATATTGGAGATTTTTTGCATCGACTTGAAACCTGTTATGTCAACATTGTGTTTACACATTTTGTGTGAAACCCCCCATTTGCAGGTTTTACATGTATTTCCAGGACTGTGTGTAGTATTTTGAGGAACCTGTAATGTAACATTCATCGCTGTGTTGTGTGTATAACGTTGTGTTGGGAGAGAGATGACGTTCTGACTTGCACAAAGCCACTGAAGCCGCTGGTTAACTGTGAAGGGAAAACTTCACTTAAAGCCCAAAAGCCATAATATTGAACTATTTGATGCATTTTCTTTAGTTAGAAATTTCTCTCTGGTTTCCGAGAAAAGTCTGACGCCCTCAACAAAGATAATAAATAAATAAATAATAAAAATATGTAAGAAAAAATGAAGAAAACACAAATTATTTACAACTGATTTAGGTTAAGAAAATAAAAGTGTAACAGATATGGTTAAGAGATGAAAATAAGCAGCTTACCATCATTTGTAAAAGGCAGATCTCCCTCCAGCATCTAAGCGGCACTCAGGTGCAATCAGCTAAGCAACACAAATGAATGTACAGTCTTTCTGCAGAGACACGCTCGAGTCGTCCCTCCCTCTCTCTCTCTCTCTTGCTTTCCAATCTCCCCTTTTTTTTACCGTTGCACCCCTCCCTCTCTTTCACATCACACAGCATTACATCAAACGCGCACCACACTGCCTTACACACAGCCACCAACTTAAAAATCAATTCCACCTCCTCACGATATGTCATCCACTGAGGCCGTGGCATAAATCCTGCAGTTATGGAAATAACCGAGGAACCAGGCAGCAATTCAACACTCCGTCCCCTGCAATGATTGGTCATTCAATTGAAACAGTACTAATTAGGAACTAGGAACTAGGAATTAGGAACTCTCGTGCCACACAGAGACATTATTTATTCAACATTACATTTTCTGTGACAAGGCAATGGACGTGGTTGTCTGCACTGATTTGCGTGTGCGGAAGTCAAATATAATTTTAAGGGACAAAAAGGAATCCACTTCATAAGATTAAGAGGATTGTTATTCCTCTGAGGCTTTTTCTTCACTTTGCACTCAGCTTGTGTGGTTTATATACCTACAAAAACCTTGTACAACGGCTGTACACACAAAGTAACCAAAGAAAAATATCCTTCACTAAATCTTTTTTCAAAGCAATGAAAAAAGATTCTTATAAACCACTCTGTGCTTGGAAAGCTCTCCAAACCTTTTACCGTTGCCACGACTGAAAGTACGAATGCTAATGCACGAAAGACGCATTTTCATCATTTCCAAGAGTCAGTCCACCAGGCTTCCTCTAATGAATAGATAACAGCTTTACAGGAGAAGAAAGAATCCTGCGGAGCAGTTTCTGTCCAGGTAATTGTTTGATTGAACTGCTGCATGCTGAGAAGCACATCCTGTGCTGTGAGGATTAGCGTGCTCGTTGCCGCGTTGTGCATCCAACAAATACTTTTAGACCTTTATTATAAGTTCCAGTTGAGATCCCATCGTTTCCAGAGCAAACATGCCAGCCTAGCTTTTCATCTATAAAATGAAAGATATATTTTATTTAATATTTTGAGTTTAATCAAATCGAGCCGGTTATAAACAATACAACAAGAATTTGACATGAAGTGTGACACTTTATTTACATTTTTTAAATAATTGATCATTCAGTTCACTGCATTTCTGACCAGCAATAAGCCCAGAGATGTCCGCACACATAAAGCAACGCGTGGAAAATACATGAATAGTTTAACATTTCTGTGCCTCATATTTAGACAAAAAGTTAAAATTAAAAATAGATGTTAAATAGGTATTCTATTATTATTCTGGATTGTATCTTAAAATAAACTCCTGAGGGCTCATGGGAGTCTTCAGCAGGAGTGTGCTGATAAAAATGCAAAACGTTTTCAGAGAAAACTGAGTTTTTTTTCATAAGGGCACACAGACTAAAATAGTCTGGTGAATTATTCGATGGGCACATGAAATAGATTCAGTTAATCTTTAAAAGTCATCTAGACCAATAAAATATTCATGAAAACTGTAAGATCCAATCTATTGCTGTTCATTTCCCAACAGGAGGTACACATTGTTCTCCATCCTCAGCCGTTCAAAGCACCACAGTGGCATCTAGTGGGACTGAGGGGTAAAGGAAACAAACAAGAAATAACATGTTTGTACTGAACCACACTGTGACATTTATGTAAAATACCCACAACAAAACTGTTGAAAAATGGATGCATATTGCGCGGATGGCACAGCACATCTGTAAAACCACATCAGGTTTTTTTGTGTTGAGTGATTGATGTGCCTGCACAGGAAAGCGTGTTCAGGATGCTCTACCTTCAGTTCATATTGAGCAAGAACAGACACAAGAGGAGCTTAAAAACTGAAAGTAAAACTTCACCGTAGGTCAGCAGAGTCAGTCTTCTTCCAAAAACTCTGTGGGTAACAAGTAATAAGTATTTTCTAGCAGCTCTAGGAGTCTGTATTCAGGCAGAAGAGTGCTTTGAAGCAAATGTTTACCTCCAACTGCTGCATCTCCCTCAGAACCCCTAATTGTTGCATATTGTGGAGAACCAAACCTGGTGGAGGGGTAAAATGCACAGCATTATTTTGAACTAGGCTTTTCTAGACTCAACGTGCTTTGTAACACAATTCTGCATTCATCCATTCACTCACACATTCTGTGTTATCTTATTATCTGTTCCTCAGGAGTGCTAAGACATTCGCCGCACTCAACAATGATTTGGGGTTCGGTATCTCGCCCGAGGCCGGGGATCAAACCGCCGACTTCCCGCCTAGTCGACGACCGCTCTACCTCCTGCCTCCTCCAGGTACTAGTGTGCTATGATATTTGCTGCCCAAGCCTGGCTTTCACATTTGAAGTGGTCTAGAACTGCCACTGCTGTCATGGCGATACAACAATTATTCCAGTAGATGTTCACCAACGGCCGACCACGACGGAAGTGCTCTCCACCGGCTTCCTTCCACTCTGCTTCGCTCGCGCTTTCTTCGTCAAGTACTCTGTTCTCCTCTGCTCTTGCTCTCTGAAAAAGGAGGCAGAGATCCTCCCACGCAGCCGTCTGGCGTAAACCTCGAGGAACACCAGCAAGTAGCTCATCGCCCAGAGACACCCCAGGACCAGGGTGACCCCCGGGCTCGGAGGCGAGGTCGCCGCCTCGCAGAGCGACGGCTCGGGGTTGAAAGTCCACCCGTAAACCCTCTGGAAGTTTGCGAGCTCCCGTGTGATGCAGGATTGTGGGATGATACAAAAGGCAGGAGGGAACCAGTGGACCTATTAGGAGATTTAAAAAAAATAAATAAGAGCAAATACTTGAAAGAGTGAGGAGGCATAATTAAAGAAGGTGCAGTTATTTCTCACCTTATAAGACACACTTATGCTGGCAGAAGTCGGTTGAAAATCCAGCATCCATGGGAGGATCGCCTGAACTATGTGATATACAACATAATCCAAAGCTACTATCAAAGTGATTGCAGTGAAATATAATGTCACCACAACCAGCGATACGAAACACGCGGTGCATTCCTGACTGGTTATTCTGCAGCTTGTGGGATTAGTTCGAATGTTCGCTCTTTGCAGGAGACCTTTGGAGGTGCAGCCATTATCAAACTTAACCGATGCCAGATACGATCTTAAGTAGCGGGCAGATTCAAAGATTAGCAAAGCCACGAAAATGGCAGCGAAGATTCGGTTTGACACCAGTTTGTAATCTCTAAGCAGGTTCCTGGCCCGTGAGAAGTTCACCTCTATCTGCGCGATCATCTCAGCGAACCTGCTTTTGACCTCTGACACGTCGACGTGTGCGAAATGATCCAACTTCCTCAAGTTGGTGACGATGCTCAAGTCTTCCCTCTTCACTTTGATGGCCTCCTCGACGAGGTCTCGCTTTGCCTCGTTCAGCGGCTCGGTGGAGTTCAACAAGGTCTTCGTGAACCCCTCGGCGGTGCACTTTAAGACGCGAGCGACCACCCCCAAGTTCACCGTGATGTTGGGGATGACGTTGGAGACCAGAATCATGACGGAGGCCGCGATGAGGAGTTTGCGTCCCTGCTCGGTGCAGACGGTGGGCAGGCTGATGGTCAGCACACAGCGCAGAGGGTGACACAGGAACGAGAGCAGAAACGCGGCCGCGCCGTAGAGGCAGGCGGCGCCGGCGGACGCCTCTGCGTTGTATTTGAGGGTTTTTGACAGCCAGTGGTGGAGCAGGCCGCCAGTGACGACGGTGAGCGTGAGACAGAGAGCCAGGAGCGTAGGGACGTCTCTGCCGGCAGGTGCAGGCGCCGAGTAAACATCCCAAAGGTAAAGCAGGGGGGATTTAAAGGCCTGTTTGAAGGATCCCTTTTTGTCCCTGAGGAAACAAAACATACATATTTTCTCCCTGCAGAGTTAGATGAGAAAAAGTCAGCTTATTTTAGCATTAAGCCAGGAAACACAGGAGTTCTGTCGAGATGAGACCCTGTAATTTAAATTTAAAAAACACATCACACACCAACAGTGAATCCTGGTTGAATAGAAACAAAAACATCTTCAATCTTTGTCATTTTAAGTATATTTATAAAAAAAAATGTTCTATGCACTGTCTTCATTTTAAAATCATACATTAACATGTTTCTCATGTTACACTAGTCCAGAAAGCAAACTTTTTTTTCCTAAATAAATTCAATATGACAGGAGTATGACTTATGCAAAATGGACATCCAATGGATTTACTCTTGGCCTAAAGAGTTCTGTGAAATGAAGAGTCATTTCAATGAGACATTTTTTATCTCCAGTTGAGTAATTTCACAAGAAAAAATTGTCAATGACGCAGGCCCCAAAATTGTTAATTCAGGAGTAAAAAAATGTTACCTACATAAAGCATCTAAAACGATTATAGGATAAGCCTAACAGCAGATAGATAGATAGATAGATAGATAGATAGATAGATAGATAGATAGATAGATAGTTAGATACATACATACATACATGGATTAATAGACATACGAAGACTGACAGACCAATTGATAGTTTAATTGATAATACATCAATTAAAGAAAACACAGAATTAAAGATAAATAACAGTTCTTACCTGGCAGAAAGAATAACATTCTCTGAGATAAACTTCATTATCACGACACATATGACAACATGAGTTTGGGAAGTGTTGGATCGTGGGAGTTTAAAGAGGAACTTCTCTGAACAGTCACTGTCATGTGGCAGTTAAATCGACCATGTTCCCATGTGGGTAAATATAAGAACAAATGGTCTCCGCGTGAACCATAAATGACACAGAATCATACGGAGAGACTTGACGCAATCACGCGCACTCTTGTGACACAGGTCAACCTCTCCGATTGCGCTGCAGTGGCGGCTTCAGTCCGGTGACACACCGCGTCACGTCAGTGTCACACGGGTAGTTTGCAAAGTTGCTTGGCGTCATATTTTAGAAAATAGAATAAGTAGGGTCAGAAAGTCCCGTCCGAGCTGTGCTGTCCTTCTGTTGATAGTCGCAACCATTTCTTGTTGTTGTTACATTGTTACGACCGACACTTTGACGAGACAAATACAGACAACCTTTTACGTATTGGGCCCGTTGGAATAAATAAAATTAAAAAATAAAATTTTACTGTTCAAAACAGTACAAAACCAAAATTTGACCCTTCCCAACTATTTTCCCGGATTATGATCTATACCCTAAAGCCTACAACCTTGATTTAGAGCCAGCTTGCTGTCTGCATCTTATGTGTTGTTAATACAGCATTCCGAGAAATTGATACATTTCTGTTGGGGTGTTTTACACGTTTTTCTTCTACTCCTGTGGACTCTCTTCCCCACTAACTCTTGAGATATCGAGGGTCGGTGAGACCTCTCAGCATTGGAGATGGACACAAGAAGGCCCCCTTCAGCCACTCAGGCTTTCAAATCTGTTACGCACGTACAGCACCCCGTGAGGGGAGGGGAACATACACCGCGCTGCCCAGAACCCCAGACGGCCAGAGACCGGGTGTGGGCGCAAGTAATCATACCAACACCGATGGGTCTGGTTTAAACAGGCTAGCACGTGCCAGTTTATTAATAATAATAATAATAATAATAATAATAATAATAATAAACAATAGAGGGAAATGGGAGGACGGCTGAGCTGATCCAAAACAAAGAAATTAGCAAAACCCCACCCCTTACCTGTCCCAACGTCCTACACAAAACCCTTATTTACTCTGGCGCTCGAGCAAGGCGCCCTAACCAAAAATACAGGGGGTGGATCGCTCAGATCTAACCTGGTGTGTATAACAGGAGATATCCCTACGGGTGATGTATGCCCAGGGCGTCTTTCCTAACACTCCCAAGTGCTTTCCGTTCTCCCTGGGAAGGACACACGAAATACAAATGATTAATACTTTCAATACTCCAAAAACACTCCACCATGTACAACCAATTTCACAAGAGCACCCCAAACACAACCTTACACCCTGCCTGAGAGATATGGACTGAACAACCAGAAACACATAAATACAGCTGATGGGACGATGCGATTGGAGGATGGGAAAACAGGAACCAGCTGTAGGAGATCACGGGAGGGCGGATGAGTAATGAAGACAATTAGCTCCACCTGAGGAGGGTTATCACACACACAGAACACAGACAAGACCGGGGGTCGTAACACGCCCACCACAAAAACAGCAAACCTCCAGTTTGCGACAAAACAACCAAACGTAACCCAGTACTTAAACACGCGATAGCTGGGGGCTTCGGGGCAGGGACTGAGAGCCTCGGAACGGGAGGATCGCTGCGGCCGAGCGGGATCGCTGCGGCCCAGCGGGATCGCTGCGGCCCAGCGGGATCGCTGCGGCCCAGCGGGATCGCTGCGGCCCAGCGGGATCGCTGCGGCCCAGCGGGATCGCTGCGGCCCAGCGCGAAGGGGAGATCGCTGCGGCCCAGCGCGAAGGGGAGATCGCTGCGGCCCAGCGCGAAGGGGAGATCGCTGCGGCCCAGCGCGAAGGGGAGATCGCTGCGGCCCAGCGCGAAGGGGAGATCGCTGCGGCCCAGCGGAAAGGGGAGATCGCTGCGGCCCAGCGGAAAGGGGAGATCGCTGCGGCCCAGCGGAAAGGGGAGATCGCTGCGGCCCAGCGGAAAGGGGAGATCGCTGCGGCCCAGCGGAAAGGGGAGATCGCTGCGGCCCAGCGGAAAGGGGAGATCGCTGCGGCCCAGCGGAAAGGGGAGATCGCTGCGGCCCAGCGGAAAGGGGAGATCGCTGCGGCCCAGCGGAAAGGGGAGATCGCTGCGGCCCAGCGGGAAGGGGAGATCGCTGCGGCCCAGCGGGAAGGGGAGATCGCTGCGGCCCAGCGGGAAGGGGAGATCGCTGCGGCCCAGCGGAAGGGGA